ATAGAGCACTAGTTCTCGGAATTACAGACCGTAAAAAAAATATTTCTAAAAACTCTGTAAGAGAAAAGAAATATTATTGTTTAAATGTTACAGGGAAGGAAAGATTAGATTTTAAAAAGAAAAGGAAGGGAAAAAATAAACCAATCATTTCATGACTCTCCTTGAATTGCAAGATCTTTTTAAATGCCGCATTTTGCGTTTTTATAAAAGCCATTTCCGTTTTCGAAAACGAGTTTGTTTTTAAAAAAAATGAATTTTAGGTCAAACAATAATCGGCTGTAAGGGTTGAAGGTGAAACCTCAGACGCTCACTGGCAAGCCAGCCTCATCTAAGTCAAGTCCTCGTCCTCGTCGAGCAGCCTGGGGATCCCTGGTCTGTGGAAAGGGGGGGAGGTATAGGAGCAGGGGTTGCAGACGGAGCTTTGATCAGGAGGTACCATAGCCCTGCGACGTGCGATGTGAGCTACGACCCTTCTGCTCATAGAAGGGTCCGTACACATCCACCATTATGGTAGGTCTGGCGTCACAGCAGGCCGACCTGTTCATTCAGGAACTCCCTGTCTTCTTCCCTCCCTCTTGTGGATTAGATGACTAATCGTGGGATGTCCCAAAGACCCAGAAGGCCTTATAACAGTAAGGAACAGGCTGCCTGGAAACAGATGACGTCCCTAAATATATCCTTGCAAATGTTCGCTGATCCATGACGTGACGATCCTCTGTCTGAATAGATTTGGCCATCCCTTGGACTATTCTGCTCCATGAACGGAAATGTTAACAGCAGATAGCCAGGAGACAGAGGGTAGCGTAGATTGGGCAAACGCAAGCTACGCTTGGTGATGTAGACGACTCGCTGTGGAAGGAGCGCGTTACCCCTTGCTCAGTGGGACCCATTACTGGACTGTTCAGACGATCAGTGGTCATTGTTTGCACTTTGTGGCTTCCATCTCTCAGAACTAGAGTGTGCCTACACCCCCTATAATTGTCTACTATCTAAGAAATCCCCGTGAAAGTTGATGGAAAACAGGACAGTGAACATTGCACCTTTGTTCTCGTGTGGCACAAGCCAGTGTCAGGATAAGATTACCACCTACCTGAGATCCTACAGGGATGCATACAAGCCTTTACAACCCCCAAACCAATGAAATGATGCTCCTACGACAAATGGAGTGAAACATTGCGCTGCCAAGAGCGAAATGCTGGCAGCAAAAGAGATTTAAAAATAACAACATGTCAAACAAATTCTTTTTTAAATAATTATATCTGTTCTACATTATAGCATTCTAGCACAAATATATTAAGAAAAAAAGTGTTGTACAGTTTTTTGGGTTTTTAAAAAAATCACCCTGAACATGAATGCCCTTATGTGCTTAACCGCATGCATGTATATTTTAATGACACTGTAGGCTACTAATGCTATATCTTTTAAAGGGCATTTAACATTACAACATTATAACATTACAAATTACGTTAACTGTATAAATTGTATTTGTGACACCACCACTATCACCACTAGATGAATCAAATAGTAGTTTTCAACATGCAAAAAGCTAGTTGTAATATACAGCAATATACCCGCAGCTTTCCTGTGGACTATATCATTGCCCCAAATGTGCTCGTCCCGGCTCGCTGCCGCTGCCATGTTAGAGTGGATCTCGCCATGTTTACATGACATTAGATTGTCTACCTGCGTAGTGTAAGCTGTCACCTTATGAAATCAGCCAATAGGGATTCAGTTTAATTTTGCGTCAAGAAGGGTTACAGGCAAAAGGGTTGATATAAGACTGATTGTTATTCGTGCGGGTGCAGAGGCAGTTTTATTGACACCTTCGGCGTGTTAGTCTGTGGTCTACTTCAAAAGACATAGGTCTAGAGATTTTCGTCGAACAGACTTCGTTTGTTATATTTCGACCAGGGTTAAAAGTAACGCTTTATCGTCGGTGCGTACACGCGATTACGTGAGTATGGTACTAGTAATTTGTATTTAAAGGGGTGCTTTTGAAAATGATGTCTCCTTTTGCTTTACTAACGCGACTTCTGGAACGTTCACACGTTTTACCCCATCATTGTCTTCGATATTGGACCAAAGAATATAATCTCGGCTTCCCTGGAGGTGTGTCTGACAGCAGACAGCGTTTTCACTGTTCGAATCCGTGGAAAAGTAAAACGTCTGTGTTCGTAAACAGGATTAAGCCGAAACTATACTAGCTCCGTCCGCCTGGTGTTTGCAAATTATTGAAAGCGGTTGAAGGATGCGAAGGGGTAACGATACTGCACCCGCCATTCCGTCACCTTCGGGGATTTGCTTCATTTGATACAATGGCTCTGTCAGGGAAACAACGATTAACATTGCAAGCTGGACTTTGTATAATCGCCCCATCCATCAACTCTTTAAGTAATAACCTCAGCACGCTGCATTTTGTCCCTCTGTTTGTTGTCTTCAAAGCGGACTCAGTATAATTTTTGGCCTTATTCAATGAAAGTCGTCGGGCCTTACCTTCAGTTTTGTTGAATCCGGGTATTCGTCATAGCAATGTGAGCAATAATATGCGTTGCAATGCAGGGCCTGTCACTACCACCATTGCCACAATATATATTGGCAACAGTTGTTTCCACAGTTCAAGCCATAATCCAATGCGTAGATCTACATCTATGTCTATTCCCCAATTTTTTCGTTGTTCAGTAGACAGAAAGGTGGGGGTGGGGGGAGGGGCAGAGACAGGGCCAAAATAAAGGGAAGACCCAAGACGCCCTAGCCTCTGGCCACTCGCCAAGAGGGGGCCTCCCACCAAAGCAGCATCGACTCAAATATACATGCACTGAGTAAATTGGACTTCGATGACATCATCAAGGACTTTGACGCACGAAAATCGAGAAAATGGCTGGACTGCAATTTATTAATATTATTACTCCTTCCATTCTCTGATCTGACTTATATTACTTGTTAGCTATACTATATTTTATCGAGAAAAATTAAATAATTTTAACTGAAGATTGTAGCCGTTGTTGGCGGGAAGTGCCCTTAGCCGTTATCATTCTCATTACGACAGCTATTCGATAAAACCATCGAGCATAACAAAGAATCCAGCATCGACTTCATAGACCAAGAGAAGGCTTTTGAGAGAGTAAACCATACCAAACTCAGGAAGACGCTTGAAAAGTATGGCGTCAAAGGATAACTATTAGACAATGTCAGAGCTCTATATAAATCAACAACAGAAGCTCGGTAAGAACAACGGAAGGCAATACAGACTGATTTAAAGTGAAATCAGGTGTACGACAGGGACGCATCCCCCCCCCATCCTTTTTATAATCTATGGACAATAACGCAAGACGCAAACCCAAAGCCCAGAAAGCATAAATGAACTTCTATTCGCAGACGACCAGTGTCTTATTCATCCAAACCAAAAAAGTCTCGAAAGTCACACTGCCGAACTAAACAACATCATCATCATTGCCTTTCTCACCCCGAACCAGGGTATAGGCCACGGACAAACACCTTCCACCTTTCTTTATCCTGGGCTAGCCTCTTGATGTTATTCCATGTCCTCCAACTTTTCTGTACATCGATTTCTGTGATTCTTCTCCAGGTTCCACGAGGTCTTCCCCCTGATCTCTTACCCTGCGGATTCCAATCCAAAATTTTCTGTTATGCAGCTGCCTGACTTCCTGAGAGTATGTCCAATCCATCGCCACCGCCTTCTTCCTACCTCATCTCTGACTGGGATCAGTCTTGTTTTCCTTAATACTTCCACATTGGTGACCCTGTCTGTCCATCTGATCCTCAGTAACTTTCTTAGACACCTCTTCAAGAAAACCTGGATCCTCTTTATGCAAGTCTGAACTAAACAACAGCTGCGAAAATTCAACATGAAAAAGACACATGAAAAACAGAAGTTATGAAAGTGAGCCGAAACCGTAGTCCCCTGAACATTCATGTCAATAATAAGCAACTGAAACAGGTGGAAGAGTTAAAATATCCTGGCAGCACTTTTTCTGAAAACGGGTCCATAGACAGAGAAATAGAAGTGTGATCTTGAAAAGCCAACGCTGTCACCTGCCACCGAGCACCCCTTCTTTCTCATCCAAACATCTCCATGGATACAAAGAGATAGCTTATCACTTCTTAAACCAACACTATGCTAGCAGTGCCAGACCTGGACATTAAGTTAAACCCATGAAAGCGAAATCTCTGCATGCGAGATGAAGTGCAAAACCCTTAACATCACAAGACGAGACCGGCAGAGAAACTGCATCTCCCCTCGACACCTTACAGCAACAAAGGATGAAGCAGTAAAAGTAAAAGTAATTGTCTTAGTGTTTCAGCAGGGAAGTATCCGCTACAGCTCCTGTGGGCCCTAACTGGCAAGGTCGAAGTAGCAATCCTCTTAAATTTATTAAATTGAACCATAGGTTTGAGGCTCCCTTAAATATTTTCAATACCTTGCTGGGCTACGGAGTGGATGGTCCTGGTTCAAATTTCAGGCTGGGCGTTCTTGAACTCAGGTCGTTTTGTAGAGTTTTCAAGGATCAGAGCCCATTTGGCTGGCGCCTATCATGGGTAGACGTCTCAAAAAGCGTCATTATAATATGAAAAAACAAAACCCTTGAGATGGAAAGTGGTTGTTTGTACAGGTGATCGTCTTGGACTAGTGACCATTAAATTCGAGGTCCCGCCTTTTAAATGGCCTAATAATGTCGATTAGTGTGTTAAACCTATACACTATCTTTTTTACTGAAAATAATATTCTTCACTCAAAAGCTTGCCATTTGACTGCATCTGTCAGCAACTGTATCAATGTTGGTTACAATCTTGGCCATATCAGGGATGCTTTCAAGCTTGAGTAGCACAGGATAATAATTTTTATCATTTTTTGATAATAGTCCTCCACTCCTCTTTTCTGTCCAGGTGATCATGTACTCCATCACTGAAATAAACGTGATGTATTAGATTTAACGTAGAACATTAAATTATATGATTATATAGTCTTTTAATTCTTTTCTGTGAAAGGTAGAGCACCAAAGACGCCATATTTCCTTCAGTGCGTAGACGGTAGAGCACAAAGGACGTTACATTCTCCACAGTTTATAGACTGTCAGAATGAGCTGCATGTTGGCTAGGAATGCATGTAGCCCGGGAGGTTCGACGGTGTTTTCTCAGCCTTGGAGAGGAGGTCGGGTCTTGACCCAAACAGCAACACCTGCTTTGTGCTCAGTGCACAGCAGCCAACAGCCAGTGATGGCTGTGCGGAGAGAGACAAGCAAATTGTGGGAAACAAGGGCACCGCTGTCACCGCAGCATGTGAAAAAGCTGGTCCAGAAGGGAGTGAAGGTCATTGTCCAGCCCTCTGACCGTCGAGTCTACAGTACGGAGGTGAGGCTTTGTTTCTAATGACTTTTTTCTTTTCCGCAAAGCCAAAGAAGGCAATTCTGGTTCTTCCTTAATTTCTGAGCTGTTTACTCCTCAGACTGTGTAAAGGAAAAAAAACCTGTATCGGAAATGTGATGCAGAGCTGTACAGTAGGCCTATATCACTAATAGGTACTTGTGAGAGATTTTAACCCTGGACTTTAGACTATAACCACATACTGGATAGGCCTGCAGAGTGGTCTGCGGTTAATAACACACATGGCAGGTGACAATAAAAGAGTGCTCTTGTGCGAATTAGCGGTTATTTCGCAAATTCAGGAGGGGGGTAAATTAGAGTAAGCATTCTGTCATCTGACGCCCTGCGGTGATTGTGTCATGAAGCTAAGCTTACCCTAAGGCATGAAATGTTCTTACACATACAATGGCCATCATAATTACGGCACGGCCATCTCACACAGTGCACCTGCCTCACATGGTCGGTTACTGGCTTTCCTCAGTATGCAATTATCTTACACATTGTACCCGTAATACAGACATGTGTCACGACGCGGTGGAATCAAATGCTCGTCAATTTTTTTTCGGCACATGGAGATATTACTCCCTTACTTACTACCCGTTACGCCATCTGGCTATTAGGGCAGCAACAAAGGATCTCCAGCTCTGTCTGTTTTGGGCCATCTTAGTCAACGTCCCCCACGAATGGTTCCAGGACTTCATTCCAGACTCTACTGTGCGTCTCGAGGTCACTTTGGGTCTGCCCCTTTTGCGATGTCCTTCGGGTGTCCAGTGGAGGGCAGTCTTTACAATAGAGTCTGGTTCTCTTCTCAGAACATGTCCAATCATCTCCATCTTCTCCTTGTTATTATGGTGGCCATGTCCTTTTGCATCTGCGTTGGAAATCTTGTCGGGCCAGAAGATTCGGAGGATTTGGCGTAAGCTGGTTGTATGAAAGGAAGATAGCTTGGAACTGTAATGATCAGTCATCCTCCAGCATTCAGCTCCATATAGGAGTGTGGATAGTACACAGCTATTATACAGCTTTAACTTGGTCTGTATACTGAACTGTTGAAGATATTGGTATCATCTTAAAGCTCGTTGTACTTCTAACTACAGAAGTCTTCATATTACGTTGAAATTGTCCAGAGTCAGATCTGAAAGAGACATGTCCTATCTTGGTTTTCCATTCATTTCGTACTGGGATGCTCTCATAAAACCAATATTATCTTGTAGGTCTTTTCTCATCACCCCCATCTGTCCAAGTTCATTAAGTCTAAGTTATACAATTATTGGTCTACCTCATCCTGTTTTGCCTTCTTTTTTTCCCCCAGTGAGAGTGAGATGTAGTCCAAGACAATCACCTGTACAAACGACCACCTCCCACTTCCTCTTTTTCATTTTTTAACATATTATGTTAATGACACTCTTCAAGACGTCCACCCACTTAATTAAGACGACCACTTTTCTCCTTGACAGTGGATGCCCTTATTGGACAATTTCGACTGTACATTTTGGTGGTATTCATTATAGTGCAACGCATAAGTTGTTTAATTTTGAGTGATTTCCATGGGTTTCATTTTGCTAATGTTATGCAATTTGTTTTACTCACACTTGGTAATACGAGTAACTTACATTTCACCACTTTTTATTAAGATTTAGGGTCTCCCAAATTTCAATGACCATTCTTTCCTTTTTCTAAAAGTATCATGATTTTTGTGTTATGCTTTGCTTTGTTTTATTGGGGGTTTTGGGGTTTATTTGAGGGGGGGGGGGCTGGTGGTGCTTTGTGGGGGGGGGGTATTGTTATTAAGTGCCAACTGCTTGTCCTCACTGTGCAGGAATATGCTGACGTTGGTGCAGTCATCAAAGAGGACATGTCTGAAGCATCACTGATTATGGGCGTAAAGACGATGTCAGCTGACTCTCTGATGCGCGACAAGACATACGCTTTCTTCTCTCACACCATCAAAGGCAAAGCTGATTACATGCCTCTTCTGGATGCCATTTTGGAAAAGGTTTGATACGAATACCTTACAACATAATTTAAAAATATTTTGTTTTTAAGTTTTGCTGTCGACTCGTATTTTTTTAAAGTACTTGTCCTGTATTTGGACCGATGTTCTTTCATAATAATAAAAATGCGTGTTTGTGTACAGTAGGACAACAAATACGCACAAAAATAAACAATGGTTAGTTACTGATTCGATGTCCATGGGGGTCAGGCACACATGTTTGAGGTTAGAAATGATCTATTTTAGAATGTTGTCCCGAAGGGGTTGTACATTTTCTGCGTATTTAATCGTATCAGAAGAACCGTTTTCTATTGTTGTTTTAAATTTTCAGAACATTCGTTTGATTGACTATGAGAAGATGGTGGACGAGTATGGCCAGAGACTGGTCGCTTTTGGCAAGTATGCAGGTATGTCTGGGATGATCAACATCTTGCACGGCATGGGCCTTCGTCTACTCGCACTTGGCCACCGCACACCCTTCATGGTGAGTCAGGATAAGCCGTCAGGCCGTCCTCTGGCTGGTACTTGGGTTTTTTCTTACTGAATACAAAGAAAAGATAAAATATTATACATTTTCTACTTTTATGTGATACTTTTTAAGCGCTAAAATAAAAAGGGTCCCATTTGTACAGTGTGTTTTTCATATCTTGTGTATTGTGTTCCGCTCCCAGTTCAAAAGCTTAGAGTAAAAACGACAGGTCCTATATGTTGAATTGAAGAAAGAACGTCTTATAATTAACCATTTGATTTGGTGTATCCGCTCATGAAATATTATGTTTCTATGTTTCTGTTTGTTACTACTGTCCTACACTTGGATAAAATGATAAACTTTCAAAAATGTTCACAGTTCATTGGCCCAAGTCACAACTATCAACATACAGAAATGGCACGCCAGGCTGTTCGAGATGCTGGTTACCAGATTGCGCTTGGGCGAATGTCTAAGTCGATAGGACCTCTGACCTTTGTCATCACAGGCTCTGGCAATGTGTCACAAGTCAGTACACTTCTCCTCATTACATGTATCCTTTTCTTTTGCGAGCCAGCTTTTTCGTGTTGATGTTGAAAGGTACTTTCTGTTTGCTTGGTTGTTTGTTTGTTTGTTTGTTTCTTGTTTTTAGTGGTTTTTGATTGCTGTTTTTTTTTTAGTGTTTTTATTTTTATGTTTTGTTATTGGGTATTTTTTCAAAACTGTTGTTTTCTGTTGGTTTTTCTTCTCTCTTTACTGGTGTCACTTACAATTGTGACTTTTGTGCTTGTCTTTAATACGATCAACTTACATACTCTCGCTCCGTGCCGTCAGGTACATAAGGCAGAGGGCAGTTGACGCCACGCTTGCCTGTCCCTGGCTCCCTCCCTCAACCTAGGCACCTTTAGGCCCTGGATGATTTCCTCATCCCTGATTGTGCCTCTGTAGCTTCTAGTTGGTTTACCTCTATTTGTTTTTCGAGTCGGTCTCCAATATCATAACTGATAGGACAATCTTGTCTTGGGCATTTTAAAGACATATCCTAAATGTATTTCTATCTTTTCCTTTTTATGGTCGTGTTGATATTTCCAATTCCCGCTCTGTCCAACGCTTCGTTATTTGTAATACATTCATTTGATTTCATTAATGAAATTGTTTGTAAACATTTTTGTTTGGAAGCTTTTGATTTGCTTTGTTAGCGTTATCTCTGATCCATAAATTAATACGGTCAAAATATTCTTACTTCTATCATTTTAATTTCCTCTTCAGTGGAAGGATCTTTGAATCCCAGGAAGGGAGGGGGCGGGGTTATTTTTACTGAAGCGATCCATGCATCTTTAAGTCTTTGGTGGACGTCGTCAGTAAAGTCTGCATAATGCTGCCAATGTACTTGAATTCATTCATTTCTGCAAGAGGTTCTCCATAAAGAATGATAGGAGTAGTTTCTGGTGAGAATAGCAGGATTTCTGTTTTGGAAAGGTTTATTGCAAGGCCAACTTTTTCTGTAGATCTTATTTATTCATTTGTTTTAATTGAATTTCATGTACTGTGGTGTTTAATACATGTAGGCAGATGCCATCCGCAGAATCTCAGTCTCCCAAATATGTGCAATTTGTCTATTCAATGTCTGTTTTAGTGTCTTTGGTCTGTCTAATTACAAAATCGCTCACAATTCCAAAAAGTACAAGTAACTGTAAACAGCCTTGTCTCACTCCAGTATGTATTTAAAAAAGCGCAAATAGCTCTCATTACATGCGGATAACTTAAGAACGACAGATGTACGCCATCGGCCGATATTTATAGTAACAGCTATCTTGTTTGACGTCATTGAGGGATTCCCACTTTGTTGTCGTTCACGGTGGCAACACGACCGCAAAGCACTATAGTAGTATTTTTAAAGCCTGTATCTTACAGTGGCGTGGTGGCGGAGTGGTTAGTGCGCTTGTCTCTAAAGCAGAAAGTCCAGGTTCGAGCCTCGGTTCGGCCACGGATTTTTTTAAAGGCTCAATGACGTCAAACAAGATAGCTGTTACTATAAATATCGACCAATGGCGTACATGGAAATGACAGTGATGGACCACACAGGGAAGGAGTAGGGATGATCATATCAAAAACAGCTCAAAAGACAATCAGGGGCTGGGAAGCACATGGTTCAAGGATCATCATGGCCTCATTTGGAACTAAGAAAGAACTTAAGGTAAAAGATGGTAGGAAGAAGGTCATTAACATGAACATCATACAAGTGTATGCTCCAACCAATGATGCAGAAGTGGAGAATAAAGATGACTTCTACAACCGCCTGCAGAACGTCATCGACAAACTTCCAGGTAAAGACACCAACATTGTCATGGGAGATCTAAATGCAAAGGTAGGTTCGGACAATAGTCACAACGAGGAAATCATGGGCAGACACGGATTAGGAGAGGCAAATGACAACGGAGAAAGGTTCCAAAACTTCTGTACATTCAACAACTTGGTCATTGGAGGTACAATCTTCCCACATAAAAGGATTCACAAGGCCACTTGGGTCTCCCCGGACGGAACAACGGAAAACCAGATTGACCACTTTTGCATCTCCCGAAAGTTTAGACGCTCACTGGAGGACGTCCGAGTCTTACGAGGAGCAGACGTCGCATCAGACCACCATTTGATCCTTGGAAAGATGAAACTAAAACTGAGAAGATATGCACAAGTCACAGCTGGAAACCGTCTAAAATATGAAGTGAGCCTTCTGAAAGACCCAGTAAAGAAGAATGAGTTCAAGTTGAAACTGAAGAACAGATTTCAAGCCCTTCAAGATCTGGATGAATGTGAAGTCAACGAACACTGGGATAAGATAAGAGAGGCAGTAAATGCAACTTGCCAGAGCACCCTAGGACCCAAAGACAACACCAGGAATGAATGGATTTCACAGGACTCTCTAGACAAAGTCAAAAGAAGAAGAGAGCTGAAGGCCCAAGTCAACAACAGTCGTACCCGAACTGAGAAACTCACTGCACAACAAGAGTACACCGAAGTAAACCGGGAGGTAAAGAATTCCATCAAGAAGGGCAAGAATACCTACCTGAATTGCCTGGCCGAAAAGGCTGAGAAAGCAGCAACAGACGGGCACTTACGGATTGTACACTAGACTACAAGAACTCTTTCAGGTAGGTTCAGCAAGCCCACTCTACCAGTGAAAGACAAAGAGGGAAAGACTATCTTCAACCCAGAGGGGCAACTTAACCGATGGAGAGAACACTTTGATCAACTATTGAACAGACCACCTCCAGAAAACCAACCAGAAATTCTTCCAGCCAGAAATGACCTCCCAATAGTCACGGAACCACCTTCAAGAGAGGAAATTGCAGCCGCTATTAAAACACTGAAGTCCCACAAGGCAGCTGGTCCCGACCATATACCACCGGAAGCCCTTAAGGCAGAGAAAGATAGGTTTGTGGAAATTCTCTATGCTCTGTTTGAAAAGGTTTGACAAAAGGAGAAAATACCATCAGACTGGAAGGAAGGACACCTAATCAAGCTGCCAAAGAAAGGAGATCTCAGCAATTGTAACAACTACAGAGGCATTACACTCCTGTCCATACCTGGGAAAGTCTTCAACAGGATACTCCTGGAGAGAATCAAGCTGGCAACAGATAAGAAGCTTCGAGGAAACCAGGCAGGATTCCGCAAAAACCGATCATGTTTGGACCAGATCGCTACTCTGCGTATCATTGTTGAGCAATCGCTTGAATGGAACTCTCCACTCGTGGTCAACTTTATTGACTATGAAAAGGCGTTTGACAGCGTGAACAGAGAAACTCTGTGGAAACTCATGTGGCATTTTGGAATACCTGAGAAAATCGTCAAGCTTGTGAAGGCCACCTATGATGGAACAAACTGCCAAGTCTTCCACGAAGGACAACTCTCAGAACCATTCCAGGTACAGACAGGAGTGCGACAAGGATGCTTGCTCTCACCTTTCCTCTTCATGCTGGCAATTGACTGGGTCATGAAAGAAGCCACCAGAGGCAAACGTAATGGAATACAATGAATCCCTTGACAGCAGCTGGACGACTTAGACTTCGCCGATGACCTTGCGCTGCTCTCTCACACACATGCTCAGATGCAAAGTTTCAAGCCCTGCTGTGACAGTGGAAGACACTCCCCTGGAAGAAGTGGACTCCTTTACCTACCTTGGAAGTGTCGTCGATGGTAAAGGTGGAACCGAGGCAGACGTTAAAGCAAGAACCGCCAAGGCAAGGTCAGCCTTCAAGCAATTATCAAAAGTCTGGAAAGCAAGCAACATCTCGCTGCGCACCAAAATTCGACTCTTTGACTCCAACGTCAAGTTTGTGCTCCTCTACGGCTGCGAAACTTGGAAGACAACGAAAACAGTACTGAATAAAGTCCAGACTTTCATCAACAGATGTATGAGGAGTATTCTAAGAATTAAGTGGCAGGATAGAATAAGAAATGAAGAACTGTGGGAAAGGACAGGACAAAAGGATATAGAAGTAGAAATAGGACTAAGAAAGTGGCGATGGATGGGACACACCTTAAGGAAGCCCACCGGAAACATCACAAGACAGTCACTGCAGTGGAACCCACAAGGAGCACGAGGCAGGTGTAGGCCACGGGAAACATGGAGGAGATGCGTGGAAAGGGACATGAGAGAAATTAAGCTCACTTGGAACGAGCTTGGAAGGATGGCTCAGGACAGAGATAAATGGAAGGAGCTTGTATGTGGCCTATACCCTGCCAGGGGTGAAAGCCATTAATGATGATGAATGGCGTACATCTGTCGTTCTAAAATCATCCGCATGTGCTCTCATTCAACTAGGACACGTTAACAGACAACAATTTTTAAGCAGTTTATTATTTTTGTTTTGATACCATAGATTGCCAAAATTCTCTACGTATTGCCTTTACTGTCAAATGCTTTTTTAAAGCCCACAAACTTCAGATTCTACAATATTTCTTAGAACAAACATTTGATTTGTACATGATTGCTTTTGTCCAAATCATGCTTGTTCCTCTATGTCTTTCATCTATTTCTGTTCTAATACGTGACAAGGTAACTGAGCAAAATAGTTCTTCAGGCACTAATAAAAGCGTTATTCCTCTCTACATGCCACATTCTTGTCTAAATCTCTCTTCTCGTAGTTTTATTATAAGTCCTTTTTGAATTCCATAGGTGTGCATTCCTTTTCAAAAACTTCATTTGGATAACAAACGTATATCTCATAACCTTCTGTTCCAGTAGGCTTAAACATCTCAGCAGTGATTCTGTCTTCTCCTGGACTTTTATCAATTTTCATTTTCATGACAATTGATTAAATTTCTGGCAAGGTTATTTCATCCGTGTTCATTTTCTATTCATCCACTGGTTGCACTTTGTCAAAGTTCAATTCATTCGGGGGAGGTGATCTATTAAAAAAATCTTGTAGATGTTCTTCCCATCGATCTTTCTTATTTTCTAATGTTGTTGCCACAGCGGCATCTTTCTTTTCTACCGGTTCCTGTGATGGGTTTTCAAAGTCTCCAGCCAGACAATTGTTGATCTGGTACACTTCTCTCGTGTCGTTTCTGTTTACTGTTTCTTGGGCTTCAAGAGCTTGCTTTTCGATGTATTCCCGTTTGTTTGCATTTTTCTCAGCTTTGTTTTTGACGAGGTTTTTTTCTGCATTTCTCCTGTGTCCCAATTTCGTCATTTGCGGCGGATTGCAGCATTTACAATTTTGTTTCATTTCTTTCTCTTATATATATTTTTTTGTTTCTTCCTGAATCCATTCTTCAGATGGTTTTGTTCCATACCCAAGAATTGCCTCCACCGTGGTGACATAATTCTTGTTTTCTAATTTTTGTTTGTTAAGTTACTCTTTTTTTTTTTCACAATGATGAACATTCTATTGACAGTAATCGATTTTGTTAGTTATGTCCTTGGATCGACCGTCTGGTGCTGTGTGTGATATACTCAAGGCTACAATGGGAAATTGTTTTGAAACAAAAGCAGAACTTGAAGACAGACATAATTCATTATTGCATGTAATATGCAGCAACAGAACTAACTTTTGAAAATGAGTGAGTGGAAGAAACTTACAAACTAGTCTGTTCGAAAGGTATTAGTTTCAGTTTTAGTAGAGGTTTTACGGCGCTCGCAACTGCATAAGGTCAAAAGAGCGCCAGAAGATTAGAGGTGTTATAAGAGAGTAACAAAAATAAAGACCAGCCCCATGAACAAAGCCCCAGGTCCAGATGACATCACAGCGGAAGCCATCAGAGCTTGTGGAAACACCGGTATACTGTGGCTGAGGCGTATTTTCAACAGAGCCTGGGAACAAAGAAAATGCCCTGAAGACTGGCAGAAAGCCATAGTAGTACCATTATGGAAAAAAGGGCAACAAACGCGACTGCACAACATATAGAGGCATCTCATTGTTAAGCCACTCAGGAAAAATGTATGCAAAGATACTAGAGCAGCGCATAAGACCTATTAAAGAGAGAAATCTGAGCAAAGCTCAGTTTGGATTCCGAAAGGGAAGAGGATGCACGGATGCCGTATTCGCATTACGACAGATATGCGAGAAAACAATAGAACACAACAAAGAATCCAACATCGTCTTTATAGTCCAAGAGAAGGCTTTTGACAGAGTAAACCATGCAAAACCCTGGAAGACACTCGAAAAGTATGGCGTCAGAGGACAATTGTTAGATAATGTCAGAGCTCTATACCAACAACAGACGCTCAGTAAGAACGAAGGAAGGAAATACAGACTGGTTCAAAGTAAGATGAGTACGACAGGGATGCGTTTTATCTCCCCTCCTGTTTATAATGTATATGGATACAATAACGCAAGAAGCAAAGCAAAGCCCAGAAAGCCTAAATGAATTTACGTTCGCAGACGACCAATGTCTATTATTATTATTATAGTAGAGGGTTTTACGGCACTCGCAACTGCATAAGGTCATATGAGCACCAGACCAATGTCTAATTCATCATGACCAACAAAGCCTCCAAAATGACACTACCGAACTCAACAACACCTGTGAGAAAGTTAACATGAAAATAAGCATATCAAAAACAGAAGTTATGAAGGTGAGCCGAAACCATAGTCCCCTGAACATCCATGTCAATAGTAAATAACTGAAACAGGTGAAAGAGTTTAAATACCTTAGCAGCACTTTTTCTGAAAACGGGTCCATAGACAGAGAAATAGAAATGCGAACTCAAAAAGCCAACGCTGTCACGTACCAGCTCGCACCCCTCCTATCTCATCCAAACATCTCCATGGACACAAAGCGACAGCTTATCACCTCAATATTCATACCAACATTATGATATCAGTGCCAGACCTGGACCTTAAGCAAAACCCATGAAAGCAAAATCACCGCATACGAAATGAAATGTCTCCGCAAAACCCTTAACATCACAAGACGAGACAGGCAGAGAAATGAAGAAGTAAGAGCAGCTATCGGCACGGAGTCCTACCTGCGTTACATAGAAAGACAGAGGATAACATGGTTTGGCCACCTGTTACGCATGTCACCTGACCAGCCAGCCTTGAGAGCCTACAACACCAAACACTCAGGCTATAAAGGAAGAGGAAGGCCACTCAAAAGGTGGATCGAGGGTGTCAAGGAAACCCTAAGAAAACATAACATCACAACTGAAAGAGCTGCGGAGCTGGCCTACCATAGAAAACTGCATATCCCCTCGACGCTTAACGGCAACAGAGGATGAAAAAGTAAAAGTAAGTAAAGTAACAAAACTAAAAAAGAAGAAGGGGAGATAAGGACGACAGATGTTTGATAGGAAAGAAGGAGCAAACCACACCAGAGCACCCGCCAACCACCAACTCGAAAGGTATGTTCATTGGTCTCAGAACTAGTCCATAAAAAAACAACAAAACATATCACTTATCAGGTTATTCAAATGTCCAAAGCCTAAGCCAAGAGGGCAATTTTTTTCCTGGAGATAGACAAAACAGTTTCATTCTTTTAAAAAATGTATCTAAATTTTGTATCTCTTCTGGCCTTTTTTGACATTTAGAATTTGAATTTTAACAAAATCTTTCTCGAAAACACATGCCATGCAACCGATACCACATATTAAGAAAATGTAATAAAGACTTTTTTTCAAAGTGTGGGCTTAGCGCACCTGAACAACTGGCCAACGATACTGATCAACAGAATAGCCTATGGTATTGACTTGAGACCAAAAATGACTTTGAAAGCATTGTCAATCCTGAACTGAGCCTTGAGATTTGTCACATTCACTATTTCCCAGGGTGCCCAAGAAATACTAAATGAGCTGCCTCACGAGTACATTGAACCTGAAGACTTACCCAAGGTTGCTGCTGGAGGCTGTGAGTTTTTTTCTTCCATATTTTCGTATGATAAATTAAAGGATTTTGGCGGGTGCTTTGGTTTAGTTTGCTCTTTCGTTCGTGTCAAACATCCATTATATTTTTTTCTTTCCTCTTTCTTTTCTTTGTCTGATACTCTCTAGTGGATTCTCCGATCTTCGGCACTTATACGACCTAAACGTGTTGCGAGCGCCATAAAACTGACCTAAATCTGAGTATTTTACCAGCCACAAAAACAAAAGAGATGATTTTATCAGGTTCCTTTTTATAACCAGCTCAAATCAGCCATATGAGTGGTTGGTGGGTGCTCTGGTGCGGTTTGTTCCTTCTTTCCTACTCAATCCTACCAAACATCTATTGTCCTTTATCTCTCATCTCTTTTCATGTTTGTTACTCTATTATAACACCTCTAATCTTCGGCACTTCTAGGACCTTCTTGTGCTGCAAGAACCGAAAAATTCTTACTAAAACTGAAACTAAAAATCCGCCATGTTTTTTTTTTCCTTTTCAATGAGTTAAATCGTGTATTGTGCCCTTCCCTTTTTCTTTGTCCCATTTCCGCCAACCAATTATGATTTCTCGTAAAGGAAGCACAGTATGACCTCATTTATATATTTACACAGATTACCAGTGTTCTCAGTGTAATTCATTTTGAGAAATTGTAATAGTGTCTTCTTTCTAACCAATTTGGTTGTTTTTCTGACAAATTTTTTTTCTTTCAAGCAACACTCCATGAGAAAAAACTTCGTAGCCAAATTATGTCATCAATAGGGACTATGCTTAAATTTCAGTGCAGTTTCATACAAAATCTGTGCTTGTGTGTTACTGGTTTTCCTCTTTAAACCAGTCTTTCGTGCTTTTGGATTATAAAAAAAATCAAATGCTTACGCTTACTACTCTCACATGAAATACACATTTCGTACAGCAAAAAACAAAATCTACGCATGCGTGGTGAGTCGAGATGACCATTACGTGCCCAAGAATGGTGGAACGTTCAACGCAGACGAATATGAACGGTACCCTGAAAGATATGCGTCCACTTTTAGCCACAATGTAAGTTTAATGAAAATCCAATTCAATTTTGTGTCAATTATGTTTTTATTGAAAAAAAAAAGTATGCTTCTTGAATTAAGGAAAAAAAGGTATTTCTGTTAGGGTTGAGGGGGGAGGGAGGGGGTTGTGTGTAAGGCTATTCATTTTGCTGACCTCTGTTCCATAGTTGTATGCAAACTTGACTTATTCACATTTATAAGCTCTGTTGTTGGAATCTTGAGTAGAAACAGATTTTTTTCAAGGTCTTGGAATGTATCCTGTCAGTTCATTATCTTGTATCGGACAAAGTGCCATGTTTTCAAAATTGTACGTTGAGTAATGCAGTTAAGTGGCTGCTGTTATTGGGCGCCCTACTAGAGACGTTGATTGTTTCAAAAGCTGAGCTCTTGAGCCACCACCAGGACTAAGGGCTAAGGGAAATCTTCATGGAATAATCAGAAAAACAAACTAAACTGCACTCGGATAACACCTTTGAACTTCCCTTTAGCGGTGGGCTGGTGAGGTGGTAAACAGAAACAAAAGCAACTTTCCTCACAACGAGGGTCGCCCCAGATAGAGTCTTATGACTCATGCAGTGTCTTCAGCATTTTATTGAACTTTTTGTCTCATCTTTTTCCCGATTGAAAGAAAATGTCTATTAAAAAATGAAATTGAAAGACTTCATGAACGTTCCAGAAAATTAGAGAAAACCTCCCATAACTTGAAACAAACTGGCTTCACAAATATTATTGATGTTTATTGATAATCAATACCTTGATGACTTCCCCCCGAGAGTTGTGATAAACGCATTCTCTATTCAGTAATTATCATTAAGTCGACTGTATTTCAAATTTGTTTAGTTTAAATTTTTATAGTCACAGCTAGAAAAAAAAATCGTACAATAAATGCTGGATGCAAGAACTGTGTTAGATTCAAGCCAGCTTCAAGAAATGACATTTGATACTCCAAACAGCTAAAACAAAATTAAATGATTGTTCTGACAACACCAGATAGCACCGTATGCCTCGTGCATCATCAACGGCATGTACTGGGCTCCTGGTTCTCCACACCTGATCACCATTCCAGATGCCAAGAAGTTACTGCGACCCACAGACTATGCTCCGCGTACACCCTCGTCCCCCGGTTGCCCCACTCTGCCACATCGTCTGCTGGCTATCTGTGATGTCTCTTCAGACCCAGGTGGTGCTTTTGAATTCGTGAAGGAATGCACAAGCATAGAAAAGCCGTTCTCGTTGTATGATGCAGAGCAGAATGTGAACAAGGAAAGGTAAAACCAATAGTCAGCTAGTTTATTATATCCAAGAATCCAAGTGATGCTTAAGAAAAAGTGGAAAGTTTGTTGGGTGACTTTGGTTCCTTGCTGATGATTATTTTGCTTGTACTCGCGCGCGTGCACACACACAAACACACACATACACACACACGCACACACACACACACATACACACACACACACACACACACATACACACACACACACAAACAAACAACGACTAAAACAAAACTACGAAAGATGAAAATACATTATTTTTGTTCCTCGTGCTTCTGGTGCAACAGGATCTTTCATGGTTTTGTGTTTTTCTATACAACGTTAAATTAGTGTTCGCATCGTCGGCATTGTCAAAAGAACAAACCTTTTCCTGTTTTGGATGCTGTTACGACTTATGTAACTGGTATTTGACGTACAAAAGAAATATCAACAAAGTTTTCAGTTTATCCAAGTTTTCTTAAACCTGTGGTCCTACTGAGACTGGCTCTTGATAATCCATTTTTTTTCCTATCTGGTCTTTTCATCGCATATTGAAAGTAGCATTATTTTTATGTCTCAAATTGTTTCTGGCCTTGTCATTGCATATTGAAAGTGACATGTTTTGTTTCATTGTGTTTGTCATACAGTTTTTCTGGTGACGGAGTACTCATCTGCTCTATAGACAACATGCCGGCCCAGATCCCCCGGGAAGCGACAGATTTCTTTGGAAGTCTCTTGTTGCCTTATATATCAGAGATGGTATGTCTTTGATTGTGTGTTTTCAGCAATGTATAGTGTGTGTCTTTTTTTGTACATCTTGTGCTGCTATCTGTTACAAATCTTACTCCATGGATCTAAATTACATTAATCAGGTCAATGGGTCTGTCTGTCCCAAACTCACTATAGTTCCTGGGTGATTTGCTGGGGGGGGGGGGGGGGGGGGGGGGGGGTTTATAAACGTATTTCTTGTTCCCTATTTGAGTTCTGCTTGACTCATGCGTTGTGTTCTATGCAATACAAATATTTAGCTTTGTAAAGTTGACTTTGGCAGTTTTCAATTTGGCATTTGTTATTATTTTTCTAAAATTCATTTATTGTCAGTTTTTTCGTTAAAGAATGGTTGCTGGACCTAGGATACGGGGGACTTTTTATTTATAGGTTTATAATTTATCTCCCCCCCCCCCCCCCCCCTCAACTGTCTTATGACTTTCTAGTAGGCTACTAAATGAGCCATCATTGTATCAAAGAGCTTTTCTTTGGTTTATGGGTGGTTGGCGGGTGACAAATAATAACTCATGTGTGAACAGTCCCTTTTACTCATATTTTTGTTATGCTGATTTCATGTTGAATGTTGGCTTTTAACGTTCATTCATTCTGACTCTCCTTAAACTATAACTCAACATTCTCAGTGCAGTCTTCTCTTTCGACTTTTTTCCCCATTATTTCATTTATTAATGAGTCAGTTCCTTGTGTCTGTTATTGGGCGGACTCATCTTGAATTACATTTCTCATTCCGTTTACGTTGGCAGTCAGACTCAAGACTGCTGTTTAACTTTTATTTTCATTTATATTTATATTTGTTTGTTTGTTTGTTTTTACTCACATTGTTATCGAATGTATAAATGTTCCAAGCTTGATTCTTTCAATAGTTCTTTTTGTTGGTTCTCTGCAGCTGAAATCTGATGCAAAGCAGCCTTTCCAAGATTATTCTTGTAGCCCTGTGGTGAAAAATGTGAGTAATCACAATGTGTATCCACAGTGCTAATACGTGCACATCATAAACCTTTTTTAAAAAAAGAAGTCTCTGCTTCTCGGGTTTTCACTCCCGACCAAAAGATGTTTAGGCTACATCAATTTTAAGTAGGCATTGTTTAAGTTTAAGGTTTTCTAATTAGCTGGGAAGTGTTGAACAATATGTTTTCTAGTGATGAATCATAGATTACTTCTGTCCTAATTTACTGAAGACCTGACAGCAGAGCTATCAGTAATGAATGTCATTGTTTTGAGCACTGCTTGTTGAAAGTAAAACGTCAGGCGCCTCTGTACACGATACTCTTCTTGTTGCCGGCTTTGTAAGGTTGACTTTGCAAAGAAAGTATAGTAGTATTATATGTGGACTTGACAACGCGTTGAAGGAAGATTTGTCGTTTCATTTCAGGCTGTGATTGCAAGCAATGGTTCTCTGACTCCGGACTACGAGTACATACAGGATCTGAGAAGAAAATCTGCGTGAGCGGAATACTATCATTGTGGTGTGAGAATTTTTACCCACCACATTGAGTTAAATTTTGCCCAAGCAACGACCTTGGCAGGGTTTACATTTTTTTAAAAGTAGTATGGTATTAAAGATAATATGGTGCAAAATCAGTTATAGGCCTAATTATGCGTTTATGTTTTGAATAGTCTTTAATTTTGTTGTGACGCAACATTGCCCCAATACCTGACAATAGATAAAAGTAAAAGTCAAATGAAAAGGCCCAGTTTACATCTGCAGGAGGTGCCAGCCTACCCCTAAAAAGGTAGAATGGCACACATGAACTACTATTCTCCGTGTTAATGGTAAAATTTTCTTTAGCGTGTCAATTACAACGTTTGGTTCCACCACAGAATTCTACACTTAAGTTCCACAGACCAGCGCGCAAATTATACGTAGTTCTGTGTCTAAGTTAGCCTATCATTATCATTGTTCAGTAGCCGGGGTGGGAAAAAAAGGGGGGGGGGGGGAGGGTGACATGATTGTGACGTGTCTGCATCCCTGATGAAGTTCTGTGCCCGGAATGTTAGTGCATACCTCCCCCACTGACACATGCAATATCAGTAACAGTAACAGCCACTAGGATGTTGGCCATCCATCTGGCATCTCCCGGCGCCAACAACACATGTTAATACCGGGTGCCATTTAGCATCAGCGGTTCGGTTGATAATAACGTCTTTATTCTCTTTCAAGTTGAAACAAAACGTGTAGAGTTGAGCATGGGGGGAATTATCATGTGAACTTGTAAAATTCAACTTCCAGTAACATGTTTTCTTGGTAGCAACATTCAGTTTTTCGACTCTCCTGTAAACATGTAAAATAGCGTATGCAGTGCTCTTAAAAATGACAGCAGAATAGGTTGGGGCGGGGGGCAGAAAAAAGAGTGCGACGGGGGCACAGAGAGAGTGTGGGAGATAGGGAAGGAAAGAGAGGGGGAGAGAGCGAGAGAGAGATAGAGAGAGAGAGAGATATATATAGAGAGAGAGAGAGGGAGAGAGAGAGGGGGAGAGAGAGAGAGGGAGAGAGAGAGAGAGAATAGAGAGGAAGGGGGGGACGAAATAGAAACTGACAGACAGACAGACAGACAGACAGACAGACAGACAGACAGACAGACAGACAGACAGAAGGATGGGAGAGGAACAAGACAAGCGCACAATCAAAAGAACGGTGTCAATAACTCCCACAACAAACAAAAGGGTTGTTGAATATTTATCATCTTTAAATTTATTGGTCACATCAACGAACTGTCGCATGCAATAGCATGCCAGACAATGTCAGTATCAAAATACACTGTGTCTTCAATTGGAACACAAAAGAAATTATGACTCGCACAGCAATGTTCAATCGGTGAGTGGAAATTAAAATTGGTCGACTTCGTGGGGTGATAGAGACTACTATGAGAGGATGAAGTTTCTCAGTGGTCATGGAATGGTATAATTTTGTAACCTGGTGAGGAACCCCTTTAATTCACTTTATGCCCCAAAAAATAAATAAAAAATAAACTAAAATAAAAACCATCGCAGAGAAATATTACGATAAAACACAACGACAATATAACATAAAAAACACTCTCGTATGAAAGATTTGTAATTGCCTAAAATGCTTAATCTATATTCAGTCAAGTCTAGCTTTCATACTGTTACTATTACATACTCTGCAGGGACAGACAAAGAAAGTGCAGTTTCATTGGCAAACCCAGAGAATTAGCTGACAAAACGCCTTTTTTTTCATTTTGGCGGCAAAATTCTCTAATTTTCCACGGTTATGCTGATAAAAAGACCTCTTTTTCTTGAAACTGCTGTGAATTTTAAAAAAGGCATTTCGTCAGCTTACGGCAGTAAAGTCTTGAAGCACTCTTTGTTATTCCAATGTCTTTACTGTTGCCACTATTGAAAAAACATCTCCCAAAAATCTAAAAAAATAACAACTGCTGCAAAATGGAATTCTGTGTCTCTGCTGCTGATGTACTTCTATTCTCAGGGTATGAGTATGAGGATCGCTTTATTTGTTCTTTTGGAAATAATTTTTTTTTTCATGAAATAGCAATGATGGCGCAGTTTTTAACTATCACGGGCTTATCCATAATATGTATAGGGGAAATTTGCACGATTTGTTAACTACACCTGCTTAACTTTGCTTGGGGTTCAGATCAGAATTTAAAATTTTTTGTGGTTTCCTCCCTTGAGGAAATTCTGGTCTAGGGTGTAACAACACAAAAAACATCAGATTTATATTTTAAAATATGTCACGAAATAAGTGTATCTTGCATCAAAATTAATGTTAGGAAATTGATGAATTTTCATAAAATGCGTATTTTGGTGAAATGTTTAAATCTATATATATTGATGCTATGCAATAATACACAAGCCAATAATTTTTTTTCTTTTTCTTAAAAAAAAATCTAATTAAAATGTCCAATTTAATCTCTTCCAACTAACATATTAAAAGACATTACAATTCCAACAAATGACCTTTTGTACAACCATAAAGAAATAGCCATTGCGATTTTGAAGCGAAAAGACTGACAAATTAAGTAATAGTACTTCTGAGGTGAACAAATAGAAAAACTAAATAACACTATCCATTTATTTGAACAGTACACGTATCATACTTAGTTACATCTCCGCATGAAACTAACCACACACTGCGTCATTGACACCATGGATGCAAGATGATACAAATACGTTATAACAGACGCTGTTTTTTTAAGTAGAAGTTTTACGGCTCTCACAACTGCATAAGGTCATATAAGCACCAGGTAGGAGACGCTTGACTTGACAAAGTTGTAGCAGAAGTTGGAGAAAACCAAAGATTTACTCTTCACATTGGAGAACTACCCACTCACATTATATAGCATCCATGAGTTCCACGACACAGTGTGCGGCTCTGAGCACACAAGGGAAAAAGAGTGTGAAGTGGTGCGCTGTTCTGAGCAATTAAGGAGTTAAAAAGAAAATAATAAACGTAAAAAGTACATTCAGCATACACATATGTAATAATTTTGACTCCAGTGGAATGAGTTCTGGCTAAGAAAATATAAACTTGTCATTAATATCTTGGAAATGGTAAAAAAAAAAGTAAAACATCATCGGTAAAAAAAAACCCAACTTCACAAAACTATTTTTAAAAAGTGTATAAAAGTGCCTACACAAACAGACAAAAATGATGCATTATGACCATTTATAGAATAAATGTGACTAGGTTTTGGTTTTTGTGTAAAATTAGTCACCATGGACTGAAATGAACAAAATATGAAGCAAAAGCTTAATTCAATTTCACAAGTACAAAATATTATACAGTTTTATATAAAATAATAAATGATTCTAAAACCATGACAACAGGATAAAAGAAGGTAACAAAAAACACCGTACAACATTCTGATATATACACAAATTTTAGGTCACTTTTATAAAACATAAAAACAAACATAAGAAATTGAGGAAAACCTTCCAACATAGTAAAACATAAAATGCTATTAGAAATAAAAGTACACAACTCACAAATACACGCTTGTAAAGCCACTGAGATCCTTCCCAAAACATTCTTGCCTCAGAAAAAGATTCATCACACAGGTACTAAAAAAACAAATGACACTGATCAAGTCAACATTATGGCGCTTACAACAATAAACAATGTAATCACTTACTCGTATACAGTATAACAATAACAATAGAGACGAATTATTGCACTGACCATCTTCAATGCTCCTTTTATTAGAGCAAGGTGACAAATACCCCCTTCCCCCCTCCCCAATTCTCCTCCAAATAATGCAAAACCAACAAAAAATTATAAATGAATTTAAATAACAGGGAGAGTTGTCTTCAAAAAAATTTAGCAAAAATATGACAGAATGTTTTAAGGATGGATTCCAAAACTTTTTCAGTAACTCATTGTTTTCACACCTGCCTACTTAATCAGACTTCTTCCTTCCTTAAATAAAAACTAGCCACTATGTGAATACTAGAGAAAGAAAACTGAAACTGCAAGAATGCATGGCGGCATAATGGCCTAGTTTTTCACATTACACTCACCAGATGCGAGTACGATTGCTCATTTGGGAAATTTATACCATCTCATTCTTTCAGTTGGGTTGATACACTGCACTAAGTCCAGGTTAGCCCTGACAGGCAAGGTAGAGGCAAACTACCTCCTTCATAAAGACCTCTTGTACCAACAGAATCATAACGTTTCTATTATTGTTTTATTTTATTTTTTTAGCAAAAAAGAATATCTTGGGGAACAAAAGCATATTAAGGGCAATTTTTCAGAATCCTCTTGGCAGCAAAGATGAAACTGGCGCAGAACCAACTGCCCCAAAAACTGGAGCAAAACTGAGAAGAATAGAACAAAATGTGTCACAACGCGGTAGAATCAGGCGCTCGTCAATTTTGGGGCATATGGAGTTATTGGTAAGACTTTGAGGCCTATCCATTTGCCTTGCTTTTGATGGAAAAAATATCCATTTATCTTTTGTATAAGTCAAGGATTGAAGGACGTGGGGGCCATCTGGTTTCAGAGGTAAAATTAGCAAGAAAATGGCCGCCAAAGTTGCGTTATTTCCTTAGCTTGAGAGTCCGCGGAAACTGAAAATTTACATCTTTTATGCCTTTAATCAATGTTTTTCAGTAAAATCCACACAGGAATGTGTTCTTTAATTTTCATGAAAGGTGTTGAGCTAGAGAACAAAAACTTGATAAAAATTCCAAAACCTTCAGGAAAATGCCAGTTTCTTCACTTTCATTATTTTGACGAGCGAGCGCCTGATTTCACCACGCTGCCTCACAAATGTACATCATCACGGCTGACAGAAAAAAAGTGAAAAGAATGGAAGAAATTATGAAAGGTCTCAAAATATGCACTGACTCAACACAGGTCTCATTAGAATGTAAAAATGATACGTTTTAGTAGATCGTGTTATATACGTAGGTAATACTTGATCAGACAGTTTAATAAATGATTAACAGGTATGATATGTGCTTTGAAGGTGAAATCATCATAAAGAGCAAGAGCAATGTGTAGAGCCTTCCTCTCCCCCATCCACTCACACAATACAGTCGAACCTGGCCATACCACAAACTCAGGATTGATCACAGGGAAAATTGATCCTCATTGATAGGTGGCTGCTCTGGACAGAGTCTGAATATAGTCAATTTTAAAACTAGACGAGGTCAACTAATGACTTAAAAGCTGAACTCTAAATTTGATATAACCATTTCTTTTCCATCAAAATTGCTATCTATCACAAGAGCTTCTTTGCTTGATTGAATGTACATATTCAGTTCGAGGATGGGTTGGCGTAAAACTTAAACTGAAAGTGACCACTATGTGCAGGTTCTGAGGTTGACTTGTCGCGAAAATGACTGACCTTGGCCACATTGGACAGGAACCACTATGGGCAAGTTAAAATTACAATAAAAATGCAAAAGTGTGGCCGTTAGTGCATGTGACCTCAAAGGAGAGGAGATCCCCAAGGCAGGTTTGACAGTACAAATAACACAACTGAGTTGTCATTCACTCATAAACAACACACAAACATCTGGTAAAAACAGATCCAAGCACTCTATCAATGCCCACACTTTAAGATTCTCCAGGGAAGCCAAAAGCTGAGGACACAAGTGTCATTGGGATTTGTTGCTGAGGAGATCAGACAGTGAGATTATTTAAAAGAAATCATTGGGATACTGAGTGAGATAACCAAACAATATCAACATACCGGTAGCAAATTACTAACTAGTAACACTAACAGCTGTACAGGGCTGGTGGTTTGAGGATGAAAAGTCAACACGACTTGCTAAAAGTGGCAAGCTGACAATGACTGAACTGATAGAAAAGGATTGGAAAAGATAAAGAGTGATGCTGAAGATGATGAGTAAAGTAATACAATGACTGAATTATTAGTAAAGGGTTGGGAAAAGAAAAAGAAGAAAAGATAATTGGTGATGCTTGGTAACAAAAAAGACTTACATGGAGCGACTATTAGAAAGCCATGTGTCACACAATCGGGAACACAGAGGACAGAGGGAGAAGCAAGTAGGAGAGTAGACTCTCAAATGGTGAGCGCTGCACTCAGTCTGGCAAATTTAACGGCATCTCAAGAGATTCCTGACACAACACTTGATTCAAAATGTTGTTCTTTCAAGTTGTATGCACAGAGTTAACCTTGCTCCACAGCCATTTTGTAAACCAGGGAGTCAATGAGTTGGCCAAGGGTAAAAGTGTATAAGATCACACTACACTGCCGCAAATTCTGATGCAGTCTCTGAACATTCTGAATCTGAACCAATGAGATTAGCCAACATTTTCACAGGAAGCAGATTGGACCAAAAGTAACACAGTAAAGGAAGTAGAAGAAGTAGACTGGGCTAAAACATCCACAATATGGGACAAAAAGTGGAGATACAAACTGAAAAAAATAAAAGTATAGACAACTGTCTGGGAGATCGGTACAACAAAATTTTTTTAAAGGAACAAACTCGTTATAAGAATCTTGAGCGGGAATATTCAATCACAAAATTTTGCAGACCAGTGTAAGCGGTGTAAGGGTAAGATCTTCAACTTGTACACAGAAGACTCGAGCTCTTCGAAGTCACTTAAGTGTTGGCCCTCCCTGTCAGGGTCAGAGCAGCCTGACTCCTAATAAATTGAGTAGATGGAGTGTAAAAGATAAACAAACAATCAATGATGAGTTTTGCAGGATTTGCCGAAGCTAAAAACGAAAAAAAAAAGAGCTGAGGAAAGGTGGGTATGCTGAGGCTGCCATACTCATTCATACTTTTACTCAAAGCAACAAGCAACACTGTGAAAGACTTTCTACTTCTTCCACAGGTATGGCCTAAAGACTTATGGTCACACAACCTTTCCACCTCATCCCCCCCCCTATCCAAACAAAAAATTCCCCAACAAACCCAAACTTTTCTCCCCATCAGCTTATTACTGACCTCAACAAGCAATGACAAGAGGCACATCATGCGGACATGGCAAGGAGACAAGTCTGTGTGGGTGTGTGCGTGTGTGTGAGAGTGTGTGTGTGTGTGTGTGTGTGTGAGTGTGTGTGTGTGTGTGTGCATGTGCACGCGCTTGCGCACACCTACATAATTGTCACCTTGGCATCGCCGTGAAACCTGGGGTTTGTCAACATAGTGAATTCTAAGAAACCAACATTTTTTGCCTGTTGGGCAATTTTTATCACCTTTCATGTCCATTTAAAAACACATTTCTGTATGGATTTTATAAAAACATGTTGATCAAAGGCATGCATAATATAAATTTGTAGTTTCCAAGCGCTCTCAAGCTTTGAAATCACAAACATTGGCAGCCATTTTCTCCCTTATTTTACCATTGACAACAGATGACCTCCACCACCTTCAAATGGAAATATTTCGACTTCTATTTATGGTAAATGGGTATTTTTTCACCAATAGCAAGACAAATTTTAAGATGATAGCAATAACCCCATATGCCGAAAAATAGACGAGCACCTGATTTCATTGTGACATGATACAATACAAGAACGACCACCCATTTGTTGTGAAGGTTCATGAAGGTAATTTAACACAATCTCAATACATGACTAAATCAATACATCCGGTAATTAGTGAAAATATGGATGAGCCCCAATGTCAAAAGACCGGCTGACCTGAACATACAGTTACTTCTGCTCTATCAAAATTCAGTTCCCTTGAACCACAATCAACTCGTAATCTTAGACGAGCGATATACATTACACATTGATTGTCAAAACAGCCTGAAAAAATGCACATTCAGTTATCATTTTTGGAAGGATAATTCAATAGGAAAGGCTGTCTTTCTGAAATTACATGTAAATGAGAGGAGAAGGCCAAGGTAAAAAGACATTGATGATTTCGGAGACATATTCATCACTTATGTCTTAGGAGGTACAGTTGTGTCAGCCTGAAATTTACCACAGGACAGGTCATTCTGAGGTTCTTTCTTACAGTTCTGAAGAGACCAAAGATATACATGAAAAGTAAATTTTAACTTTTTTTTTCTTATCCCCTACTTAAACACAAACCTACAAAACTGTCCCTGGAAACCATTATTTTTCTATTAGAGTAACTAGACAATATCAAATCAAAGGCAAACTCTACGATTTTTATCTTTACCAGCTTTACCAGAATACATTGGCAGAAAATATTTCTCATACCTAGGATATGGAAAATTTGAACAAATGGTTTATTTTATTTTAACTTCTGCATGAACTTAATAAGGATGAGACTGTTTTTTAGAAATGGATAAACTTTGCTTGCTTAATTAAACTTGCTACCTTTTATTTCCCTACAGGCATCGTGAAAAAAAGTTGATCAAATACTGCCAGTCAGATAAGGTCCACCAGGTGCAGACCATTGGGGAGGCTGCTGGCTGTGTGTAGCTGACTAGATCTAAAAGAAATAAAGACATTTACACACAGAGAACAACTGTAAGAACTTTCAGCACATACTATTCAATTAGTATCACTTGAAGAAACTATGTATCAAAATAAACAACATTTTAAAAATGTGAAAGGTAACCAGGACAGGCCCAGGATCGCCTTACGCACAACATAAAATCAGTCTCTACTGCCAAAACTCCAAAGTTTTTCCTCCCATCTCAGTGCTGAAGCAAGGGCCCCAAGAATGCTTCAGATTGGTTAACTCTCAGATATCCCTTTCGCCTGCTAAACTTGCTCATGCTCTTGACTGTCACCTCCATTGTGGACATTTGTTTTACCAATAAAAAATGAAATGTTGTGGGACAGACTTGTGTACCACGCTGCAAACAGCAAAGAGGGTTGTCCAAAAGAAATGTCACACGCTCTCCGATGAGTCACAAGAATATAAAATTTGATACACAGCAAGTCTTTTCGCAGCACATTTAACTTCTCATTGCAGTGTTTTTGAAGGCAGAAGTAGTGTTCCTTGATAACTTCTTTGAAAATAATCTCACCAAAATTAGGGCAGACAGCAGACATGCTGGACCTTATTGATAAATGAAAGTGAATTTTACTGGCATCATATCATTCCTCAGAGTCATTTCAGGATAGCAATTTTGCTTCCTGAAGATCACAACTCTGAGTGCATCGTGCTTAGCTTGAGAACTGGAGACTGTGGTGGGCTGGCACTCTGAAAAACAGGATAAACGTTTTTACAGAATGGCAGCACCGCCTCATGAAATCATCTTTTCAAGATTTCAATTATGTTTTACTCAAAATCTGCGTAGGTAAGAAAACATATTATGTCTCTTTGCAGAAAAAAGCAACAGTAATACAGTTGTCTCCTTCATTACTTATGTGGACGTTCCTAAAATAGGCCACATTCTTTGTTTGCCTGATATATGTATTCCAATTTTAGTGATGGGTATACATATTTTCTCAGTTATCATGGATGGCAGCAATGGCACTGACTAATCGGCCAGTCACAAGGTAGCAGGTCATTTAAGTGATAGAAGTTTTATTTAGTTTGGATTTGAGTCTGAGACCCTTTTTAAATAATGTTTGCTTTTTTAAGAAGAGGGACCCCAAAATCAAAATTTTGTTTACTTTACAATGGATCGAAGGGCATACAATTTTATTACAACAAATTTATTTCATAAAACACCTCCAATGGGACTGAAATCTAAGCTGCTTGTATTTAAATTCTAGTAAAAACAACTATATTAACCTAGTTAAGAGTGCATACCAAAGAAAGAGAAAAAACAAACAAACCGAAAAGATGTGAACGAGATCAGGAAAAAAAAAGCACAATTCAAAAAGTTTGGAAGCAATAGGTTCCATCATCCCTCTACAAGGTAATTCTAGATGGAATCTATAGATCTTTTATTTGGGAGTGGTTGGACACCTACATCTCTTCGCAGTCTGACTTCCTGGCTGAGCAGATCTGTCTCCCAGTCACCACCACTATCTGAAGGGTCAAAGTTGTACATGGGCATCAGGTGATGTCGCAGTTTGTCCATTCTGGAGAAGAATGAAGATCAAGTAATAGTAACAAGGACATAAAAATGTTCATATATTACAGGTCTCACTTTTCCCCATATAGTAATAAGGGAAGCTGAGAATGTTTCTGAGTGCTCTATGATCTGCTCGGGTAATAATATAGTATGTAAAGCGCATAGAACTAGCTATCGAGTGAGGCTCTATATAAATGCTATTTATTTATTATTATTATTTTCTTAAAATGAAACTCAGGTTAAGTACAGAAAAAGAGTCTACATATTTATACACATTGGTATCAGTATTACTCCTGACAAGAGGCAGACAGACCATTAGAGCTTGATACACAAACCTTGATGCATCAGTGGTCAGCAGATGTATAAAATGATAGAGAGGTCAACTTGGCAATACAACAAAACTGGTGAATTTTGAAGAGAATACTACTATAAAACTATGCGACACTATAAACTTTAAAGATCACAAATGTGGTATATTCCCTTACCTGCTTCGCTTGAGCAACCACACAATCTGAGGGCAAAGTGTAAAACAAACTGTCAGTGCTTGAAGTCAAGAATCATCACAATTAGTGGATAACACACGGTTAACAGCAATAAGTATATACACATTGTATTGTATGGCTCTCTTCGTCTATACAAAGTCAATTTAGCTTAAGATGGTCTCAGGGTTGTCTTCATGCAGCTTCTTTCACAGCTAATTCTTCCTAAGTTTGAAGCGCAGATTCTGTTGCAGTGCTCGCATGTCAGTGACGTGGATCGAAGCTCTGTATTTCCGCTGTTTTCCTTTCGTCATTGTCGCTTCTCAGCCATGTTGTTTTTAAGGCTGCTCTCTAGCATTATAGTTCTTTCTTTTATCATTTTTCTCCATGTTTTCCTGTCCTCAGCTATTTCTTCCCAGATGCTAACATCTCCCAAGCTTAGATAAGCTGTTTTTGCAGGTGTCTTTGCACCTGTTTCGGTCTTCCTCTTGATCTCTTTCCCTGGGCAAGTTCTCCATAGAGAAGTAGCTCCGGAATCCGGTTGTCGTTCTTTCTCTTGATATGGCCCAGCCATCTCAATCTTTTTAAACACAGGATAGTAGTCATGCTCTGGAGGTTTGCGCATGCCAACACTTCAACATTTGTAACCTTGTCATGCCACAAAATGCCTAAGATCTTGCGGCAGAATCTGAGATGGAAAATGTCTAGGCGCTTTTCTTGCCTGCTGTACAAGGTCCATGTTTCAGATCCATAAAGGAGTGTACTGAGGACACATGCTTCGTAAATCTTGATCTTTGTATTGATGGTTAAAATCTTTTGTTTTCCCATGCTCGTTTTGTCAGCCTTCCAAAAGCTGTTGCCGCTTTCCCTATCCTGATGTTGATCTCATAATCAAGAGATGTAGTAGAGCAGATGATAGACCTCAGGTAACAGAACTTGTCAACTGTCTCAAGTTCCTTGTCGTTTAGCTATATATGGCTCTGCTCTGCACCTTCTTGAGAAAGGTTTTCTTAACACTGATGACCAAGCTAAAGACCTTGCATGCTGTTGATAGGTGGTCCATCATTGTTTGTAGGGTTGATTCACTGCAAGCAACAAGAGCAGCAGCATCAGCCAAGAGAAGGTCTTGTACTGTTGTTTTGTTGATCTTGGTCTAGGCCTGGAGTCAAGCAAGATTGAAGAGCGACCCATCAGTTCTCCAGTGGAGGAAGACATCCCCTGGTGACTCTTTGAATGTGTATTGCAATAAGACAGCAAAATAAGCGCTAAAAAGGGTAGGTGATAAGACACAACCTTGCTTTACTCCGCTATTGATGTACAAGCTGTTTGATGTTGAACCGTCAAACTGAATGGTGGCCTTCTTTTTTTAGTTTTAGTTAGAGTATTACGGCATTTACAACACAATAAGGTCATATAAGTGACGAAGATTAGAGGTGTTACAAGAGAGTAACAAACACAAAAAAAAGGAGGGGAGATAAAGATGATGGATGTTGGATAGGAAAGAAAAGCAAACCACACCAGAGCACACGCCAACCACCCACAGTGGCCTTCACATCTTTGTGGAATAAGATGATGTGCTGTAGCAGTATTGGGGGGCAGCCAATTTTTTTCAAACACTACATACAGTCCTGATCTACAGACTGTATCAAAAGCCTTATACACATTACATAATAATAATTTATATAATATATGACATTTATATAGCACTAAAACCTGATTCAAGAAACAGGTTCTGAGTGCTCAACAAATATAATAGGAACACATAAACAGCACATAGTGTTCTGACTAAAAAAAATACATCTCATTAATGACAAACAAAAGACTTCCTATTTCAGTAAGAAGAAATGATACGATTCATAATGCAAAAATCGCATGTTGGTAAATAACCAGCATACAGGCCTGCGGAGACGACATAGGCCTACTTTCGATTCAGTCATCTGTACCCCTCCCAAAACAGCAACTATCATACACTGCAAAATGTGATCAGGACAAACTTATTCATGACCAGACTTTGGAAAGATGCTACCACTTTTCTTAGCGCTAATGTGACCCAATTGCCATTAGAGGCAAGAGCTATTGCACAATTAGAGGAAAAAAACAGATGGACTAATATGGCTGATGCAGAGCCTCAGCAGAAAAAACGAAGTTGAAACATATTGCTTTAAAAAAGATTTAAACAACTTTTACATGGCTAACATTATGAGCTTTCCTAACAGAAAAAGTTTACAAAATGCTGTGAAAATAATAATTTTTCACGAAAAGAGCACGATTAAATACTCTATTCAGTGAAAGATGTCACAGTACAAAGCTTAAAGTAATAGTAAAAATGCTCTCTATTTTTCATTTTCTACATAGAATTGCATGCCAAATCTGTAGAGAAGATGATTTTTAAAAAGAAGCAGAACTGACCATGCCAATCCCAACAGCAACACACAGCAAGGCAGTGACCGGCAACAAGATGAACAGCAACACATGATTATCCTCTCCTCCTTTGCTGTGAGTTCTTGTTGGTACAGACTCATTCAGGAGTGACGAAAGTGTTTTTGTAAGTGGCGCTAATGTAGTGTCATTCATCATGTTTCAAAATCAGCCTGTATGAAATATGATTTTAAAAGATGTTATGTAATGAAAATCAGAGTATAAACAAAGTGCATAAATTTGTAATAGTAATAAAACCATGCGTCCTTCTCATTCATGTCCATATATTCAAACTTGCTAATTAATATTCATCTTAATCCTCCAAAAAGAGTTAAGTCCAATGACCATATATGAATCAAATTAATGTACAATCTAGCACAGATAGCTCAAACTCGTTAGTGTTGAAAAATGTGTTTGACACATGCGACATTCATTATTCGGGGACAGTGATGCCAATACAAAGAAAGTATAGCAGTTCAGTCAAGGAATTGCCTATTTTTTAAGCTCTATCAGGATCCATGAATTCAAGTTTTTTTTGCAGCCACTGTCTTCTCAAAAACTTGCAAGGACAGATGTGTCGAACAGCTCATATTGAAAAGCCCAATCAAACCTTTCCTTACAACCGTCTTGAATTCAAATCACCAAGTGTTTGCATGATGAAAACAAACATTCCTCATCACTGAGTGTATTTGTTTTTAAATATGAGCCCATCGGTTACACTACTGGTAAACTTGCAGTGTGCATAAGGAGCTAGAACTTCCAGGGCTCCCCTATACGCACAAATGTGCGTATATTACGCATTAAACCTGCAGATTACCCCCTTTAAGTTTTGGTTGTGCGTGAGCTTTATTCTTTATAATTTCATTTCAGGGGTAGGCATACGCTTTAAAACGTAAGTGGTATGCGTCTGGCAAGCATCATTTCCCCCCTTCCCTATCCCAAAGCCGAGTCAATGATTTGCCGACACACCCACAGACAATGCACGACAGTCCCCTTCTGTTTCAGAAGAAGTCAACTAGACGACCTACTTATCAGCTGCGCACAGTTTTCGGCAACATAGGCTTGCTTCAGCACAGAAGCTCCGCCCACATTTTGGTCGCTCACATTTTCCGGTGTCGAGCCTTGAGTATACCCCTGCCGTGAGATTACTACCCCCATCCTTCTTTAACATACAAGTAAACATGAATTGCCCGTCATCGAAAGTGTGGAAAGACTGGAATGTGAACCCTGGGATGGCTCTGAAGAATACTGAATCAGTTTATTTTCCAAACCTGCCACTCACCCCTGCCCTAAATCTCAAGCATCCCAATTTTCCCGATTTTGATTGCGTGTACCCTGATTTTTTTTGGTTAAATTTTTTGTTACGCCAGATTTTTCTAAAATCTTACTCTTGTCTTCTTTTCTGTGGTGGGAAGCACTCGTTAAACTTTTTGTCAGCCGAAATTCAGAGCACTATTTTCCTAAATGTCTGTCGAATTTAGCAGTTAACTCACCAAAAGTTGTGTTGGATCTTTACTCACACGTTTTATTTCAACTTTTATGGATTGGAAGTAGAATCTAGTATTGATTTGGCATTCCGACTAAGACATTCTCAAGATCTACTTTCGCCAAAACATGCTTTGTCAGAGTTTTGGTTAGTTGGGCCCAAGACCCGTCAGTAAAACTGTTTCAATCGTGCGTGCGCTTCACGTGACAGGACTTCAGCGTGTGAGTTCCGTGTGTGTCTGGGACTGTCGTTGACGGGGTCAATATAAGTTAATGCGCACTGGCTGAAGCGTCTTTCCGGACTTATCCGAGGGAAGGGGGGTGTAAAAAACTTGGACTAGGAGACCTTGACATGATACTTCAGGATTTAAAAAAAATATGATAAAACACACAGAGACACGCGCACATGCTCACACACACACGTACACACATACACCACACATACACTACACACACGCACACGTGCAGAGGGAATATACATGGATATAATAATGGACACCCCTGGAATTTTTTTAAGTCAGCTTAGCAGTGACCTAGGTGATTTGTCGTTCATCTCGATTTTTTTCCACCAAGTCCCAATTCACCCCCCCCCCCCCCCCCCCCCTCCACTGAGATCCTGACCTTTAGATTTCATAGAGTGGCAGGTCTATTTTTCTTGGAGTATTATAGTCGGAGTTGACCCCTTTTGGTTTGTCAACTTTATTTTATTTTTGATAGACCGAACTGCTCAACCACCACCACTCTTCCCCCCTCCAAATGGACACAACTCTAATTCTAGTCAACATTATTCATTTATTTCTTAAGTTCATTAAAATCGCTACCATTCATTTATAGTTATGGTCACTCTATGGGTGTCTGTGTGAATGTGCGTGTGAGTTAAGTTTTTGCAAGCAAAAAATCTTACTGTAAAATTATAAGATTTTGACTTTTACCCTTTAAGTTTCTAAAACAAGGGTTTAAATACCCCTTAAAATTGTAAACCAAAGGGTGAAGGAACCTCTTAAGTTGGCCTGAAAAGGGGAGCCCTGACTTCTTTGAGTCATGTGAGGTTTGGTGCTAGGTGGTGGGGTGTGGTCAAGACAGACAGCGTGGTGCTCCATTGGGGCAGTATAGTGGTGAAATACGTTTGTGTGTGTGTGTGCAAGAATGTTTATGTTATGGTTGTTTGAATGTGAAGGTTGATCGGGAAGTGATTACACAAGAGGAGTGGAAGGTGTGCTCTGACCAGTGTTGTTTACATCACCATGACTGTGATCTGATGTAAAAGCAATTTTATTAGTCATAAGTCTCATCGACATCAATCTCTTCCTTTCTTTTGCTTCAACATCAAACAAGGCAGGTGCACCATCCATCCTCCTCTCTATATATGATGGCAGTGATTTATTTTCCAACTAGTATACCATCACAGTTACTTTCCTTGATTTTGTTCAGGTATCTTTTATTTTTTGTTATCACAGTTTATTCTAATTACGGATGTATCAAACACACACACAATATATATATCTATGTGTGTGTGTGTGTGTGTGTGTGTGTGTGTGTGTGTGTGTGTGTGTGTGTGTGTGTGTGTGTGTGTGTTTGCGTGTGTGTCAATCTTTGATGTGTTCAAGACATCCATGCTCGACACAGTAGGCTATATAATTCTATCGTATCTATGACTACGAAACGGTATTTCATTAGCTCAACAGAGCAGGAGCAGTAACTGAAAAATAGCTCACAAGTCTCTCGCTTCTAGCATCAAATTACCCCTATTCCACTTTACCTCCCTACTCCTCCAATAAAATCCAGCCCCAACAAACATTCTAATATGTGCTATATCCAGCTTGCTCAGAATTACAAAGCAATCCGAGGTGTGTAGATAGTTCTACACCACACAAATTGCTTAAGCCATTTGCATGTGGACGGTCTTGAGAGTAGTACTATGTGACTTGCCTGTGACAGTATTGAGACACAAACTGAAGTGACTGAATTCACTGAGCTGTCTTAGCCTAGTGATTTCAGACTTTGTCTTTCTGATTTGTTGCAAGCATAAACAGAATTGCTACTGGGGAAACAACATAGATTTCTAAACCATAGACGGTAGACACACACATAGGGCCTACCGTCTTTCCTTCTCTCAGCAGGTATAAATACAGAAGATGTTAAATATTTTGTTTTATACAGGTAAATAAAGAGGAATATATCAAGGGGGGAGCGGGGAGATTCCGTTAAGACAGGTTTCCGATTTATACAGGTTTCCGTTAAGACAGGTTCGACTGTATATATATATATATATATATATATATATATATATATATATATATATATATATATATATATATATATATATATATATATATATATATATATATATGAGCCTTCAGTACCGGTACTGTAAGTGTTAAAGGCCCAAAATATGTCCTAATCTATCAGTTTTCAAGGTCTCTCAAGCTATTGAAGTTACCAAACTTTGGTGGCCATTTTCTCCCTAATTTTACCGCTGAAACTTGATGACCCCACCTCCTTCAATTGCAAATATTCTCAACTTCTATTGTAGATAAATGGGTATTTCATTTATTGAAAGCAAGGCAAATGAATAAGTATTCAGATGACATCAATAACTCCACATGGCCAAAAATTGACCAGTGCCTCATTCCACCACGTCGCGACAAATTATGGGTATTTTTAAGTGGAAATGGAGCTCAGATTAACTTCTGCGCAGACAAACTGTACTATCTATTTGAATTGTCATGATAATTATAGATAAATAATATCTCTAAACTTAACGGCCCGCCTCCATTTTTATTACAGTAATCTCCGTCTATGATCCGGGGGAGCAAGGAAAATGCGGAATCTTAGGCAAACGAGAGCTTAGCCGACACACCAAGGGAAGAATCCACATTGACTCATATTCAGGCTCACAGCCAGTAAAATGGGTCTCCCTTTTCTCTAAAATGAATTGACGTGACTCCTGGGTGGGTTTATGACTATGGCTGACTATGGCAAGCAAAGAGTGGTCAATCTTGATGACCAATCACAGTGGCTTTAGGCATGCCATTTTCACTTATATATATCCTAATCCTCCGATTGTGAGTCTCAAGATCTACCCTTATCCAGCTGCTCCTCCCCTTTACCTGTCCAAAATTTATAGCTTTCCATCTCTGACTGACTTCCCCCACCTTCGCCATTATGCAACATATATAAGTAGTGACCACACCAATTAAATTCAGTCTGTTTCACAAATTCAAGAGTATAGAGACAACAGCTGCAATGGTCAGGGTTAAGACTTCACATATATAAAACCATGCGATCCCGACTAGTGCAAACTTGTAAGCCCAACCCAACCAGCATGTGATGTAAGTTTAGGTGGAGAGCTCAGAAGCCAGTGCGATGTTTGCAGAAAACGAATGCGTTGTGGCGAGTTGACGCCTCAGTGTGATCCCGTTGGGGGCAAATATTGAACATTTCATAGAGATTTAAGACTGACATGTGATCGCATTTATGAGAGTGGCTGATCTTTGACGCAACGAGCAGTTCAATTATCGCAAATTTCACTCTTGGTTTGATCTGCTGCGCCCACTCAAGTTTTTGTTCAATACATTAGATCTCAGATATGAATATAGATTCTATAATGGAAGTGATTATTCACACCAGGTGAGCGCATAAGAATTAATATCATTCACACTGGGTGTGCGAATAAGAAATAATTCTATTCGCACAGGGTCGAGCCTACGTTGATTTGGGACCTCGTTTGTCACACCCGGGTATCCCACCTTTTGGCAAAGGCTTTTAATGTTAAAACAACTGTACACTAACTAGATAGTATAAATACTTGTTTTAGTTTTACGGTTAAAGCATGCACTCATCTCTTGTCTCTCTCTCTCTCTCCCTCTAGATCTCTCTCTCTCTCTCTCTAGACGCAAGGAAAACAAAAAAAGGAAAAAAGAGAGATTTGAGTCATTATCATTGACACTGACACAATACACAACCTGAATTCCAATTTGAGTGGGGGGTTTTCGTACCGCATTGCAAAATTAGAATTAGATCTAGATCTATCCCTACCAAAGATAGCACATACCCACATGATTAATCGCTGGAGTCTTTATTTTGAAGCTCTCTTTCGTTTCTCCAGAAAAATAATAGGATAATCACAGTCTGTTAATTTCACTTTCATTGTTTTTCACACAAGTAGGGTAACTGTTCGCAAAGTACGCACATTTTCCAAGAGGGCGCCACCAAATTTTGAGGACACTTTTTTAATTGGCTCAAAGAGAGGAGTGAACAACATGTACCTTGTTACTCTTGATCTTTGTCCCTACACGATGAGGAGAAAAAATGAGGAAATGCTAGGCCCAATTAATCTCCATCCTACTTTTGAAACGTCCTGTGCCAATAATATTTTGTAGTATTCACACACCCTGTGCGAATAAAATTTCATAGTATTCACACAGTATTCACACACCCTGAGCGAATAAAATTTCATTGTATTCACACAGTATTCACACGCCCTATGCGAATAAAATTTCATAGTGTTCGCACACAATTCCATAGTATTCACACACCCTGTGCGAATACACACTTTCACAGTGATTATTCTCACCCGGGGCCCCTGTCACTGAGCCCTCCAGGCGACAAAACTCGCCCCCCTCTCTCACTCCGCTAAGCGTGCGAGGTGACTAAAATCCCCAATGGGCATGCCAGCGCAGCATTGCAAAGGCAAACTATTACTAACATTATTTCATTAAACAGCTTTCAGTTAAGGCTAAATTATTTTTAAAAACATACTCTGGCAAGTGAATTCCTTTCTGAATTTAGAATATATTTACACTTGTCTAGGGTTTTGGTGAAGATATGCATGCGTGCATACTCTTAACTCAAGATTTTTAAAAATGAAACCATAACAATCCCCGCGGGAGCCTAGAAAAATCTGCCAGCGCTCTGGGGCAGGGCAGGTCACGAACGGTCACTCTCTTACAATTCACAAATTATTTTCTATCATCCGTTCTCAACACCCAGGTAGACCTAAAAATTCATTGCATTCTCAGACCGGGTGAGAATAATATTCATGAGAATAAAATGGATATTATTCTCACCCCGGGTGAGAATAAAATTATATTTTTATTTTCACTCCGGGTGAGAATAACGACAGCCGAGCCAATAACTACAGTAGCCTTCTATAATTAATATACTGATCGATCTGAAATTTGAAATGCATTCATTTTGTCTTAAATAAAACAGCAGGATCTTAGGCTAGGTGCACCTGGATCGTAAGCGTTAGAATCGTGTCATAGGTTGAGATTTAAGTATCTGTATTTTCACATATCTGTATGTCCAAGAAAATGTGGCAATTTTGTAGTTTCCTTCGTTAAAGTCTAGAGTAGGGGGGGTTCAGGGGGGCATGCCCCCCCTGAATTTTATCCTAATTTGATGTTTTGCAGTTAGGTTGCATCCCTGCTCTTTGTGTAGCCTATTTCAAATAGTATTTGGTCATCAATACTTGTGGATTTCTTCTCTGGGTGTAAACAAATGGATCGTGGACTTAATGAACCCGAACGGAACTACACGTAAGATCACAGTGACAGTAGAAGTAGAAAATAAAAACATAATTTACTCAGTGCCATTTGTGTGCATCTGTTCCAAACCGAGAAGTACTGTTGTTTGGATTTTGTTGTAACTGGTTTTCTTTCTTGCTTGCTCTTTTGACGGGACAGGAAAGGCTGAATGATGAATGTGATCACGAATTTGTGTGAATCATAGAAATCCGTATGTTTTCACCGTTTGTGATTGTTTACGCGATGAATATGAAATCATACACCGGATTAAATAAGCGGAACACACACTATTAAACTCCTAACTTGAAAACCACAAACAGCTTTCAGTTCAGAAAAAAATTGAATTCATTTTTAATAAGAAATAATTTTTTTAAATATAATATTTTTAAGAACCAAATTAAGATATGAAGCTACACAGAAATTTAGTTTATAGTATTAAGCCATTCTCCTTGACATCCCACGGCTGATAGCCGTGCAAATTTTACAAAATATCGATCCAAAACAAACAAAATACAGATTGCAAACGATTTTTAACGAATTAAACTCAATATGAAAAAAGGTCACAGATTCTGAGATCAGAGATCCACAGTAATGACTGTATGAACTTGCCTCTCTAGGCCTATTCTGTGCAAACACCGAAACAGACGGTTGACACTTGACAGATTGTCACTAAGACTCTGAGTTTTTCGAAAATACAGTCACCTCATGCTGCATGTCCCAAAGCCAACTTATTTTATTTTCCAACAACATGCACTATTATTACAGAAGCGTAGGTATCAATTTTTTTTAAAATACAGTCGAATGTGCCTTGACGGCCTCCTCTATAGGAAGGCCACCTGTACAAACGGCCACTTTCCATCCCCCCCCCCCCAACTTACGTTTTTTTCTATATAATTTCACTGTGTAAAAGTTGTAAATGGGCTGATTTATCAATGTCATGTCATGCTCATTCTGTGCCGGAACAACGAAGGGGGAATTGCTGCTTTTCTTTCCTCATCCTTACTTCTATCGTCATTTTCCCTCTAGATCTAGAACTTTTTTGTATGTTTGTCACTCTCTTGTGAATTGCAACAGCCTGAAGAACACCAAGAACTGTAAATACCTTGGAAGTATCATCTCTGCAGACGGCTCCATCGATCAGGAAATTGATTCAAGAAACAGCAAGCTCTCGGTAGACTGAAAAACAAAGTACTAAAACAGCACAATGTCCGGCTGTCAACAAAAGTCAAAGTGTACGAAGCCGTTGTGCTCTCCTCCCTCCTCTACGGTTCGGAGACCTGGACACTCTACGGGAAACACATCAACAAGTTAGAGCAGTTCCACCAAAGTGTCCAAAGGGCTCTCTGCAGTATACACCACATCAGGTGGCAAGACTGCATCACCAACTTTGAGGTCCTCAGCCGATCAAGCTCACAAAGCATAGTAAGCATGCTTGTCAAAGCCCAACTGAGATGGGTCGGCCTTGCCATCCGCATGGAAGACCACCAAATGTCCAAACAACTGCTGTACGGCGAATTCGCAAGTGCAAAAGAAATCTCGGGGGGCCAAAAAAAGCGGTTCAAAGACACAATAAAGGAAAACCTCCAGTTTGCACAGATGACCCCCAAAAATCTCGAAAGAACTGCCACCAAAAGGAACGCCTGGCGCAGGAACGTCCGTCTTGCCAGCAGAAACAGTGGAACATGTACAAACTAGAGGGAGAAGCTGACTCTCAGAAGCGAGAGAGAAGACATAATCCAAGCACCCCAACCACGACATTCCAGTGTCCCCACTGCAACAGACATTGTACATCCAGGATCGGATGGCACAGCCACATGCGCATCCACAGATGAGCTGCAGGATTTCATCGTCATCTCCGGCAATGAAGGACTACCTACACATGTGAATTGCAATTTCCGGGGTGCCTTGATAGTCGAAGCAGACTTTGTGCTGTTGAGGCTAGAGAGGTAACTTACTTACTTGGTTGGAGAATTGGCATCATTGCAGGCGGCACAATGCCATAACTGCTCCTCTCTCCTATCGAGGATCCATGAAAGGGTCTGCCTGCTGATCATGTTCGTTAACAGCTTCTTCTGGATTTTCCACGCAGGTTGCTGTCTCTCCCCTACCCTCTAGAGACACCAGCTTCCCTTAGTCTATTCTTTGTGTGTGAAGTGGTGCCTTCATTCTCTGTGGTCATTGAACCATGCTTTCAATGCTGCCATGACTAACAGCTTCTTCTGGTTTTTCCATGCAGGTTGCTGTCTCTCCCCTACCCTCCAGAGACACCAGCTTCCCTTAGTCTATTCTTTGTGTGTGAAGTGGTGCCTTCATCCTCTCTGTGGTCATTGAACCATGCTGTCAATGCTGCCATGACTGTTGGTGGATCTAATTTGCTGCCAATTTCACACTGGCTGGGCTAGCTTATCAGCATGTTCGTTCATTGCCTTGAACTCCTGCATGACCAGGGCTAAAGATCCATACAATCCTTGTGAGTCTGCTGCTTTGTATTGCCTCTCGCCAGTCTGCATACATCATGTGTTTCTCCACTTTTTCGAGGGTACTCATCGAGTTTGTGATGAGGATGGCAGATTGATACTCCGTCATCTTAATCCAGTTAATGAGTTAAGGGCTTCTGTGGTGGCTTTCTTCTCCATGCACATACTGGACATGGTATTGTACAAGTGGCACCTGACAGCTCTCTCTGTATGACCCCTTTTCAACGGCGCTGAAAGCCCATCTAGATTTGACACCAGCTGTACTGATCCATCTGTGAAGATGACTATGTCGTCGTCTTCACTGTTCTCCTCTATCAGCGTCTCTGCCTCGGCATTGGCTGCTCCCTCTGGCCACTCACAACATTCTCTGCCTAAGGTTGCTACTACTCGAGTATACTGCCAAGGTGTGTCAGTGGCGCTGACCCAAGCACTGCCCCTTCGGATGTCTTGCACTTCACAACATTTAGCCAAAGTCGTCGTTGCTAGAGAGGTGAGCAGAGTAAGCCTGATTCCCCGTTTGGACTTTTCTGTTGACTACCGCCCCTTGGTGCTCATATATGACCTTCTGCAGTTGCGATTGCTGTAAAACCTTACTAAAACTAAACAATAAGTTGATGATTGATAAATCAAAATAATAGAATCAAAATTGTCCATCTTGAAAATTAAAATTAACCTCTTCAAGCTTCTCCTCCTTGTTGCTGGGGCTGAAGAGTTCTATGCTGAGGTCTTTGCATTCTGGTCAGTTCTCTTCTCTTACTGTAGGGAAGTGCTTGAAGAACTCAAGGACATTCTCCACTGACCAAACTGCTGTACCGCAAAAGGAAAACTGTTGTGTGGGAGACCTTGGCTCTCATTTAATAAGCAGAGCGCATTGACATCATCGGTTTGATTCAGTTCGGTTTTGTCGGATTGGGGCTAGCCAGATTGTCCTCCATGGGAGCGGCAAAATCGACGAAACTTATGATGACTTTCAATAATAATCGCATTTGTTTTCAAGGCCGCGCGTGGGGCGATTGGTGTGGGCGGTGGGTCTATTTATATAGTGTGCACTGAAGCCGCCAGAAACTGAAATGAACCGACCAGATCCTCCTATGGGCATTGCGTGTATTAAGTCTTCATAGAAATGGGCACTTCATTCCATTTGATGTTCTTAAAGGCCTTTGGTGTGTGTCCCAGAAAATCAGATTTTGTACAGTTACACAGCTACAACTGGGTACTAACTGGTTGTATTGTTCTATTTTTGTTTCCAGATTCAAACTTGGCTCCGTCGGAAATACAGTGGGAACTCTGTCAAAGATTTGAGAATCGTCACTGTCTTTAATGATTGGAAGAAAAGATTTTCCCTGCTCTCAGTTCCTGAACCAGATGTTTGTGCAGAATACATTATTGCTCATGTTACTGGGCAGAAAACAGTGAGTGTTTATTCATGATGTTTTAGCCTCAGAAATGAATCTTGGTAATTTAGCTCAAGAAGTAAAGAATATTGAATTTAAAAATAGAAATGATTTTTCTTAGATTGACCCCACTAAGTACCTTATGTGTGCTCCTTGAATGCCTTGTAATCTGCTACTGAACTCACCTCTATAGGCCTGCATTTTATGTAGGCCATTGAATTGCATGTTAAAGAACACCCGGTTTTCCAAACTTTTCATTATTCTCTTATTCTTTCTTCCAAATTCTTCCTGATTTTCAAATCCAAAATCCAACCCTTCATAATTGTTATCTCTAGCTTTGCTTTTGTTCTTCATGGCACTGAACTTGAAGTATTCCGAGTGTTTTTTATGTGTTTCAAGACGAAAAATATTAACTGGACTAGTCTAATGTTTGGGAAGTCTTGACCATTTAACAGGTTTGTCAACAAATCCTTTATCAAAACTGAAACCTGCTTCACAGTCTTTACGAGCTGCTTGGATAGGTGCGAGGCTGCAGTAACTTTTTTTTTACCATATTGCCTATCAGGTTGGACTTGTTTTCTTCCTGGAGCTGTCAGAATTGTCTTACAAATTGTTTCCAGTGCAGTACTTGATGCCTGGATCCCACTTTTTGGTCTCATTCCAAAGTCATGGGTTCTCTTAGAATTTTAATTTTTCCCTCGTTTCTTGTCTTGGATATTCTCATAATTGTTGTGTTCAATTATAATAACCGTGTCATTGTAATTTGCATTTATTTTGAGGAAATAGAGGGTTTATTTTGTTTTTGTGGTAATCTGTATCATAATATCCCGCTTTCAATTTTTAGCTAAACAACACAGACATGGAGGCATGCTTGACCCAGCATCAGATGACGAAAGTCAATGACCTCTGTAAAAAGCGACTTACCCGGTGAGTTAACAGATGTTCTAAGAATTTAGCTCAAAGACATACAGTCAAACCTATCCAAGACAACTGCTCATTATCGAGGAGAAAAGGTGTCATCTTAGACAGGTGGTCGTCTTGGACAGTGTCATTATAATCTAGGAAAAAAAATCTCTCATAAACATCTGAAACAATGAGTAACCAATTGTGAGGCATTGTGGTGAAATCAGCACTCGTCAAAATAATGAAATTGAAGATATCAGCATTTTTCTCCAGTTTAACAATTTTTTTCTAATGTTTTTTTTTTTTTGCTCAACACCTTTTATGTCCGTTTAGATCATATTTCTATGTGAATTTTACGGAAAAACATTGATTAAAGGCACAACAAATGTAAATTTTCAATTTCCAAGGACTCTCAAGCTTTGGAAATCACCAAGCTTTGGAGGCTGTTTTCTCACTAATTTTAAAATAGGCATGTATTTTTTTTTTTCAAAAGATGGTCAAATGAACAATCTTTAACTCACTTGAGCCTATTCCTGTGTATTTACGGGACGCCCCGCTGGCCCGGTGACCTAATCATGTGTATTTAAGAGATGCGCTTTATTGATCGATATGTCCTGTGATTTTCTGTTACACGCTACTGGAAGCAGTGAGCAAACAGTTGACCCACTTGTTTCGTTTCGTAAAAATTTGATGAAGTTATATGCTATACTTTTTTGAGCTGTAACGGACTTAAGTTGTGAAAATTACCCCTGCATTGTGATAGATGATTGTATTATAAATTGGACGCCAAAAAAAAAAAATTGCGCAACCCCAGACATTGCCATTTCAAAATATTGATAACATAAAAACTATTTGGGTAAATTAGATGCAGTTTTCTTTTTCTTTGAGAGCATTTCTATCTTTCTCTTGTTGCATATTAAAAAAATCATGATAGCTTTCACTGTATTTTTGTGGTTAATGCTTCAATATACCTGAAAAGTGTCAGGCTGCATTGGTTGTTGGGTGAAAAATAGCTCAGGCTCAAGTGAGTTAAGATGATACCAGTAACTCTAGATGCCCAAAAACTGACGAGCGCCTGATTCTACCACGTTGTGACACAATTGAGCTTCTTTCCTTTGATGGAAATAACCCTTAGGAAACCATTTGCCAACCAGAGGTGTTACAGCACTCATTAGCAGTTTTGAGTGACAAGCTCATAGACTTGAGACAGGAAGAAATAGAAAGGTGGGTGGAAACCAGAGGCTACGGGACCTGTGATTGTGAGGTCATGGGTTCGGGGATTTGAGCCTCAGCTCGGTCTGACATTGTGTCTTTTGGAAAGACACTTTACACAAATTTCTTGTTTGGTTCTGTCCTTTCTGAGAAGGACATTAAACTCATATAGGTCCCGCCCTGTAAATAACCTTATAGTGTTGATAGGGGTGATCCCATTTTACATTTTCAGATATTAGAGGGGGAAATATGTTTTGGGATGGGCTGAGTGGCTAGTCCTGTTTTATGATGTGTTAAGTTTCTCTCTGATTTATGTTTAAAAATCTTCACTGTGAATTAACTGTACTTTCTGATTACTTCTCAGTTCAGTATTGGCTGAATCAGATTCTCACATTCTTAATCCAACTTGTTTGACATCCATGACAAAAACAAATCCTTCTTCACTCTGGACAATCTGTGTTCCTGCAAGAGATGTATATTTATTATGCCCATTCAATTTATTTCGTTATTAAAACCTGTGATCAGTAAAGAAAGCACTCAGCTTGAAGTGACTGTCTGTGGCAGTAGCATGCAGTATGCAGTGAAGATAGTGTTGAATAAAGTTACTTATTAAAGAGTTTGCCAGGATATAGAGGCGTCTATTTGATTACCTTTGATGTTGCTGATCTTCATCTCTTTATTATTGATTGTAACTATTTTGTACTCGAACTGACTCAGTTTAGATCATTTAGGAGGTGGCTGCTTGAACTTGCCTGTGTGGGTCAACCCGGTCTGAGTAGGCTATATGGCGCTCATATGACCTTATGCAGTTGCGAGCGCTGCAAAACCTATATCATTCACACTGAAAGACAGTGGTATACAATTATTCAACTTTCCCTTGTGTGGGAACCAAATATAACATGTAGCACAAGTATCTTAGTCTGCGATTTTCATGAAAAAATCACTTATTTACAGGTTCCAGGGCACTGGGAAGGGGCGCATGCTTTGTAAAAACACCAGAGTCGTACAATTGTTTTGTGAACATGTACTTTAAATTGAAATTCCAGGTATTTCTGATGGAGGCGGTAGTGAAAAATCAGTTTTTTGTGTGTAAAATTTGAAAAAAACCTGAGTTACAATAGTTTTGCATTTGATTGTTTTGCATGCAAGGCTTGAAAAATACCGGTTTTGTCTTTACAGAATGCCCTTGCAATATGTGCTAGAGGAGTGGGACTTTCATGATTTGACCCTCAAGATGAGGCCACCAGTGCTGATCCCAAGGCCTGAGACAGAAGTAAGTCCCCCTTTAAGTGGGTAAAAAAATCAGTACTTCATGTTTGATGACAGCAGCTAAAAATATAAATCAGTACTTCATGTTTGATGACAGCAGCTAAAAATATAAATCAGTACTTCATGTTTGATGACAGCAGCTAACAATATAAATCAGTACTTCATGTTTGATGACCGCAGCTAAAAATTTATGGGTCCTCATTTGCTTCAGTGTACAAGCATTGTCATAATTTTGGCCCAAAGTGAGAACCAACTAATTTTTTAAATAGGTGTCTATTTAGAATTTAAGTGATTTAAAAGGTGGAACATCTGAATTAATGCCCATCTCTGAAAAGGTGTATTTGAGAGCTCTACAATTTTCCATTCCACTTTTTAAAAATAGAGATATGAGCCTACATCATCAACTGCACTTTCATTGATCTTACCTTTGCTACCCTCTTTGTTTTTAGAACTCGCATATTTTGACATTATTTGTTGGGTGTAATATTTCTTAGAGGTTTATCTTATGGAATGAAATTTTTTGTCTCAGAAAATTCACACGTGTTGGTAATCCTTTTAGTCAGAACTTAAGCTCTGCTTGGGAGGAAATGCATGTTTTTATTGTTGTGTGGCCAATCAAAATAAATCCTTGGCCACATAAAATAAACTTTTAAATTTCCCTGATAAATCTCGGGTCTCACTGTTGTTACCGAATGATATGTGTCGTGGTAAATGAAAAATGAACACAATATCATTCAGTATTGATATCTCTATTCATTGTGTCTCAAGTTTCTTTTTAGACAAAATTTTTCTTTTCTAGGAACTTGCAGACTTGTGTGCAAAGACTTTACGAGAGGATGTCATGAGTTCAGGACATGGACATCAGCATAAGCTGCTGGAGATTGGTAGTGGCTCTGGTGCTTTGACCATCTACATACTCAAACGGTTCACTGATGTGAGTGGAGTTCTCTCTTAGTCCGAAATTGGTGGTGATGTTTATACAGCTACCCTTGGACTCATATCCGTATAGACTTTAGACCAAAATCAATATTGCTATAAATAAATGCTTTTATAATTATTATTACTATAATAATTATTACTACCTTTATTATTGTTATCTTTATCATCGTTATTATTATTATTGTTGTTGTAAATATTATTATTAGGCCTGTTGACTTCTTTCTGCTCACAGTCAAGTCAGTTCCTTCTACATCTTACTGGTCTTTAACGGTACACCTGTAACAGTTAGAATATTTACCAAAATGGATTTGATACTTTGCATCTTTATCTCCGAGGGTGGTAAACCCACTATGCCGGGGCCCACTTTGGATACGAAATCTAAAAGAAACACGCACATCACTAAATATGTCATTAAATCTAAACAAGTAAACCTTTTTCAACAGTTCTTCATCTAATGAATGAAATCCGGGTAAAAAAGACCTGTTTTCGGGAATTGACGAAAAGTAATTTGATGTCGAAGTCGTTGTAAAGGAATGTGGCCGAGCCGCTGCCAGAGTATGAGTTGTTAACCTTGTGTCTCATTGAGCATTGTCAACCCGGATGTAATGCTGTGTTTCATCACAGTTGTTATAGATTCCAAGGATAAATCATCATTTTTCTACTCCCATTTAGCATTACCCTTCTTTTTCTAAATTCATGGTATTTATTGAAATGTTAATCACTTTGAAAAATTATTCTTATTGTGACTAAATTTTAATGTTTTCTGTGGTTTGATTATTGATACTGAAAAATTATGTTGTAATGTAGTTGTACTGTATTTCCTATATCTTCTGTTACAGCTAGACGCTGTGGCTCTGGATGTCTCGCCAGATGCTTGTCAGCTGACTACCGATAATGCAGAGGCCGTGGGTGTGAAAGATCGCCTAACTGTGGTTGAAGGAGATGTCAGGAACAAAGATTGTGAGTTGTTTTTTTTTATCAGACATTCATCCCTTATGTCCGTGGGTGGTTGACGAGTGCTCTGATGTGGTTTGCTCTTTCTTTCCTGTCAAACGTCTATTGTCCTGATCTCTCCTCCTTTGTCATGTTTGTACCCCTCTTGTAGCACCTCTAATCTTTGGCACTTATATGATTTTATTGTGTTGCAAGTGCCGTAAAACTCTTACTAAAGCTAAAACTAAAAACCTCATGTCCTGTAGCGTGTTCTTCTGTACTTTAGATGTTGTCTACACTGGTGGTGGTTTCATTCTGCTGTTTGCTTTTCTCCATGATTTGGTCTTTTATGACTTTTGTCTTTGCTGATGAGGTCAGTGATAACATGTTTTTGGAGTGTGTGTGTGTATGCGGGTGTGGGGAGGGGGGTGGGGTGGGGGGGGGGATGAAGACACTGCCGCATCTCTACACACACACACTCTACACAGACGCTCTCTCTCTCTCTCTCTCTCTCTCTCTCTCTCTCTCTCTCTCTCTCTCTCTCTCTCTCTCTCTCTCTCTCTCTCACACTCACTCACACACACACACACGCACACACACACTCTCACAAATACACACTCTCACAAACACACACTCTCCCTCTCACAGATACACTTACACACATGTGCTTGTATACACACTGTGTTCTCACACACCTGATCTCTCCCACTCTCTACTTGTTTCTGTCCCTCCTGACAATGTTGTCTCTTTCTCTTTCTGTTCGTTTTCATTTTTTCCTGTTTTAGCCACTGGTTGCCACTTTGACTTTGACTTTCTATTCTCCCTGAGGTTCTCAGCTCAGGCAAAGTTGAGATCTTTAGGTCCTTTCAACATGCTGGTTAGCAACCCACCATACATCAGCACTGAGGAGATGGATATACTTGAACCAGAAATAAGCAGGTATTGAGAAATTTGAGTGTACGTCTTTTCACTTTATGACAGAAGATACAGTCAAGAAGAAAAATGGCCGTATAACACAGGCGGCCATCTTAGGCAGGACTGATCAAAATGATGAAAGCAAGTCATTCTCTTCTGAGGTCCAAACTGGGGCTGATCTTAGGCTTTAGACTTCCATAAGAGTAATTCAAAAGGGTTTTTGTTTTCTTTTGAAAAAGGGGGGTGAGTGATGTATGAAGTGGTTTTTGTGTTGTTGTTTTGTTGGGTTTTTTAAAAAAATTGGGGGGGTTAGCTTTATTTTTGTTGCTGATTTTATGCAAAAGCAAAATAAACAAACTATTATGTAAGAAAGACGACGATGGCCGAGTGCCATGGTAGAAGAAACACCCATGTCGCCACCTCTCGGAGAACGAGCGACGCTTCTATCGCAAGTTCACGTCAACTTTGTTACAGAATAGGTAAACAAAACGGTGACCAGTCACCTCACACACGATTTGTGCTTGAGTTGTTGGTGGGGCTGATAGGTTATGACGGATCAGGCTTCCCTCACCTGCAGTTGAAAATTTATTGTTGGACCTACCCATTGGTTAACTTGGGTAAGCATTCATTGGAGGAACTAACAATAATGACAGGTGAATGATTCAAAATTTATGACAAAGCGTCAGGTAGCGAGTGACCACGCCTGGCTGCCTGAGGCAGATAAATTTGACCATGGGTTGATAAAATAAGGTGGCCACGGCCGCATTGGACTGGTGACCGTTTTATATAGTTGAATTATATAGAAAAACGTAAGGGGGGAAATGGAAAGCGGCCGTTTGTACAGGTGGTCATATTATACAGGTGGCCATGATGGCAGGTTTGACTGTAAATGAGGAGAATTTTTAATACAAGTGTGTTTCTGTTTGTTGTTTTTTTCATGTGCTTTTCCTTTACTTACTTAAACTCCATAACACACACATGTGCTCTCACATGCGCACACACATACTTGTCACGATGTGGTGGAATCAGGTGCTCGTCAATTTTTGGACATGTGGAGTTCCTGGTGTCATCTTAAATTGAAGCTTGTTTATTTGTCTTACTTTCAATGAAAAAAATGTGAACCTCTTTTTTTAATAGAAGTCAAGATGTTTGCAATTTAAGGTGGAGGTCGCCTGGTTTCAGAGGTAAAATTTGTGAGAAAATGGCCTCCAAAGTTCAGTGACTTCCATAGTTTGAGAGTCCTTGGAAACTGGAAATCTATATTTTTGTGCCGGTAATCAAACTTTTTCAATAACATAAACACAGACTTGTGTTTTTAAATTGTCATAAAAGGTGTTAAGCCCAAAATATTTTTAAATTAAAACAAAAGTTTTGTAACCGACAGAAAAATGCTGGTTTCTTCGATTCTATTATTTTGACAAGTGCCTGATTTCACCACGATCCCTCACATATATTATATAGCCTAACCTTGGTCTTGTCGTCCTTCAGATTTGAAGACCCTGTTGCCCTGCACGGTGGTCCTGATGGGTTTGATCTCGTCTCTGAGATCCTTCAGCAGGCACCAGAGTTGTTGTCTCCTAATGGGTGAGCATATTCTCCGTCAGTTGTGCATTCAGTGTATGGTATAGTGGTGCTAAGGCAGTTTTTTATGTTGTCAAGCAAAGAGTTGTACACATTTTGTTGCTTTTGTTTGTGTCATTTGCACAAATGCTTTTGTCATTTGTATGACTTAAGATTTTTAATAAAAACATAAACCTTCATTATTTTGTGCCATGGAAAGATAACACTTCTTAAATTCAATTTTTACATCATTACAGCGTTTAGCGTACTTTTACTTGTTTTTACATCTCATAGAAGATGAAGCTCATTTTTTGTCATCTGTGAAGACTATGCGTGCTTTGTCACTTTTGTCTAAGTTGTGTACAAATGTAAATGGTTTGAGCTGTTTTTGTCTTGCATTTTAATTTTCATGAAAATATTTGCAACATGCTTTATACATTTTTCCAATGCATCCAAGTTTTTGTTCTTTTTGCAGGATTTTAAGGTTTCTTTTTTACTCTATTCACAGACATTTATGGCTAGAGGTGGCATCACAACACCCAGAACAGGTCAAGTCATTCCTGTCGAGATTAGGGCCAGCCCACACACTCTCCTATGTACGCACTGTCCAAGACTTTGCTGGAAAGTGAGTTCTAGCATCTCCCCCCTCCCCCATTGGAAGGTTTTGTCTGAATGTGTTACTTTTTGTGTAATGTGTTTTATAATGTTGCCAACAATCAAAGTTATGACTGAAATTAAGTGTTCATATGGGCTCCTGTATTCCAAATTTCTGCACAAAGATAAAGGAAAGTTGTTAAGTATTTTAGTTCCATCAATATTTTGCTGTTTGTTACCCCGTCTTGATTCTGTGAGTGCTTGTGAAACAATATTTGTTGGGGGTTTTTTGGTAAATCTTTGACAACAATTGTTATTACATTTCTCTCTTTTTGCTGGGATATGAAGGTCCATTCATGTATCCACTCCCCCTTTCCTCCTCCTCACTCAGTTTGCAATTTATTGGCATCCTTTGGTGTCATTCGTTTAGGACGAAAAATTGTCTGACGTTACTTTATCTTTTTTTTTACAGGGATCGATTTTGCCACGTGAGAAAGGACAGTGCAGTTATATGAGTTGTATTTGGACATGAAAACATGAAAGGAGTCTAAGGATGGTGTGATGTCAAACTCTGCTTTAAAGAGAAGCACATTGGCACAATAATGGTCATTTAGTGCCAGGAAAATGTAAGACAGACAGACGGAGAGAAACAACAGAGGGAATGCAAAGAAGTGGGAGCTTCCAGCAGGGCCCTCCAACCACCTGCTCTGATCTACTTGCCTTGAGCCGTAGGGAGTAGAGCATCACAGTGACCATCCACCCTGAGAAGGTGCAAAGCGTTACAACCGGAGAATTTTTTACTGTTATTGTTTTGTTTTTTCAATCTTCTTTTTAGGTTGATGTCCCTGTAGACTCAATGAAGGTCATTTCAGAGTAGGATTTTTGACAGTTTTACGTTTGAACTTCCCTGCCAATGTTCATGTGGGTAACTGACTGTACCACACAGAAAATCTTGGGACATGACAGTCAACTCCACTCGTGTTGAGCTCACTTGAGTTGGTCTTTGGTTAAGTTGATCTTTTTCTCAGGAGGTCCCAGCACCTCATCTTCTTAACAGTTCTCAACAGGTTAATCTGAACTTCAGATGAGTTGATCTATTTTTCACTCGCTTGACGACATCAACTCATTCGTAGTCGATTGTACTTAATAGTAAAGCTAAAACGCGAGAAGATAGAAAATGGACTGAGAATGGCTTTTGGTTCAGGCTAGCATGGTTTCATTGTTGTGATTTTGTACATGATTGTGTGTTTCTGTATGATTCATGATGGAGTGTTGACGGAGTAAGTAAGAATGGTCATGGGAGTTATTTTGAGTAAAACAATATGTGGTACTGTTTGTTAATGATAATTCATTCATTCGCCTCTTTCACCATGGTACTGGGTATAGACCACAAAGAAGGGCTCTCCACACGTCCCTGTTCTGGACTATCTTCTCCAGCTGCAGTGTCATATGCATGATATCTGCCGCTAGATCTCATTTCCACGTGAATTTCGGACTTCTTCTCTTTCTCCTCCCCTGGAGGTTCCATCTTACTAGGCTTTGCATTGTCACATTGCGGGTTGGCTTTCTGAGTGTTTGTCCAATCCATCATCTTCTCTTCATAATCTCACAGCCAACAGGCTGTTGCTTGATTTGCCTTAATAATACTACATTTCTGATGGTGTCCGGCAAGTAGATTTTCGTGATCTTCCTCAGACGACCATTTATGATGGACTGTAATTTGTTTAGGATTGATGATGATAATAATGACAGTAAAAAATCTATGTACGTACAGCACTACATCTCTGTGTTATGTTTTTGATTAATGGATGTTCTTGTGTGATGAACTTTTCGGTGTTTCATTTATCCAAGTCTCTTCCAAGTGTAATATCGTTGTTATCTTCTTGAATCAAAGCAGCAACCAAATGATATAGATATAGACTAGGCTGCTATGGTTTTGATAGAAACAGAAGTGCTTTCAAGACAATAGTCGTTAGATCCTGTGTGTGTTGATGCATGTAAGTGTATGTATTGACCATGCTGCAGCAAATTTCTCTTTGTAGAGATCAATAAAATCTTATCTAGAGCTTACCTTCGTTGGGTTATCTCTGATCACTGTTACAAAATACATTGTACTTGTATGCTGTCAAATCATAGACTGGATATGGCGTCGCACCCGCACCCGAAATGAGCGATACGACTCTGTACTTGTAGTGTACGACTACTCCCCTTGTTGGAGGTCATATACTTTTGGAGTTTCACAGAAGGATCGATGTAAAATAATTCCAAGACCATGACTCTATTCTAATGAAAGATAAACTGATCTTTCTATTGGTGCCATTTTTTTCCAATATTTTACATACGTTGTGTAAAAAGTGATCTTTGAAAACTTTGACAATATTTCTAAAGGCTTTCTATTGAAATTAGAAAGGCGAAAAATATGCCTCTGAAAACTCTGTTTAAAGTACTCTGCCAGTGAAAAGACAGTATTTAATCATTAATCTTTCCACGAAGCAATCGAATGCTGGGTGTTAGTTTTTCAACTGGCCAACCTCGCATTCTGACCGCGAGGGGCTTTGCTTTCCACAGCGATCTCCAACTCCAAATACACCAACATACAGTAGAATATAGCGGGACATTTGGTTCCAGAAGAAAAATTCCGCTGTAGGCGAGTTCCCACTATAGGAGTGCTAAGGGAAAATACTCGAAAATTTCTCAAAATCCATATGATCACTTCCATTCCATATCAATAAAATTTGTGCTTATAGATTAGTCTTCCTTTTCTTGTCAATTTTGTTGATTATCTCGGCCTTGAACTCGAGTGAGAAGCATTTCCTTTTGTCTTTTTTGGAAGCCACTTTTTTCTCGGTCCCGTTGCTTGTGCTGTCTATCATACCGGTAGGCTTACTGTAGAACTGGTGAAGTGGATCTGTGCGTTTGCCTTTGAGCATCAACGATCGCAATTCAATGAATCAGGAATCACACACACACACACACGCTCTCCTCTTCTTTTACTTTTTAGCCTTGGCCAAGGGCTATGACCTATACGCTCTCATACTGAGCGTCTAAGCTACGGCACATTACTTTTGGAGTGGCTCACGTAACGCTGCACTGCTGTCTGCCTGTTTGGAGCCCGCCTACAGCCCCCCAACCCCCTTACCCCTAGCTATAGCTCACTCGATCTCTCCTACTATGTGCGAGTTCGGGCCTTTCCTTGCCCCGCTAAACCGAGAACAGGTAATTGAGTTTACATAGGAAAAAAAAAGGGATTCCGGTAAGGTTCCGTTGGAATGGGGGTCGCTATAGTCATGTTCTACTGTACAAACAACTTACACCATTGAAAAGAGGAAAAGCTGAACTTTTTCATGGTGTAAATTATTTGGTGTTTTACAGCGACAGAGAAAAGAAACAGCAATCTGAATCACTCCAATTTCACCAAAACAACTGGCTCAGAAAGCTAAGAGTCGGCTTATGCACCATGTTTATGTTACCTACACTTACCTGACCTAATTGTATTAAATGTATTGTAGGTGCCGTAAAACTCTTACTAAAAACAAAAACAAAAAAGTGAGTACAAAAATGAACACAGTGGGCACAATTATCATTTTGATATTTTTATTTCCATGCCTATAATATCTGTCTCATACACCAAAATAATATGTAAAGAAAAAGCTTTGTAGAATGTAAATTTAGATCTTTTTCACAAAGCAAACCAGAAAATAATTAGTAGATCTACAACAAATACTGTTTGGGTTTGGGATACCTCTCCATAGAGTCATAGAGACGTTCTTCCACTCTCAGTTCACTTTTCAACATACTTATTTTCCATTCATACCAGAAACTCAACATAAATGCTTCCTTCAGTATATTATTTAAATTTTTTTCACAGTTAATTCTGTTGTTATTGTGACATTTTTACACCAAAGGTAAAAAAACATGGAAAAAGCTTTCATCAAATAGAAACAAGACCCTTGCAGACATAACGATCTGCAGTGGAATATATTATTATAGATATTCTATGAATGTAAAAGAATGTGTGCAGACAAAATTTATCGTAAAACAAACTGCTCAATATTTCAAACTGCCTGGAATATTTATTATAAAGCTGATTCCTAAATATCCCTCAAGATACAATATGAAACAATTTTAACCAAAAAAAAGTTATTTCCAGGTTATGTATATATACTATAAAATACACATCCGTGCTTGTTTAATACCATCTGCTATAAGTTCACATTCACATAAAAGTACTGAGGTACATGTGAAATTTTAAAAGCAAGCAAGAAGTTGAGATTCTTATCTTAAAAACAAAACCACATGATAATGATACACTTTGAACAAAATCTTTTTAGTCGCCAGTAACCTGTTGTAATACTAAAATACAAGGTATAATAATACTAAAATACAAGGTAAAATACACAACAGTATAGATCTGGTACAAATGAAGACAGAACAAATGTAAACATTTCAAGCCTTTACAGGTGTGTACACTGTTCTGTCTCCTTTGTTTTGAGCTAAAGGTTAACAGTTTTTTACTGACTAATTTTCTAATGAGAAAGACCAGCTGGACATGAACACAACAAGATTAAAGACTTTGCTAAAGATCCAAATAATGAACAAATTCTTTGGTTTTATAAGCGACTAAAGAAGATTTCACTTGATATTTCTGTGGACAATCTTCTTTATTACTATTAAGAATATAATATATAACAGAATATATACTATATAACAGAATATTCAGTGGGATGAAAAATTCAGCCAATTTTACAAAGTCAAAATTCTCAAGACTATTGCAGACACAAGTTCATGCACTCACCTATTCCTATTGCATGCATGTAGCTTAAATCAAAGCTTTCTTTTCCTCTTAACTTTTCCATTGCATGAAGGGAGATATATATCTTTGTTCACATTTAATTTCAAAATGGCACAAAAAGGGGTGCTGCTAATTTTAAGGTTGCACAAGCTTCAAAATGACATTGAAGATGTTTGTTTGAAATTGAAGGTACTAAAAGCAAACTGATGATATGAAGAACAAGTGCACTCTTGTGGACATTTACAAAGGAGGCCTCCATTTCTTTAAGTGTTGAGTTGAAGCCTGCTTACCTCTTGGTACACAATGTTGTTTCTGATAACCTGGAGTAGAATTACACTTACTTCAAATTATTTTGCAAAAATCGAGACTTAAACTTGAACATTTTCCAAATAACCTACCGATGGATTCAAATCCAGAACATCTACGAAATCAGTGTCTTTAGAAAACAAGTAACATTAACATCACACATCTTCTCATGTACGTGTCTTCTGAAAATAACAAACATTAACATCGCACTCCTCCATTCCCATGTACAGGATACGGTGGTGCAGTCCATTGTACACAGAAATTGTTAAAACAGCATTGCGTTGATTCCCTCCACAACTGAAAGGAACATTGCTAAATAAGTGAGATAAGGCACATGTTGACAAATTGTCACAAAGAAGTTCTGTGACATGCACAGGAGCCATTGAGCTTCTTTCAGTGAGACCGAGATTTGTATCACGTACGTACTGATATGTATGTCAACAGTCTTGACAAAAGCCAACAACAACACCAATGTTTTACTCTTTAACATTACTAATTACTATCTTTTTCTTACATGCACACAGTGTGCTCATGCCACTGAAAGGGGTGTGCATATTATGTGATATGCTGAAGTCAAAAGATTGTGTACCTTCCAGATATTGATACAGTCTAGCATTCACCAAGCGAAATCGAGGGACACAGAAATCTTTTTGTTACAATTGAATTTGCTATTACGAATTTCAGGCAATATGTAAGAATATATATTATATATGACAAAATTTCCCGACCTGAAAATCTGTTCACTATATGCAAGCTATATATATATAATATCATTCATTCAGACTATTTTAGATCTGCAATTAATCTCAGATGAGGTCATGGCATCAATCAAACTTGAATGGTTAGACTTTAAACAAAGCCACTGTCGGTTTACTGGACCATACGAAAGAGAACACTAGAAAAGAAAGAACACAAAAGCTATTCAAAGACAAATGGAAATAGAAGGCAAGCTTACAGTGGAACAAACTTCAAAAGCACAGTTCAAAAGCCTCTGTAAAGGAAAGCAAGTAAAAGGAGATATTAAATTATTACCCTGTGACTGAAATTATGAGTTGAAAGCAAACAGTAGTTTTAACAAAGAAGTTCTGACAAAAATGAACACATAACGTCTAGGAAAAGCTGAAGAACAGTTAGCTTATTGACTGCCTCTGAGCAAAGAGGGCTACCTCACAACGGAAGGGAAAATAAAAACCCTTTTTGAATTTGAACTTCCAACTCCCATGTGTTCGTTGACCAAGTTTTTACAGTGAGCAGTCTGGACCACTAATAGCATTAGCGCTACAAAAGACGTTGAATTTACACTGTACGATGTATATCCTTTGCTTAACACTGCATATAAATCTTTATAAAAATTCAATTTTTTAAAAGTTTCTAGTCTATAGAGTAAGTCTGAGTAAATGAATAGTTTTTATAGCAGCTATAACAACCAAAACAAGGGAGTTGTTCAACTTCTACAGCCTAATGTTTTACATTTTCATAAATATCCATTTTCTGTTTTGTATCATCAACAAAATGAGTCACAAATCACTGAAAAGTGGCCATAAATGTAACACGAGCTGATCTACCAAAACTCAAGTACGCAAAAGTCAAATTTATTTTGTTGACAAAAGCTTTTTCAAAGATAGAAAGTACCAGAAATCAGTGTATACTAATCTCAATTATTCCTGTGGTTTCCACTTCCTCAGTGACTGTTGCTTCTCATTTCCATAACCGCACAACATATGGAACATAGAGATTGAGATACATGCTTAATATATTTTATATATATATATAGTTGGCTAGCTGTTAAAATGTACAAATTTTGACAATTTTTTACTTGCAGCTCCTTTAAGTTTATCTGTGGTATCGGCTGCATGTCTTCAAGAAATATTTTGTAGAAATTCAAATTTTCAGTGTGGGAAAAAAAGGCAAGAAAAAATATATAATGTAGGTACAATTGTTTAAAACAAAACAAAAATTTTTCTCTCTCCTGTAAAATTTTGCCTTCTGATTTTAGTACATTTTAGCAGCTTGCCGAATGTGAGTCACGACGCTGTGAAATCAGGCGCACGTCAATTTTGGGGCATATGGAGTTATTGGGATCATCTTACAGCTTGGTCATTTGTCTATATTTCGATGAAAATAATAATCATGTACCTTGAACAGAACTTGAAATATTTTTTATTGCAAGAGATGGGGATACCTGGTTTTAGAAGTAAAATTAGGGAAAAAATCGTCGCCAAAGTTTCTTGACTTCCGTAGCTTGAGAGTCTTTTCAAAGACTCAGTTAATTTACATTTTTTAGGGACTTTAACCAACAATTTTCAGTAAAATCCACCCAGAAATGTGTTTCTGAAAAGTGATAAAAGATGATGAGTGACTTTAATCAACAATTTTCAGTAAAATCCACCCTGCTAAAGAAAGAAAATTTGGAAAAAATTGCCCAACTTCCAGAAAAATACCCGTTTCTCTGATTTCATCATTTTGACGAGCACCTGATTTCCCCATGCTGCCTCACATATATATAAGGTAATCAAAACTTCTAAAACTATTAGGAATGACCAAGTCCAATCACAAGACATCCAAAGAGTAGTCTTATGTTATCAAATGCAATTTAGTACAGTGATGTTAAGCTAAAAACATTTTACAAACTAAAATCAGTGTACATTATACAATGTGTTTTGCAACATTTGCAAACAATGGAGGCAGCTACCTGCATGCAGTAGTCTGAGTCATAGGAACGACTGTCTAAGAGCTAATCTCATGCAGCAAAATTAATTAAATCTACTCAAGCCAAACAGTTTTTCTTTTAAAAAAAAAAAAGTTTAACACATAGCTCCATGTTCGCTGTGCGCCTGCTCTCAGTAGCTTGCAGGAACTTAAGGACATGAGATTCAAGAGACAGTTCTTATGTATGGGACACAAATAACTAATTATTTTTCACTATAACATGAGATTCAAGAGACAGTTCTCATGTATGGGACACAAATAACTAATTATTTTTCACTATAACATGAGATTCGCACTACAAGTACTTGTACTTACTCCAATATCTGACAAGTTTTTCACACAAGTGTCAAGGCTGTTGAAAAATCTTCCATTTGAGTTTAAAATTATTGCGGTTTATGTGCGTGTTGTAAACAATTTCAGTTTTATTCTCTTCAAACTCCCATTTTTGCCACAGCATTCAGAGCGATTTACATAAAAACTTTCAAGATGGGAGTAAATACAAGATAGCGCTAAGCTTGCAATAAATTTGTTGACGCATAGCTTACTTATATAATTACATTTATAAAGTGGAAAACTGTAATACCCTGCAAGTATGGCTTCTGATTCACAAAAACAATGCATTTTCAAAGGGCATGACCACCAAATTTGAAGGATTGGACATCTTAAAAGGAACAGAGGAGGGTCGGGGGAAGGGGGGGGGGGGGTCATCATCAAAGATAGAATCACCAATGAGCTCAAAACTAGCCATATAAAGCTAGGTGGAGTAAAACAATGTCATTTACATTTGTGCATGTCATAAATAAAAATCTACATTAAAAAAAGGCTTACGTTTTTAAGTTAGAGTTCATGCAACTAAGTCACCAATTTAGATCCTTATCAAATGTTTTCAATTTCAATTGCAGTACTGCGTCTATATTTCATGAAGTTGCATGTACCCTTAAAAAAAACAACAAGCAATTAAAAAAAACAAGCAACAGCAAAAACAGCAACATTTGCCAAGTCAGAGATTCTCCAAAGATTTGTAAAAACACTTAATTAAAGAATATGTATAAGCTCTACATCATGTTTAGATTATGCATGTCACAAAAAATGTAATTCAAAAAAATGACATGCAAAAATAGTCCTTTTATCTCATTAAATACTGTATAATTTGAGCAGAGTGACAGAATCAGTTTCTTTTGTCCTCTGTTAAGTAAGCTTTCTAGGTCATGGCCTCTTTGTAACTGACGCTATAAAAAAAATAGCAAGTGATGTGTCAGCAGCAAAATAAATATGGCATCTTGGAGAAAGTTGTAATGTATAAGAAATGTTCTTTTATTAATAAATCTAAAATGAGTATAGTCTACAGAGATTCATAAGAAGAGGGAGCCAACATTACAAACATTTTCACAGAGTACTTGTATAAGTAATCTTATTGTACTGTAACAGAAAATATCGGTTCCCAAGAGGGCACATTTTGTACTATTGAATGGGTATCTTTAAAATATGACGCAATTAGAAGATGGAAGGAGAAGTTGCGGGATACTCATGGTCTAAACAGAAGCAGGGTACGTAGATAGTTTGTGACAATGAGTGGGGCTTGATCAAGTCAGACATCAGCACATGACTTGTCGCTTCTTTCTCTCAAGACAGAATTAATTGCGTTAGCTGCATAGTGCCCCATGAAGTAGACTTTTCAATAACATGTTCACAATAACAAAGTAGCCCGTAAAAGGGCCATATTATGTATTATACAGGGTAACATTTGAGAAAAATCAAGTAAAAGCAAAGTTTTAAAGCTAACGCAAAAAAAACCCCAAAAAAACCGAAAGGGAGTAGGTAATTAGTTTTCAAACGTAGGATAGCTTATAAATGTCATAAATTAAGTGCGTTTGGTTCTGTGCAGATGAAGGTAAATTATATCAAATACACACAAATAAAGGGCTTAAGTACAGTCTGGACTAAAGAGAGTGCAAAACAAATAATGTGTAGGATATTATATTTCTTCCATATGATATTAGCCGAAAGAAGAACACTCATCTTCCACTCGATCAATGAGAAAGATTTTTGAAACAACCCAAAAGAATGGCTCTATATGAGACAGCAGAGCTCACATAGGCTGGCAGCATCCATAATGGTGAAAACAAAACAGCGTATCTAACCGACGGGACTTACAATTTTCTTTTCAAAATGGTTGTAAGGAAATGAAAAGTGGCAAGTTTGCATGATTGAAATTTAGCTATTTCTACGCCTCTTTCAGAAGTTAAAATAGGCTCCCAGCCTATGCACCAGAAGCAATGTCCATCTGTGTTCTTGTTAACCCCAAAAAAAATATTTTGGGAGGAATAATTTCTTAATACATATCTTTAAAAAAGTGCTAGGTACTATTTTTCAAATTCCTTTTTAAATCTCTGATGAGAATAGCGATTAAAAAAATAACACCTCTTTCTTGTCTGTAGTTTTGGTGCCTACAGAATGCTGCAGCACGGGTTGGAAATCTGGAGAAATTGGAGCAAGTGGGCCTGAATCCCATCCCCCCCCCCCCCCTACATCCCCACCCCAAACCCCCAGTTTCTCAGTTCACTCGGGTTAACTGCTCAATTCACAAAGATGCGCTCAGAGTGTAAAAGTGGGGTAACGGTAGTTCGTGGTGAGGGTTGAGGATATCACATGAGTGCTGTAGCAGAGATTACAATCCAAAAATTTTAGGCAAGGCCATCATACCAAAGACTTGAGTTACCCTTTTGATCTACAGCAAACTTTCAGACATTCATTCATCGTCACAATTTCTGAGCAAGCTATTAGTGTCTGGCACAAAGTCATTTGAGGAATGATTTTTTAAAAAAAATATCTAAGGAACATTTCACAGGTACATCATTCTCATTTCAGGAACCAGCTTGGTTTCTCTAGCTATACAGTTTTCGCATCATTTTGTAAAATTTATACATGCAATATGCCATAAAAAAAGCTTCTTTCTGATAAGACAACACAAAGACTGCTACTATGTTAACTCCTACTACTTCAAAGTTCACCCAAAGAAGCCAACTATCACTTACAACTAATTAACACTCTAAGTTTAAGCTCCACACCTGCACAGTTCTTTGGTCTATTATACACCAAGCGTATGGAAGAACTGAATAAGTCTGCGAAGTTGGTAAACTTTGTGCTATGCACATAAATATTCATTTAGAGCAATGAAAATGAGTGCACCAGCCCTCATACTTTAAGTGGATTTGGAAGAATAAAATGTAACTGAGGCAGCTTCTTCCTGGGCTACACAGTATACAGTGACATCCAAACCCACAGTCCTGACCCAAATAAGGATCGCAGTAACTCTTCATTGGGGATCTGGTTGTAAAGAAGAAAAAAAAAATGTTGGTATTAAGTTTCCCCTGTGAGGATACCCTACACTAAAAGACTATGGCCCATATTTTGAATTATCACTTTATTGGGGGAAACACTATAAGCTTGATTTGAATGTGGCACTTTTGAATTCCCATTACAATAAAAAGATAGAATACGGTGAAACCAAGAAAAGCTTCATTCATAACTTCCAAACAGAGCACGACATTGTAATCAGTTTAGAAGGTCTCGTTTTCAGTTTCTATCTGCAGTCCTGAATTTCTAGCTACCTCGGGGGCACCTTCTTCTCCTCATTTCAGCAATGAAACGAAAGGAACACAGAAGATGAAAAATTCTGTGCAGATCACTCTCCTAAAGGAGATTAATTGTCTCCAGAGCTGTGATGCCTTCCTTCTTCAGCCGGGCCAGGATGGGCACATATGTCTCAGGAGCCATAGGCGCGCACACACCCTTGGTCTGGATCTCACCTGGAAAAAGTTTTTTGGGGAAAGAATTAGTTTCACAGCGCTATTGACAGCATAAGTAATTGAACCCAGCTTATCTTTTACATGCAAAAAAAACAACCTTGACAATGAAAGGTATTTTCTAAGACACCTAAACGTGTCAGCCTCTAATTAAGAATTTTCATTCATGTCTTGGCATAAAACCACATAAACATCACAAAGACCAGTTTTACATGCCAGTTTGAAAATACTATTTTTAACTTATGGGGGATGGAAATAATGAATTAGATCTTGCTAACTTGGCCGGCATAAAGACAATGAAGCTCAAAACAACACAAGGAAAATAATGTGAAACCAAAAAAATACTAATATAAAAATACATGATTATGAGAAAACTGATTAATAGCTAATGACACGCCAAACATAATTTTTTGCTCTTATCCCATATACCAAGCTCTACAAGAGAGTATGGCAAAATAAATAAACAATCTTTACCGAAGTGAAGGCCTGATACTTATCCCTTTTTAAATAAGGGACTGACTGCCAAATCATTCCTTTACAATATAAAAAAAATCCCTCACCTGCGAGAATCATGCGAGCAGCAATGCCTGTGGGCAAGCCAACAGTCCTGGCCATAGCTGAAAAGCCATTTGGATCACCGTAGTTGACCAAATCGATGCCACGATGCTCTCGCTTGCCGTCACCCCACTGAATTCCAACCTCATGACGCATGAGAATCATGTCGCGCTCATGGGGGGCTGGACAGAAAAACGATCATGGAGATGTAATATGTGAATGAGTGTGGAAAGATCTTAACAAGCTACTGGACCTGTATGTACAGAGGGAGGGTAACTAAAATGGTTAATTGGAACGAACTGGAAAGCAGTTTCAACAGTATCATTGTCTATAGATAGATATAATATGTTGTTTTTTCCTACGATTTCACAAAAACCGATGCACGGTGACAGAAATTTTTTTTCTTTTCAAAAAGCTAAACCACACCAAAAAAATTTTAATTTTCCATTACTTATTTGCATTTGGGCCAAGAACTTATTGTAAAGAGAAGTAAAAGAGAGCAGAAAAACATAATCCCTCCAGAAAAGTAAAGTAGATTTACAGCACAGCAGAACTACTGACAGACCTACTTACCATAAGCCAGACGTTTTGCAAGATAGTTAGAGAGTGTGTCAATGGGCGTGGAACGTTTGTCAATCAAGTCATCCTCTAGGAGACCAAGGCTGAAAAAGGGTAAAAAATGCGGCACTGAAACGTCATATCAAAGCAAGAAAACATGAAGGTAACTTTAATAAGAGTTTCACAGCACTTGCACCACAACTACATCATATGAGTGCTGATGTATGGTGCTTTCCTGGATTATCTTACTGACTGTGAGCTGATATCAAAAAAGAAAAAACCAAATGTGTCTGTCATTACTTGCAATAAACACAGGACTTGGTAACAACTATACCAAGAAAAGTTTTTAAAAGGAACTTAAAAATTAGTATGTACAAAGTAATATGTCGTTCCAAAGAGATTTCGAGAAGAATTTCCAGCACGAACTGGTCTTGTGTTCTCAAATTTGAAAAGAACAGTTTTTTTCAGGGTTTTTTTTTAGAATCCACTACCAAAAAAAAAAACCCATCCTAAAACAATAAAAAGTAACATCTTACATATAGTCGGTGATAACTGTCATTCAAAGAATATTAATTCTGGAACGTTTTTTTCTATCTCCAGTAGTTTGAAAAATTGAGCAACTATCAAAGTATTAACATCCTGACAAAAGCCACTGAGCTTTCAAGTCAAAATGGAAGCTGATGTAAGGAGATTTTTAAAGCATGAGAGACAAAACAAGTAACCAAGCCATCAACCGACTAAAATGACAAAGTGGCTATAAAAACATGAGACTGACTATTTGACCACTTGGCCACAAGCCACTGACAAACAGTAAACAGCATTGTATTGTCCAAATTTTCATTCAAAAGCAAACTATGCATTTTACAATCTATGTATAAAACTTGACTACAGGACTAAGGTTTAAGAATAGTCACACTACACAATGTACACCACATACCGTAATTTTTCAGCATTACAATGACTTAGAGAGAAGAATTAGTGGTGTGTCCTCAGACACAAGCAGCACTGCAAAGCTGACTCCTCAAAGTTGCATTGCAAAGTGCCTGAACTTTCAACATCGTTTTATTGACACACTGTGATATCAAAAGTCATGAAACATGAAGTCGGAAATCTTAGAGCACTTACTTGACCACACAGCTCAGCTTGAAAGGGTCCCTCTCTACCTGGTCAAACACCAAATCTACAAGCGAGTCTTGCAGAATGTCCTCAGATTTGCCAAACTTGCCGCAAATGTAGGCTTTCTGCAAAACAGACAATACACATTGTGCTAAAATTACACAGAACAATGAAAATTCAAATAGAAAAGAGCAGAGAAGTGTACCGACTTTATATTTTCATTACAGCACTATCAAACTACCAACATACCGTTTACAATAATTCATCTTGAAAAGGACAAAATTGGACAAGAAAACAACTACGGTACAGTAATAACAAGAAAGAACTACAAATTGTTGATCCTCTCAAAGCACTCCCAACTACCCACAACGTATCAAGCAGCCCAAACAGAATGAAACTGACTTCAGCAACATACCCATGTAATATCAGGTCCATTTGGGTGCAGCTGACTGTCTGGTGTCGTGTCAAACAGTCCTAGGGAGATCAGGCTCTTGGCAGCTTCAGTGAAACCCTGAATGAGTGTGTCACAGTAAGAAAAAGAGATGCAAATAGGCACGCCAACTGTCAGATATATGGTATCAGTAGCAGAGTGACTCACATTGATAAAGATTATTTTGCAAGATTAGGAGAGAAAAAAAAACCCAACTGGTTTGTTATTTTACTTCAGTCAGTTTCAGCAAGGTAAGAATGAGCTAACGAACATCCTTTTTTGTTTCTCAGATACATATACAAGTACTCCTGATTGCTCGATGTGTAGAAATTCCAAAGAACTATTCATGCAGTCTCTAATCGTATTGGAGCATTTTGTGCCTACCATCAAGGACAAACAGCTGGGAAAAAGACAGCAAGTAAAGATGACTGGTAAAAGCTGAAAAAATAGAACCTGTATACAGGTCCACACAGCCAACCCCAAAGGTTAAAATAAACTGATAAATATTTCTTTAAAATTTCAAGACTTTTCACCATTTCTTTTTCTGAAAAACTCAAAGTGCAGGTATTTACATTCCTTTAAAAGACATTTTATAAAGAGCTGTTTCCTCTTTCTACTGCACATTGAAAACTACATGTGCTTGTAATAATATTTGAGCCACTCTTAACTCTTTTTATCCTTGCCGTACCCCCGCAGACTCTGTCCCCGTCCTGGGGTTGCCGCGCCATATGAGTTGGAATTCAGGGTGTATATTACAAAGTGTTCTATTTCTTCTGTTTACTCTTAGGTTTTAAGGAAATTTGGTAATTATGTTAGCAATTGAATGTAGTTTTTATAAATGTATGTGGTTAGGAATTACACCAATTGCAGAATGTAGATTTTGAGGTGTATTCCACCCTCCAACTTGACCCTGATTGCCGCACACACGACGCCCCATTGGATTTTATAAATCTAGCCCTACCCATCAATACCGCATGAATTCCAGTACCAACATCTTCACCATGATCTGAATCGCTATTAGATGAGTTTAAGTCCTGTTTGTTATCATCCACAACGGAATTTACGACACTTGATTCAGAGTCACTTTCATAAAATTAGTCTCATTCCCCCTCACAACCCAGTGTCACTTCAAGAAGTACATGTACTTCGTCGGTCGTGAACGTGCGTTTTCTAGACATCATTCAAGCTTCTACACCCATCAAAATCAAAGAAACAACTGTTCATTGGAAAATTTAAATATTCAGACAAAGCTAGCATCGCCGTATTTGCGTATTTTGGTAATTACAAGCAGAACTAGCTTCTTTGACGTGACCATATCGCTGTTCTGAGTATACTTGTAGCCCGGACTGGTCCTCGTTACGAGTATACTCGTAGCCCGGATAAAAAAAGTTAAAAGATTGACCAGAAAATGTTACAGCAATTTAAATTTTCAAGCAGTCAATCATAATGCTTTCTTCACTTTCTGGTAAGTACTGGACACTTTTTTCATGCTTTGGGGGTCAGACTGGTCCAGTACTCCTAATAGATCCGTGTAAAAGAACTACTCTAAGATGCCACAAAAATAATCACAATGAAAACAGTACTTTCTGAAACCAATGAAGACTATTTTCTACAGTTATGAATTTTACGTGATTTACTAATAAACAGAATCATTTGTTAATTTCTGAATCAAAAGAGCCTCATCTCATGTATGATTTTATCTAATACATAGTATGAACATAACAGACAGTAGGAACATCTTAAAGTATGAGAATTTTATTTGTTCCTTGCCAAAGATCAGTGATCATGTAATAGCTCCGTTCAAAATAAGTGCAGGAGACAAATGGAAGGAGAACTTCTTATTGCGCTGCTACGTAAAACGAAATAATCTATAATCCCTTTTTACAGTCAAAGAGCTTCCTACTCTCATTTGCTATCCTGTTCTTCTGCATAATCAGCAAAACTGACCTTGTATCTGATGGTGCCTCTCAGAATGGTGTGTGCCGATTCAATCCCGTACTCTTTGGCGTATATCGTGGAGTCTCGGTTTGGGAAGCCTTCCAGGTTGAAGCCCGGCAAGAAATTGAGATCTCGCACAGAGTCCAGGAGTCCACCCTCGCTGGGAACATCCACCACCTGGAAACAACATTTTGCTATAGACAGGAGCCTATTGTATGCTAGACAGGTGGTAAAGCCTTGAATTTGATATTTTAAAAAAAGGTAAATCTGAATCGTCGATCCATAGGAAAAGTACATAATTCTTAAATTCTCAGTGCCTAATGGTTAGGAGGGAGAGAGGGAGAGAGAGAGGGGGAGTCCGACTTATAAAGGTGGCCCTTAGAGCAGGTTAGGTTCGACTGTACCTTGTATCATTACGGGAACTCAGTCAAAAACTTTCCATCTGCAAGGTTTAATGGACAACGATGGAACCTCTGAGCAAAATGTTCTCATTTCACTTTTTGACAGCTCCAGAATCATCTCATCAGAACCATACTAGTAAGAAGACCAAAACAAGCACAACATGTCTTGGCTACAAGGAGAAACAAAGATCAGAACATGATAAGGGGTCCTGGAGGTAGAGAAGGAAATAAAAAATGTAGGGAGAGAGGGAGTGAGAGAGAAAGAAAGAAAGAGAGAAAAAGAGTGAGAGAGAGACAGTTAGTTCTAGTTTTACGGCACTTGCAACACAATAAGGTCATATCAGTGCCGAAGAATAGATGTGTTACAAGAGAGTAACATACACAAAAAAGAAGGAGGGGAGATAAGGACGACAGATGTTTGATAGGAAAGAAGGAGCAAACCACACCAGAGCACCCGCCAACCACCCACAGAGAGAGACAGAGAGAGAGCAGGGACTAAAACTCAGGGGAAAAAAAGGAATATAAATGGCGGAAGGAAACAAATGAAAGAAACGCAAGAGTGAGAAAAAAAGAAAATGAGAGAAAAAAATATTTATCAAAAATAACAAAAAACAACCTGGGACCAAAAAAAAAAAAAAAAGACAAAGTGGGAAGTGATTCCCCGTTTACCTGTCCGCCTTGCAAGTACCTGGCCCCAGCCATACAGTTCAGCAGCACACCCTTAGGGTACCAGCTGTGGATGGAACGAGAGGTCATTGGTTGCCAAAACATCATCTTAGTAAAAGAGTATGGGTCTAACACTAAACTTCTATCAACATTATTAGGTTATTTAAGAGGCGGGACCTCCAAAATTAACGTCTGCCTCTGATAGAACTGAGCCTTATGGGTTGAGAGCCTTGAAAAATCCACAATTCGACTTCATTTTAAGAATGCACAGTCCAAGATTCAAACCAGTCATCTGCTCCGTAGTCTAGAAGCATGATATCAACTGAGCTAACCGAGCACCCTACATAAATAATCATGAAGAAAAACATGGCAAAAGTAAATAAGTCGGTTTGGGGGGGGTGGGGGTAGGAGGGCTTACTTCTTTACTACACTCAGTTCCCCTCAGCGTTTTAGAGGAATAAAAACTGCTACATCCAAGGCAGTAATTTGTTTTTCTTAACCTTTCTTGTCAGAGTCAAACAGTTCACAAATGCAAGTGTGTATAAAATTTACGTGTAACTGTGTACTTAAATATTACCAATAAGGCTATACATTAGACAACATTGTCCTTCGGTAAATAAAGATGAATATAGCCGCTACCATCAAGGCCAATTTGGCACAATCTCAGGCAAGACATACATTTAAATTATAATCTCAAAAGAGCATCAGATAACAAAAAAGTTTAGGAAGATACCACTGATATTTCACTTAAAGTTGTATTCATATTAGATCAAAAGTTTCAAGAAGGAACATTCAAGTGGCACATATTCTGTTAGGTCCTCCACAACATCTACCCAGTTCACCTCACCTGAACTTATAGAGCAGGGGTGAGTCAGAGTGTTCAGGGGCGGGTAATCCTCCACAGTACGACACAAAGGAGGTGACCTGTTTGTTACAGAGGATAGATAAATAAAAGAAATTGAAAAGAGCACAAGGTTGCCTGTGAGGCAAGGAACACTTTGATTAAGAAGGAAAACAGACCTACAGTGGAGTCAGCTTTGACCGAAATCTGCAGGACTGCTGGATTTTCTTCGGTTTAGCAGTATTTTCAGTTAGAGATTGCTCAAACAGAGGAGAAAAAAAATCACAGATTCTGATGTAGTTCTGAAAAAAATATTAATAATAGTAATGCTTTCATACAAGTTTAAGCTCTGACTGCTTTACATCCATGACATGATCACTGAGTGTAATATTTCATCCACACAAGTCAAAAACATTTCCCTTTAACATGAAATCCAGTTCAAGCACATAAGGAAGAACTTTCTCAACCATACATTAATTATATACACGTAGGAACAGCAGTGAAAACAAGACATGTCAGCACTTACTAACACACTAAAACTAACACTTTGATGACTTAAACAAATACACCTTGAGCAACTGCATACATATTAGGATTTGTTGTTTCACTGAGGAGGGCAAGAAATTCCAAAGTTAAGGGTAAAAATATGAGAAACCGCTCTTTCCAAAAGACCTTAATTTCATTCAAGGGGCTCTGAAGTTTACCATAGTTTTCTGATTAACTGTGTTTAAGTAGATTCTACCATTTTAAGAAAAAGTGAGTTATATCTCATTTTGAAGAAGCTGCAAAAACCATGTTATTCACTCACCTTGCCACCAGCTCTCTTCACCTCGTCAAAACACTCCATGGCCAGCATATGATCAATGCCTGGATCAACGCCCACCTCATTCATAATGGTGATGCCAGCTGCCACAGCTCTGTATTCAAAGGGAGAAGAAAAAAGACGCTGTTCATTTTCTTTTCAGCATGAAATACTACAAGACACAGAATAAGATATTTCATCAGATAGATTTAAATAAAAGAAGCTTGTTGGAAATCTGAAGCACTGTGTTCATGAACAGGGTCAAGAGGAAATACTCCACAAGCGACAAACTCCACTTGGTCTTGAAGATCCAGCATCAGATAAGTCAAAATAATGAAAAGCTGCATTCGCTTGTATTTTATGGAAAGTCGGTAAAACAATGGCCCTACTTGGAAAGGAATTCATGAGGACATTAAACCTGAGGAAAAAAATCAAAAGGCACAGATTATCCCATCCTTTTCTCTGTAAGTACTAGTCATGGTTTTCTATCATTCACAACAACCAAGACAGACAGATAGATCAAGTAGATCAGTAGATTCATGTTCAATACAATGTTATGTAAATGTCTATGTATCCATTTATGTATTTTGTGAATTGCAGTGTATATATTATTTTATTCTCATTTCGTGATGATGTGTAATCGTGTGCGTGTGATAAGCAAGTAGATGTGTGTGTGTGTGTGTGTGTGTGTGCACATGTGTGTGTGTGTGTGTGTGTGTGTGTGTGTGTGTGTGTGTGTGTGTGTGTGTGTGTGTTTGGCATACATGTGTGCGTGTTATGTGTTCGTGAGTGTGTATGCGTGTGTTTGTGTGTGTGTATATGTCTATGTGTGTGTGTTTGTGTGTATATGAGTGTGTGTGTGTGAGTGTGTGTGTGTGTGTCGCGTGCATGAATATATTTCTTACATGCATTTATGTAAAGCGCCTAGAGCTGTGTTTACACGGGAGTGGGCGCTATAGAAATATCTTCATTGTTATTATTATTATCAAGTAATGGAACAACAACAAATGGAAGGGTATATGGATGGATAAATAGATTTGAGGACAAATAAATGGACAGTAGGATGGATGCACATTTTAATAGACGATGGAAATATAGGCAGAATGAATAAATGCTAAAAAGAAATTAGGATAAAGAAATGGACCGATATAAATAATAAAAGCTCATCAATACTGGTTGGAAAGAGGGATGGAAAAACAGACGGATTGCAGGATGAAAAGACTTTCCATTCAACAAAATATGGCCCATAATGGCAGAAAATTCAAATTAGTACTAGATCTAGTGCTCATTATCTCCTTTACTTGGTAGCCTTGTTTGAAAGTACAAGGACAGAGTGTCCCTTTACAAAAAAAACAAACCTACAAAAATCAAAAGAAAAGTTGTTAATTCATCTCCTACTTACTCAGAGTGCAGCTGTTTCATGTCTGGGCTAATGTAGCTGGCGGTCACCATGTTCTTCCGGTGCTTGATACACAATTTGGCCACCTCCGTGTGGAAAGCATACGGCAGCAGGCTGTGAAAAGTAATGCAAATATGAAACCATTAAAACTCAACGTTACGCTCAGCTCAATATTTTTTACCTTAACTTTAACAAACACGAGACTGAAAACAGCTTTGCAAAACAAGGGGTAAACGAAATACAGAAAAGTCTTGTACAAGAAACATAACTAAATTGAAAGTCTGATTAAAGAGTGAACTATACCATTATCTGTAATGGACATAAACTTTTGAGCCCTGGCCTCTAAAGCCTACAGAGCCCCAGAACTTGAGCTGCTGAAGAGAACTCTTTGCTTTACACCAAATCACGCTGAAGCTTGCGTTCAGAGAGCGAAATGGTAAAACAAGAACATTGCTGTTTATTTTTTTTTAAAGTGTTTTACAGCGCTTACAACTGCATAAGGTCATATGAGCGCGCCAGACACATCAAACATTTTTAGTTGGTGGGAAATTTTTAATTGTGCCCGGGTGGTGGCCAAAACATACTCTTATCGATTTTGAACCACCCTGGGATCTTTAACGTGCCTAACTTGCACACGGGACCTCTGAGATTTTTCGCCCTTGTCCGAGAATACTAGGTGTAGATCTTGCCTACCAGAAGATCAGGGTTGGGGTTGAAAGACAGCAGTAAGAAGGAGCCAAGGAGAAGCAGTAGAAAGGCTGCAGAAAGAGTCAGGAGCCAAGAGTAGGGGGAAAAGGAGGTGAGGGGATGGGGGCAGAAAGTGTAGATGAAAGCAGAAGACAGATCATTGTTAGAGAGCAGGAAAGGATATGAAAGGAGAAAATTTTTTAGAAGAAAATTTTCCTTCTATCCGGATTCAAACCTGGGACCTATTGAATGAGAGGCGAACACCTTAACCTCTAGGCCACGAAAGCCCCCCTACATTGTCGGTATGCTATTAAAATGTACAAAGCCCATAAAAACAAAATTTCCCAGGAGAGAGAAAAAACTGTACATTATGCATTTTATTCTATTTTTTTTTTTATTAAGAATTTAATTTAGACAAAATATTCATTGAGCACATGCAACCGATACCACATTAAAAAACTGAAATTTTTTTAGAATTCAAAATTTTTGGGTTTGATGGAATCTAACAGCTGATCAAAAACACGCTTTGGCCAGCAGTGTTAAGTCCTTCATGACAGACAGTTTGAGTGTGTATTTTTAGTTTTAGCTGTGGGAAGCTCATTAATACTGTAAAAGAAAAGTACTGACGAGGAAAGAGCAAGACCACAAACTTAAGGTCACTGAAGTCTCGTAAAGTATCAAGATCGACATAAATTATCATCACCTCAGAACCTTTTTGTCCAAAGCGCACTCTTTACTCAAGTACACTTTGGACAAAATAGTTCTGAGGCGATAATATGGTACATGAGTGAGGAAAAAGTCAGCAGCTTGCACCAACATTTAAATGAGACTGTTGAACATTTTTTCAATCATTTTAATGGTTTGAGTGCATCAAAACCTGCTTGACAAATGTGATGGATTTGTGACAAACACTACATGCACTGCGACAAAGGGGAGAAGCCCACCAGGGGCAGCATTGAGAACACCAATCAAGAGCTCTCTCTCACCTTATAACCAGATCATGGTCCCCGAGGTGCTTCTCAAGGTCCTGGTACCCAGTTTCCAGATCCATGAGCAGAGGAATGACTTCAGGGCACAGTTGGGTCGTGTCGTCCAGCTCTTTCTGAAAATGGGAGGCTGAAACGGGAAACAGGACAATGATAACCTTTCTGGTAAATTTGTAACGGCCCTTCACTTTGGTAAACAGTACATGGTACTCTAAGGAAAATTGATCATCCCTCTTTTTAATATTTTATCCTTTTTAGAACTCACTGCACACCGAATTTTCTTTTTAAGAAGTGTACACACAGCAATAGGTTTTTAAGTAATCATATAAGCATAAAATGTCAACCAATGAACTACAAAAGACTGATGAAGACTCAAAATAAAAGTGAAATCTTCAGCCCTTACTATCCCAGTGAAAATGACAACTAATCCATAAATCAAGATGAACACTAAATCAAAAACCATTGATGAGCACACATTATTATGTCAAACCAGAAAGCAGTTCAGTGTTATTGTTTAGTATAGGGTTTTACGGCGCTCGCAACTGCATAGGTCATATGAGCGCGCGGGACACACCTAATACTTTTTCGTTGGTAGGAAATTTTGAATTTTGCCCGGGTGGCGGCCGAAGCCTCCTCTTATCGATTTTAGACCACCAAGGGATCTTTAACGTGCGCAACTTGCACACGGGCCCTCCGAGATTTTTCGCCCTTGTCCGAGAAGGCTAGGTGTAGATCTTTCCTACCAGAAGATCAGGGGTGTGGCAGAAAGACAGCAGTTAGGAGGAGCCAAGGAGTAGCAGTAGAAAGGCTGCAGAAAGAGTCAGGAGCCCAGAGGAGGGGGCAAAGGAGGTGAGGGGGTGGGGCAGAAATTGGAAATGAAAGCAGACAACAGAACATTGTTAGAGATCAGGAAAGGATGTGAAAGGAGACAATTTTAGAGAAGAAAATTTTTTGGTCGCTACCCGGAATCGAACCCGGGACCTTTGAATGAGAGGCCAACACCTTAACCTCTAGGCCACGAGAGCCCCCAGTTCAATGTTAAAGTAAGGGCAAAAAAAGTCATCTCCATAATGTGATGTGCACTAGAAATAATAACAACAATAAACAACTGCATTTAAATTGTGCACATCCCAACTCAAAGCAAGCTATACCATTTATTACTATCTAAGCTACTTTCCAAAACATTTGTACTTTCCTGGCATGCATCAGCAGAGGCTGCCATTTTACAAAACCCCCTGACACAAAATCTTTCACAGCTTTACAAGCCACACTAAACCCACCAACAGTGACGCAGGTCTTGGGGTCTCGCGTAAGGTACTCCACCACCGGCCCCGACACATAGCCAGCCCCAAGTATCAGGACACGCTCCGAGGAAGAAGTCAGCACTGCCTTGTGTGCAGACCTGGAATGTCGTATATCAAGATAGAACATCATCACTATCATCCCTGCCTTTCGCACTCTGCATCAGGGTGTAGGCCACGGGCAAACACTTATCACCTTTCCCTATCTTGAGCAAGCCTCTGGATATTATTCTATGTCTTTCCACTTTTCTGTACAAAGCTAGGATATGCTAAGGGCGTATGTTTTGTTCTTTTAGAAGACTAGTGCCTTAAAGGGCACAAATAGGTTATTTCAAAAGTCGAATACTTGGCCCACTGCTAAAAATATAGTAACAGGTAGAAAAAAGGGAATAAACATAAATAATAGATACACAAAAGCAAATGTCACCTATATGCTTCAGAGAGTAGATGTTCACCTGCACCATTCTACAATTTTAGGGGTAGCACCTCCTGCTGATGTTAAAAAACGCCCTTTAAAATGACTAACTATTATCTGGTACAGAGTTGAATCTTAACAAAAACAAAACTATTCAAAACACATAGCTCATTTAGCACCATTTTACTTTCAAGTAAACCCCTGCCACGGTCCTTGTGGCGGGCGAAATTCACACATCACAATGATAATACTTTGCTAGATATAACAAACTCACGCAGATTTTGTTCTCAGATCCTGTATGTACCCGTAGTTCGGAGCCAGAGAACCATTGCTTGCAATCACAGCCTGAAATAAAATGACAGATTTGTCTCAAACTAGCTGTCCAATCCACATACACTTTCTTTGCAAAGTCAACAATAAAAAGCCACAAAAGGTGTATGCATGCATAAGGCTTTCATATCAGCAATGCTCAAAACAATGACTCTTATTACTGATAGTTCCGATGTCAGGCCTTTGGTAAATTAGGACAGATGTCATCTATGATTCATCACTGGGAAAATGGTAATTAGAAAACATATTGTTCAACACTACCCAGCTTGTGTAAAAACTAAAAGATTGCCCATTTCAAGTACACATCTATTGGTCGGTAGTGAAAACCTCAGTATCAGTGAAGGAGAAAAAAAAGAGCTTTATGAGCATACATAAACACTGTTGCTACACATTTGATTACTCACATTTTTCACAATAGGGCTACCAGAATAATCTTCGAAAGACTGCTTCGCATCAGATTTCAGCTGCAGAAAACCAACAACAAAAACTGTTAAAGGAATCAAGCTCGGGAACATAACATGTACATTTGACAACAATGTGAGTAAAAGAACCCCAAATTTTATTTTTTTTTCATCTTTTAAATCAAATATTGATTGAAAAGAAGTCAAAAGAGAAGACCGCACTGAGAATCTTAAGGTGTAGTTTCAGGAGAGTCAGAATGATTAAAATCACATTTCAACAAGACAACAGCATAACAAGAACAGATCACACGTGAGCTCCTATATTATATATCACCTGCCAATCACCCATGAATCAAAGAAAAGTCCATTGACACAATGATGGCTCACTTAGTGCTAGGAAATCACAAGGCTATAGACAGGGGAAAAGATAAATTAGAAAGTTACTCTAATCCAAGGTGCTACTACCACTGATTAAAGATATGGCAATAATATAAATTTTAGAAAAATAATAACAAACACCAATTTGAAAACTGCAAGTACAGAGTCAACTTTACAAAGCTAAACTTTTGTATTGCTTAACAAACACTAGATGAGTCCTGCAATTCCCAATAGGGAATAAGACATACTCATGAATTTAAGTGAGTTTGGGACAGTTTAATTTTAGAAGAGTTTTACAGCACCTGCAACCCATTAAGGTCAAATTTGAGCCGAAGATTTGGTGTTACAAGAAGAAAACAAATACAAAAAAGAAGTAGGAAAGATAAGGAGAATAGGTGTGTGTGATAGGAAATAAGGAGCGAACTACAGCAGAGCTAACGCCAACCATCCACGAGTTTGAGACAAAAACAGACCCATTGAACTGATAAATGTAATTCAGAGCCATGGAGTAAGCAGGATACCAGATATCAGTAAAAGCTGTGCAGAAAAGACACATACACTATACACTGCAGTTAACACAAAATCAAAGACGTACCATCTCTGATACATAAGGCAACAAGAGACTTCCAAAGAAATCTGTCGCTTCCCGGGGGATCTGAGCCGGCATGTTGTCTATAGAGCACAGGAGCACTCCGTCACCAGCAAAACTGTATGAGAAATAAAATGAGACATAACATGTCACTTTCAATGTGCAATGACAAGACCAGAAGCAATGAGACATAAAATATCACTTCCAGTATGCAATGAAAAGTAGGAGTGGGCACAAGACAAGCCGAGCACCCGTTTCTCATGAGAACGGCCCTTCCCGTCACTGCCCGGCCTCTAAACTTCTGGCTGGTACCGAGAAGTGATACCGTTCCTTGGCTTGACATAACGAATAACGATAGAGTTTTTTCATGTTTTTAGTTTTAGTTTTAGTAAGACTTTTACGGCACTTGCAACACAAAAAGGTCATATAGGAGCGGAAGATTAGAGGTGTTACAAGAGAGTAACAAACACAAAAAAAGGGAGTACAGATCAGAACGATAGATGTTTAGTAGGAAAGAAGAAGCAAACCACACCAGAGCACCGCCAACCACCCACGTTTTCATGTTTGAACAATAGCAGCATCATTAGCAAAGAACCAAAGCAACCCAACAAATAAAATTATACTCATCAATTTAACTATCAAATTAAGTAATAAATTGAAAACAGAGCAGATGTACTTTCTACTATTTCAAAAGAATCACTTGGATAGAAACTGGCATGCACATTGGTTATACCTTTCCTTGTCCACATTCTGCTCTGCATCATACAAAGAGAAAGGTTTGTCTATGGTTGTGCATTCCTTCATGAACTCAATGGAACCACCTGGGTCAGCAGAGATATCACAGATGGCCAGAAGACGATGGGGCAGGGTGGGGCAGCCAGGGGAGGAAGGGATCCACGGAGCATCTGTGGGTCGCAGTAACGTCTTCGCCTCCGGAATGGTGATCAGTCGTGGGGCACCAGGAGCCCAGTAGATGCCGTTGATGATGCATGAGGCATACGGTGCTATCTAGTATTGTTAGAACAATCATTTGTTATAGTTGTTTGAAGTATCAAAAGTTATTTCTTGAGCCTAGCTGAAGTTTAACATAGTATTTGCAGCCAGCAGGTATTTAAAGCTTTTTTCAGATTTGACAATAACAATTTGGACTAGGGTACATTTCAAGCTTAAAAGTCTCTAGAGCAGAGGTTGGTTGTCCATTAACAACTGTCCATTAGCGTAAACTAACAAACCAACACAAATGAAAAGAAGAGAACTGATTTAATTATAACTACTGAATAATTAACAGGTTTTTAATCACAGATGTTGTCAGGGAAAGTGATCAACCTTTCATCAACAAATAATCAATAGTATTTGTGAAGCTAGTCAGTTTTCATTTGTGGGAGGTTTCTATGATTTTCTAGAACATTCATGAATTCTTTCCATTTTCTTTTGTACAAACATTTTCTTTCAATCTCATTAGGTAAAAGATGATGCTGAAAACTCTACAAATGCTGAAGGCACTGCATGAGGCATAAGGCACTATCTGGGGTGATCCGTACAGTCATTTGTAGTGAAGAAAGTTGCTTTTGTTTCTGTTTACCATCCACTAGCCAAATACTAAGTGGATGCTCAAGGGTGTTATCCGAAAGAGAAAAATTCTCTCTGTCTTCCACGAAGATTTCTCCTCACACGTAAGTCCCGCATGATGGTAGATCATACTTTGAAGAAAACTAACGTCTCTAGAAGGGCATTCAATAATTACAACCATTCAACTGAATACTCAACAGATAACTTTAAAGACAAGACACTTTATCGACACCAAGACAATGGACTTTTCGTTTTAGTAAGTGTTTTAAGGCACTTGAAACACAATAAGGTCATATAAGAGCCGAAGATTAGAAGTGTTACAAGAGAGTAACAAACACAAAAAAAAGGAGGAGCGATAAAGACAATAGATGCTTGATAGGAAAGAAGAAAACCACACCAGAGCACCAGCCAACCACCCACAGATAATGGACTGAGAGGAAACTTTCCAAGAACATAAAATTTAGATCTATTCAAAATTCCAATAAAAGCGTCTATAAATGTGTACAAGTAAAGTTTTTGGTTTTGTTTTAGTAGAGGTTTTACGGCGCTCGCAACTGCATAAGGTCATATGAGCCCCAGAAGATTAGAGGTGTTACAAAGAAGTAACAAACATAAAACAGAAGGAGAGACAAGGGCAATAGATGTTTGATAGGAAAGAAGAAGCAAACCACACTAGAGCACCCGCCAACCAAGTCAAGTTTGCAACCAACTACTGGACAGAGGCAAGTAAGATGAAAAGTGTTATATGAAGAAAACAGAAATACAATTTCTTTCCTTTTATTCAAGAAGCGTTCAGTCTTTTTTTTTTTTTTTGGGGGGGGGGGGGGGGTTATATTGAACTAGGTGTATTTCTTTCCTACCAGAAGATCAGGGGTGTGGCAGAAAGACAGCAGTAAGGAGGAGCCAAGGAGTAGCAGTAGGCTGCAGAAAGAGGCAGGAGCCCAGAGGAGGGGGCAAAGGGGGTGGGGGCAGAAAGTGGAAACGAAAGCAGACAATATTAACAACTAATACCACAAAGATTTTTCTCAGACTTACATTGTGGCTAAAAGTGGATGCATATCTTTCAGGGTACTGCTCAAATTCGTCTGCGTTGAACTTCCCACCATTTTTGTGTATGTAATGGTCATCTCGACTCACCACGCATGCGTAGATTTTGTTTGTTGCTGTAAGAAAATTTCGTTTCATGTGAGGCTAAGCAATCCATTTTAAAAAATTTAAAGATTGTAGTTTAAAGGGGAAACCAGTAGCACACAAGCACAGATTTTGTTTGCAGTTCAATACTTTTTTTAAAAGTATAGATATTTGACTAAGAATTTGCTTGAAAGAGAATTTTAGCTAATACAACAACAAAACTGTTTATACAGCAGACAACATTACAACTTCACAAAATGAATCAAATTAGGAGCATATAGGCAATCTATGGCTGAAAAACACAAGAAAAAACAGGAAAAAAAATAAAAATCTCAAGTAAGGTGCCTCGTTTATTAGAAAACCAAAATGGGTTGGCGGAAATAGGGGGGGTGGGGGGGGTGGAAGGAAGGTGCACAGTACATACTTTAAATTCCACGAAAAGGGCATGAAGAACATGGCAGATTTGAACTGGAAAAAAACCCTGATAAAATCTCCACCCCTTTCATTGTAGTATTTGTTTAAATACACAGTAAGTTTTAGTTCAGTTTTAGTAATAGTCGCAACACAAAAAGATCTTAAGGATGAATATTAGAAGAGTCACTAGAGAGTACCATACAAACAAAAGGAGGAGAGATAAGGGTGATAGATATTTGACAGGAAAGAACAAGCAAACTATACCAGAGCACCCATCAACCACCCACAAAAACCCTAAATCTATCTTATGCAAATACAGAAGAAACAAACTCACAGCCTCGAGCAGCGACTTTGGGTAAGTGTTCAGGTTCAATGTACTCATGAGGCAGTTCAGTGAACACTTCCTGGGCACCCTGTGAGAATGAGTATGACAAATTTCAATACAAAGTTTAAGGATTGACTATCTCTTCAATGTCATTTTTTGGTTTCTTTTTTGTTTTAATAAGTGCTTTACATACAGCACTTGCAACACAGTAAGGTCATATAAGTGCTGAAGATAAGAGGTGTTACAAGAGAGTAACAAACACAAATAAGAAGGAGGGGAGAAAAAGACGATAGAGGTTTGATAGGAAAGAAGAAGCAAACTGCACCAGAGCACCCGTCAACCACCCATTTTTTTGGTCTCAAGTCAATACCATGGGTCATTCTATTAACACTTTGCTGCCTCATCTTGCCGATTGGTGATGTTTACCACCCAGTTTTTTTGGATTTTCCCCAAAATATGATGGCAACGTGTTAATCCATATCGTTGGCCAGCTGTTCAAATATACTAACTTAGACTAAGCCTACAATTTAAGAGCAGCTTTTTAATCTGTGGTATCGGTTGCATGTGCTCGAGAAATATATAGTGGAAATTCAAATTCTAAAAGTTGAAAAAAGTCAGAATTGATGCACGATTTAGGTACAATCTTTAAAAGAAAGAAACAAGAAATTTTCATTCTCTCCTGAAAAACTTTGCCTCCTAAGCGTAGGGCAATTGAACAACTTGCCAGTGATATAGTTTTTCTTATGGACTAGTTTTGAGATCAATGAAATACATTTCGAACACACTAGTTCTTAATTTTATTTCACTTTATCATTATCCAAAAAATAGTTCAACAAATCTTGCTTTTATTTTAAATTTATTTCCCTCCCCAACCCTGGGTCAATCACACATAGCAGAAGATGATGGCTCGATGGCTCCATTGTAATCACTTACGGACAACAATATGTACATCAGTGTAAGAGAAAAAATTGAGAACCTTAAAAAAACCCAGAGAAAACACATGAAGGAGTACAAACCCATAGCAGTCGGAGATCTTATTAATTTAGATTCTCCACACCCCCGCCCCCTTCATATTCTTTCATTTGTTTATTTGCATTATAGACAAGCACAACCACCACAATCATAAGTAGTGCCAGGAAAGGACAAGAACACCAATAAAAACAGAAAACACTTCTGAACAAAACAAAAAAGTAATTTTAAAACATCAGAATGGTACCTCCCAAACATCAACAAAATATAGCAAGGACACAACAGGAAAGGACCAATCTAGGAAAAAAAGTCTACTGACTTGTGACACATTGCCAGAGCCTGTGAAGACAAAGGTCAGAGGTCCTATTGACCTCGGCATTCGTCCAAGCGCAATCTCGTAACCAGCATCTCGAACAGCCTGGCGTGCCATTTCTGTATGCCGATAGTTGTGACTTGGGCCAATGAACTGTATACAAATTGAAGCAAATTTAAATATGCATACCATTATGTTCCTGTATGGGACAATAACAAAACAGAAAAAAGAATTATCCTGTTAACACCTATGGGACTGGCCTCACATTTGACTTCCATTTCCCAGGACCGGAGCTGCCACCCGCTTTCTGACTATGCGAGATATGTGTAGCTCAAATATAATGAATAATTCAGTCCCTAGTAAAGTTATAGACATGAAACTTCAAACTGTTAAGAATATGATTCCATATGTTGAAACACATTTTCTTGAAAAAATATTTCGGTTTGAGTCATTTCGGTGTATTCAATTATGTAATAGTAAGCTTTTGTACAGAGTCAGTTCCTAACAGGGATAAAAGACTAGATCTAAACCTACTTTTAGAGTAAACAGCTCCTAAATCAATGATAACTAAATCCAGATCTATCTTTCATCATTTTCTTCCCGATTTGTACACTCTTGATCCAAATAATCAACCTCATTGTCTGAGTCGGTGAAATACCTTTTCTAAACTCATTTGATCTCTGTTCACATTTAAATTGCCAGAAATCAGAAGCAAAACAGCTAAATCGAACCAAATGGGTTAACACAAACATAAATATGTTTGGGGAAACATCGATAGGCCTTTGTATAGATCAAGATCGTTTCTCTTACGAGTATACTCGTCCACAGTCCGGGGGAAGTAGTTGGGCTTTGTGAGTATTTTAGTCCGCCGTTCCATAGGTGTTAATACAGTGCAAGATCACAAATTAGAGAAAATAGAAATATATTTCATAAAAGGGTATACCAAATAAAAAAGCTAATTATAAGTTCTTATCTCAGTTCTTCTTACAGGACGTATCTTTAAAAAAAAATTCAAACTGAAACTTTTGAGTTGGGAGAGGAACACGGTACACTAGATCTGCAACACTAAAAATTGAGACCCTTTTTAATTTATCAATGAAACAGGTTTCAAACGTGGTAGAAATTCTAATTAAAGCTGCTTCTTTTTTTTTCCACTGCATCCACTGGCATGAAAATAAAGACCGGCCAGAAGAGAATCTGGCGGCCTATTCTGACTCACCATGAAGGGAGTGTGGTGGCCAAGGGCGAGTAGACGAAGGCCCATGCCGTGCAAGATGTTGATCATCCCAGAAACACCTGCATACTTGCCGAAAGCAACTACTCTCTGGCCATACTCGTCCACCATCTTCTCATAGTCAATCAAACGAATGTTCTGAAAATTAAAAAAAAATTATAGCAACTGTTCTTATGATACGATTACATGCACAGAAAGTGTACAACCTCTTCTGGAAAACATTTTCAAAAAGTTAATTTCTAATTTCAGCTACATCAGCCATAAGTCATCAAGTAAGCTCCTGAACATAAATAATATTGTTTATTTTTGTGCCCATTTGTCACCCTACTATACATAAACATGTCTTTTCAAAGCAGGGCACTTAGACCAAAGATATTTATAATGAAGAACATATTGGTTTGAATCCTTCTTAAAAATATAAAAGATTGCAAAACTAAAAACAATATATGTTTTAAGGTATTCGCATCAAACCTTTTCCAAAATGGCATCCAGGAGAGGCATGTTATCAGCTTGGGCTTTGATGGTGTGGGAAAAGAAGGCGTATGTCTTGTCGCGCATCAGGGAGTCAATTGGCACCTGCTTTACGCCGATAATCAGTGATGCTTCAGACATATCCTCTTTGATGACAGCACCAATGTCAGAATATTCCTGCACAGTGAGGACAAGCAGTTGGCATTCAATAACAAAAAAACAAGACATTACACAAGTAAATGCAAGGTGTGGCCACAAATCAGCAAAAAAATCCCATTGAAATCAAAATTAAAAGACATGCATCACTGTTATTTATAGTATCGATAAATAACTCTATCTAAAAGTAAGATTGTTCCTGTATTATTGTCAGAAACATTTCAGTCAGAAAATGACTCATTTCACTTGGAACCCATGAAGAAAAGCAAACACCACAGCCCACCTTTATTACATGAAATTGCAGCTTTGCCTTTGAGGAAAAAGCATAGGGATAAAGTATGAAACAACTGCATAACGAGGAAAGCCGGTGACCGACCATGTGAGAGGGTGGTGCTGAAATTATAATGGTCATTTCGTATCATGTGACCTCTGGTGTAGGAACATTATATGCCTTACGGCAAGCTCAGCTTTAAGACGCAATCCACTAAAGGAGATCAGATGACAGAATACACTTACTCTAGTTTACTCCCCTTCAAAATTTGCTTAATAACACGTTCGCACAAGAACACGCTTTTCTTGTTACCTGACGTGCGTTCTATTAGCCGGAAACCACTGCAGGCCTACCTGATATGTGATAATACTCAAAAGTACAAGGCTACAAACCTCTCACAATTGTTAATTAGTGATGCACTGTGCAGTACAGCATTGCATTTCTGAAGCAGATTCATTTGTGTCACGACACATTGGAATCAGGCACATACATGCCAATTTTTCGGCATATTATGGCGTTATTGGTATAATCTTAAAGCTTGTTTATTTGCCTTGCTTTTAACTGAAAAAAGTACCCTCTCTATCTTGAATAGAAGTTGATATATTTGCGATTTACGGAGGTGGGGTCGCCTGGTTCCAGGGGTAAAACTAGCAAGAAAATGGACGCCAAAGTTTGGTAATTTCCAAAGCTCAAGAGGCCTTAAAACTGTTAATTTATATTTTCTGTGCTTATAATCAATGTTTGTCAGCAAAAATCACACAAAAATTTGTCTTTACATGGACAAAACAGGTGTTAAGCCAAACAATTAAATATTCAATGAAAATTGCAAAACTGGCCGAAAAAAGCTGATTTCTTACGACTCCATAATTTTGACGAAAGCCTGGTTTCATCATGATGCCTCGCATCTTCCTTTTATGCAGCTTGTGCTGAAAACGGCTCAGAAATAAGGGGAGAATCAAATATAAATATGCCTTCTTCAACTCTGTAGAAATGAAGAAATTGTTAGAAACTAGGCTCACCTTCATACTGTAGGCTCGACGATCTGAGGGCTGAACAATGACCTTCACCCCCTTCCTGACCAGCTTTCTCACTTGCTGCGGTGACAATGGTGCCCTCCTTTCCCACACATTGACTGTCTCTCTCCGCACAGCCATCACTGGCTGCTGACTGCTGGACCGGATATGCACTGAGCACAAAGCAGGTGTTGCTGTTTGGGTCAAGACCCGACCTCCTCTCCAGAGAAGAGGAAGCATCCTCAAAGAGCCCTGGCTGCATGCCTTCCTAGCCAACATGCAGCTCATTCTGACTGTCTCTATACACTGTGGGGAATGTAGCGTCTTTGGTGCTCTACCTAATAACAGAAGAATGTTCTGTCTTTAATATTATAACACATAAAGTAAGTTCATTTCATTGGTGGAGTATTTGATCATCAGGACAGGACATCAAGAGTGGAGAGCTAGTTTCAAAGAATGAGAAAAATTCAGATCCTGTTTTTCTCAAGCATGAAAGCTTCCCTGAGAAAAAAGCAAAGATTGTCACCGACTGTGTCACAGACACATACGGTCATATGGCAGGTTGTAGACGGAGAATGTTTTTGAGTAAAAAAGTAATTGGTGACTGTATAGAGGCTAGAGCAGAGGTTTAAAACTCCCATTAGATCAATATCATTACCAAGGATTAAGATGTACGACTATAGACTATGACAGAGGAAATTGGTTGAGAGCCTTGAAAGGACCTTGAAAACTCCACAAAATGATCTAATCTAGATCTAGATTTGATCTACGTGTTGAAAAAAGCCCAGCCTGGGACGATGGGCCATCCGCTCCATAGTCCAGCACGGTGCCGACAGGGCTAATATATGAGAGCTAGAATCTAGATCTAGAATCTATATTTCGATTGTGATTTTGAGAGATCTGATCTGGTATTGCAAAATATGGGGCCCTAAAAAAAAGCCTGCCGCAAGTCAATAAATTTGGAGGCTCGCTGCTTCAATCATGCCAGTTGGGGCCGTCTTGTCTCTTCAAGCCTCTTGAAAAAGAAGAAACTTACTTGTTCAATCTCTGCCTGTGGCCAGTGTCTGAAAATTAGCACGACTACAGGCCTGCTACTGAATCAAACAAGCCAACACCGTTTAACCGACACTCGTGGAAAGCACCTCGATCCTGGTGGTTTTCCGTTTTCCACAAGTAGTTACGCCACATTACCGCACAAGCCGCACACTGCGGTAAAAGAATAAAATAAAGAAAAAGGGTCACAGGCACAGGGTCAAGGATATTGGCTACCGACATCGTTTCATCTTGTCGGCTAGGCCTACATTTTCTGACTACGACAAATAGCAATACACTCATGAGGATAACATACGGTTAGGGTTAAAAGCTGCTTACTTAATATCAACAATGCACTTGCAACACCAGGGTAAACAGCAGAAATCGTTGATCGAGAGGTTGCCGGAACTGGTTTCCAACGTGTACTTCAAGACTGTTTACGAACACAGGGTGTTATACTTTTCCACCAATGGTTAAGCAAGACATGAGTCGGATTCAGCCAATGAAAACGCAGGCTGTCAGACACACCTTCAGGGAACCGAGATTTGTCTTCGTTCTTTGGTCTAATATTAGATGATGCGATATAGCCTTGGCCTACACGTGAACTAGCCTATCGAGAAGTCGCGTGCGAAGCAAAAACAGACATCTTCCCCTTTCAATGGCTAATGGGGAACCAATAATTCCTTGTCAATACTAAGAAAAGAAAGAGTCTGTATACACATCGTGTTAGGCTTGTATGTGCGTGTGTATGTGCACACGCACGCGGATAAGTGCATGCGTTTGTGCGTGTGTGTGTGTGTGTGTGTGTGTGTGGTTGTGTGTGTGTGTGTGAGAGAGAGAGAGAAAGAGATTGACCTCTCTCTCTCTCTCTCTCTCTCTCTCTCTCTCTCTCTCTCTCTCTCTGTGTGTGTGTGTGTGTGTGTGTGTGTGTGTGTGTGTGTGTGTGTGTGTGTGTGTGTGTGTGTGTGTGTGTACCATGTGAGAGAGAGAGAGAGAGAGAGGGCGAGAAAGTGTATGTGTGTCGAGAGAGAGAGAGAGAGAGAGAGAGATGTAACGCTGTAGTGTCGAGATATTGGCAATGTTAGAAACAGATGAACAATACAATACACATGTACAGGAAGAGTGTGGAGAACTGGGACGCAAGGTCATTGGACGCGGGTAAACTGGGGCGAGGCCCGAAATTTAAACATGTATTTTTGGGGGCAAAAATTAACCGTACCGTAAGGAAAGTAGAGTACTATACGTATGTATCACTGTACATTGTATCTTATTGCTGTTATAATATCCCCTCAACTTACTATTTATTTTTAACCCCAAAAACCACTCAGTATTGCAAAGTTGCTTTCCTTCTTTTTCAAGGCCATATTATTTGTGTCTCTCTGCATGGAAGGTATTGAATTTCAGTTGAAGGTAAGTATGTTTTTATATTTATAAGTCATATTTCAACTTTATAAGACAATCATAAAATAGTATGAGATAATAATAATAATAATAATAATAATAATAATAATAATAATAATTTTTTAAAAATAAATAAATAATAATAATGATAATAATAATAATAATAATAATAATAATAATAATAATAATAATAATAATAATAATAATAATAATAGTCTAATAATAATATAATAATAATAACATTTTTTTTAAATAAAAAAAATAATTTTAAAAAATAAAAAAAATTTAAAAAAATAATAATAATAATAATAATAATAATAATAATAATAATAATAATAATAATAATAATAATTCGGGGGAGGGGGTTCTTTTGGTTTTGTTTTGTTTTAGCTCTTTTTTAGCTTTCAGAATTGCCCCGAGCTTGGGGAATATTGATGGTAGAAGGAGCTCTAATTAATTGCTTGGTTTGTTCAGATAATTTGTTTGGGAAAGCATATGCTGTAGGGAAGTTTTGTTTGGGGTGGGGGGGGGGGGGGGGGTCGTGCGTGAAGTATAATCCTTTACAGATAATTCACGGCTATTAAGACTAATTCACGGGGAGCCTTCGCCACCATCAAAGCACGCCAGGCGCGCCTGTGGCTGCTGCGGTTCACTGACCATTCCAAAATGTTAGCGGCGTCGCAGGTTGTGATTCTATGGTCAGGCCACGACCTTCAACAATGAATAAGAAATTAACGAACCTTAGCATGTACACCATTTTTGTCCTTGAGCCACACAGTCACCCAGTTGAATCGTGTGCTGATTGATCTGGGCCCTGCTAGGTGTGTAAAGAAATGTTTAAGAACGACAGCTGTGGCGGCTAGACTACTATGCGCCCGATATGAAGCTGTTTTATAGAACTGTGATGAAGCAAGATCGATGACACAACAAAGCGTAATAAACTATGGGCTTCCAAGACGAAGTCTGTATGAAAATTACTCTCTATTTATTTGTTATGCTTGAGTTTGAATGTGGCTATTGGATTATAATAATATGTGTTAATAGAGAAAGAGTCATGTGGTCGTGTGCACCTTTCTTATAGAGAAGTTTAGGAGGTTGGTGCCTTTTGGGTAACGCAACAAGAATACTGTGGAAGAGATGGGGGGACAGAGGGAGGGAGGGAGAGAGAGAGAGAGAGAGAGAGAGAGAGAGAGAGAGAGAGAGAGAGAGAGACAGACAGACAGACAGACAGACAGACAGACAGACAGACAGACAGACAGAGAAGGATGTTGTTGGTTGATTGAAAGTAGTATGAGTACAGTACTCTATGAGAAGTATGAGTGAGATTTTAGAGTGGGTGCTGGACGGTGACAGAAAACCGAAAAACTCAACCGCTCAGGGGATCAAACTCAGTAAATCACCCATAAGGTTGCAAGCCAAAATGGATAAACACTCATTAAGAAGCAGAAAGCTAAAACGTTTTAACAAAACAAAGATGACTGACAATATGACTTACAATAGGCACAAGTTAACATAACAGCTAATCAAAGCGAAACATAATATTAATTTTTATAAAGAATCTAATGATAATTAATTTGTTAGAGCTGAATGTTTTGCACCCTTTTCTTGGCAGCAATTTTGTTATAATAAATCTAGCCTATATTTTGGCGTAAGGTTCTGTGTTATGGAGATTCTTACGAAGGACCACGACACCTAAAATTCTCTCTGGGATCGGGTAAAATACGTACTATAATTATAATTGTTCGCCAAGTCAGATGTGGTCAACAAGTAGGCCAATTTAGTTTGAAACTTAATGTGCCCTCTGGTGTGGCAAGCTAACTCAACTATTATAAATCAGTATTGTCCCATCCCTCGTAATGTTAGATGTTCAGTTGCATGGGTGCAACGCCACAATCGAAGTCTAAATTTATATTATTCCCCTCGTGTTTACCACGATAATTTTGCCTGAAGTTCCATAATCATTAATAATTTAGTTTTGTTGCTGTTGTTGCTGTTGTTCCCGTTGTTGTTGTTGCTGTAGTAGTAGTAGTACCGTAGTAGTAGTAGTAGTAGAAGTAGTAGCAGTAGTAGTAGTAGTAGTAGTAGTAGTAGTAGTAGTAGTAGTAGTAGTAGTAGTAATAGTAGTAGTAGTTGTTGTTGTTGTTGTTGTAGTTGTTGTTGTTGTTGTTGTTGTTGTTGTTGTTGTTGTTGTTGTTGTTGTTATTGTTGTTGATTATAGAAACACTAGCTATCTGTATCTGATTCTCGTTGCTGATTTAGCCTTTAAAACGAAATGCGCTCCTTTAAATAAAATTAAAGGTATACTCACTCAATTAAGTGCTACTGCACATGGGATGATACAGCCTTGTTTAGCCCTGGCCGAAGTATTAGGGGGAAATCTGTTTCCACGAAGATCCTTAGACCGAAATTTTAGTAGAAAACAGATTACCAAAGCTGAAGGTGTCAAGTGTCAACAAAACGGCCGCTTCTGCATTACCTGATCTGTGCCAGTGCATTCGCATTGACAGTAACAATCTCAGTCTTATATATCGCCCTATTGTCTGATTATCCTTCTAGGCGCAATATTGAACTAAATTCTCATTGGCTGAGCTGTACAAAGCGACAGCTTGACATTGGAACTGGAAACAACAATACCAGGTATTATGTCAACATGATACCTGCTCTGACATAGCAGCGGCAGAAGGTCGGTCCGGCTTGCCCTGTACTATATATATGTTACAGTAAGAACACGTACCTAGTGAATACGCGTAATCACTGAATATTTCAGTGAAAACGCGTAATCTCTGTTTCACTCAGAGATTTCACGTAATCACTGAAATAATCAGGAAATACGTGAAATCCCTGAAAAATGGTCACAGTAATTACGCGTAATCCCTGATCAGACATGTGTAGTATAATATACTTTTGTAAAAGTTTATTCCTTAAATAGCCAGTGCGGTAACAGATACTCTCTCTCTCTCTCTTTCTCTCTCTCTCACTCTCTCTCTCTCTCTCTCTCTCTCTCTCTGTCTCTCTCTCCCTCTCTCTCTCTCTCTCTGTCTATCTCTCTTTCACACACACACACACACACACACACACACACACACACACACACACACACACACACACACACACACACACTCACACACACACATCACACACATACACACTCACACACACACAAACACACACACACACACTCACACACACACTCACACACACACACACACACACACACACACACACACACACACTCACATGCTCCAGAATTAAAAAACTAAGCATTTAAAAATTCTAATGATCAAGCACATACCAAATTTTATTGCTTTAATAGTCAGTACGGTAAAATATTCTCTCTCTCTCTCTCTCTCTCTCTCTCTCTCTCTCTCTCTCTCTCTCTCTATCTATCTATCTACCTATCTATCTCTCTCTCTTTCCCCCCCTCTCTCTCCCTCTCTCTCTCTCTCTCTCTCTCTCTCTCTCTCTCTCTCACACACACACACACACACACACACACACAACACACACACACATACACACACATACACACACCTGCTCCACAATCTAAAAACAAAGCATTAAATCTTTTTAAATGGCAGACACCATTGTTGTTGTTGTTGTTGTTGTTGTTGTTGTTGTTTCAGTTTTCAGTTAAATACTTAAGGCTAAAATCCATCGACGTCGTCACTTGTTACAACAATTGAGGCTGCTATGACAGCGTAAGTTACACTAAAGCCCTGCTTTACAGCATTTACATCGCCTGGAACTACACTTTTTGGCATCAGTACAGTTGCTTCCTGTGAAGCCTTGTCCACCAGAGGAGGATTGAAAAATCACCGCCGAACGCAGTGAAACTATTTTTTATGTGTTTATTTCATCAGTGTTCAGAAGACGCCCAGGGCACAGATCGAACTGATTTCTGGAATACAAATCAGCTTTTACGGCTATCTTCTCGTCTGTCAATTATGAAACCAAGGATATTTCTAGGATCGCCTCTCCTTCGATCAACAAGTGGAACTGGCTTACACACGTTGTCTCCTTGTTTCCCAGCTGGCTTATCTATGTTACAGTCAGAACACGTAGATCAATCTAGTTAATACGCGTAATCACTGAATATTTCAGTGAAAACGCATAATCCCTGTACAGTGGCGGGCTATTACGTGAATTCACTGAATGCTCAGTACATATGTAGTAAAAACACGTAAAATGATAGGTCTAATTTTAGGGATTTCGCGTAATCACTAGAAATTTCAGTGATTACGTGAAACCCCCGAGTGAAACGGGGATTACGTGTATTCACTAAAATATTCAGAGTTTACGCGTATTCACTAGGTACGCATTCTTACTGTAACATATATACTGAACACCAAAAGAAACACAAGTAAGCAACAAAAGAAACGCAAGTGGATTTCTGGTGTAGAAAAGGTTATTTTTTTTATTGAAATTGTTAACAGTAGTGTGATTTTTACAGATGTTTTACGTTCCAAAATGTGATTTTCATTGAGCATGGGCAAACATCTTCGACTGGTATTTTTTAACGACTCATTAATGTCACAGTAATATTAAACACAGGGATGCACAACACGCACAGTCCATTTTGGCACAGTTCAAGCGTTGTCGTGCTGGAACACCAAGTGGTGGTGTTGCTGGACATAGGGGAGGACCGCCGGCCTTAGCACCATGCTGATGTAACGTTGGGCGTTGATTCCATTTTCACGCTTGCGTCCGAGGTTTCGGAAGACGACAGGGTCGACCTGGTGATTTAGTCCAATGGCAGCCCAGATCATGTCACAAGGGCCACCCCAGACGTCGACTTCCATCATGTTGAGGTCTGCGTTTCGTTCGCCATTACTCCTCCAGATTCTGACTCCTGTATCCGCGTTGCTGACTCTCGTCAGAGAAAAGAATGTTTCTCCACTGCCTCCATGTCCAATGAAGCCGGTGCTGGGCACAGGATAACCTCTGTTGTCTGTGGCGGATAGTGAGGACTGGGCCAACCGCAGGACGACAGCACCGGAGTCCTCGGGTCTGAAGTCGTCGCCGCATGGTCTGGCCGGATATCGATCGTCCGTGGCTTCCAATAGCCCCCCTTGCTGTTTCGGCTGCAGGCAGGATGCTGTCTCGGTGATGACGGCGCGTAATCAGTCGATCTTGGCGTGTGGAGGTGACCCGTGGTCTCCCGCTTCAGGCCAATTCTTGGGTGCTGCCAGTTGTTTGAAAACATGTCCACAACCTACAAACTGTTGAAAGGGACACATGAAATGCGATAGCGACGTCAGTACGGCTGTCCCCAGTTTGTAAACGCCCAATGGCTCCCTCTCGATCTGCAGCGCTCAGTCGTGGCATCATCTTAGCGGTCAACTGCTTCACTGGCCAAAGCTCACGAAAGTCGGTCAAAGAAAACTTTTTGCTTTTAGCCCTGTGTGATTGAAAACAGAGATGAGTGAATTTTTTTTCCTTGATTAGTGTTCATGGCATATCAGGGTATAAAAAGACACACCGCTACGCTTTGGCCAGTGAAGCAGTTGTTGGAAGATAGTGAAAAATTCCAACAATACTATCGCATGAAACATTAGTTTCAATGAACTGCTAGAGATATGCAGAGCTGACCAAGAACTGCTAGAATTCTGTGTAGTGGCATTGAGGCGGGAAAGGGGACACAACTATGCAGAGATAAATCATTAAAATTACCTCCCATCTCGCCCGACGGACCGTCTTCGATAGAACATGTTTTATCGGAGACGGTCTGACCGCGGATGACACAGGACGTCGGCGTCAGTATGGTAGACGAAACCGTTTTTGTTACCTTCCATTACTAAAGAGCCGGTGCGCATTCTTTTGTGCCCGAAGACGGTCTGGTCTGACCGTCCGTGTCGGGCGTTAATATGGTTGCGGCCCAAGGAGTTTAGATTAATCTCCTTGTTGCGGCCTAACCCCCCAAAAAATTAACACACCAACAAAGAGGGAAAAATAAAAGACAAACAGCAATTTAATAAATACATGTAGTATGTAATGTACTTTCTATTATTCTTCGCGTGAAAATAACTATAAATGGACACCTTAAAATTATCAAAATACACACAAAGTAGACTTTTCATTTTGAAAAATGCAAAAATCGCGGACAAAAAATGCCAAAAATCGCGGCCGCGATTCTGCGCGACAAACGCAGATGCTAGATTATTGGGTAATGAGAAACAGCGCAAAAGAAGACTGCGCGAGCATTGCTATAAAATATTACTATTATTAGCTATTTTCTCATGTTGAAATGACAACATGTATTCGATTTTTCTGGTGGCAATAGCGGTGGTGGTAATAATAATGCATGGCATTTAGCCAGTTTCCATAATTTACAATGCTCAATGCGCTTTACAAAGCTTAATATTATTTTTCTACAAGAGCACTAAAATAAATCTACGTGCAGAATTCACGCGCAAAAAAGCATTCATGTCAGCCCTACAGTCATGAAGTGATGCAAATACATAGATCTACAATAATAATTATGTCTTCTATTAATATAAACACACAGCGATATAAGCTGAAACGAGTAGGCCTAAGTACAAAAACAATTCATGTAGTCTACATAGTTTTCGAACCCCCCTAACCCCCACCCCCACCCCCCTAAAAAAAAAACAAAAAAAAAAACAATCCCCCCCCCCCCCCAGCTAGATCTAGATTTAAAAAAAACAAAAAAACGATTAACACTCATAAGGGACACCGTAGGAGCAACACCAGTCCTACCACACATTGAAAAACAAAAGGTCAAGTGGTTCTGACACCTCACGCGGATGCCCTCAAACCATCCTGCTCTGAGACCATACAACATCAAATATTCTGGATGGAGAGCCGGAGGAAGACCAAGGCGACGATGGAGTGAATCTGTGGCAGACACCCTCAGAGCTCACGGGATGTCCCTGCTACAGGCCACTCGCCTTGCTGCAGACAGACGCCTGTGTCTCCCCGCGTCACACCCGGTACAAGCGGAAGAAAAAAGTAAAGGTTAAGTAAGATTAACACTCAAAATAATAATATAGATCTATCATTTCATTAGCTCCTAAAATCTTAGGCTAGGCTACTAGCAGATGCATTTTTTAAACACGGTGCCGTACTGTAGTGTTCAAAAGGATCAGAATAATTTCTCTCTCTCTCTCTCTCTCTCTCTCTCTCTCTCTCTCTCTCTCTCTCTCTCTCTCTCTCTCTCTCTCTCTCTCTCTCTCTCTCTCTCTCTCTCTCCCCCCCCCCTTTCCTCTTTCTTTCACTTTCTACCCCAGCAGCATCTGTAGTTGTCAAAATAGGCTACAAATGCATGTAATACTAGTGTTTCCGCTTATAATTCGAAGACTTCGCTTCTCTGAAGTTCTTGGTAGCTGATCCAGACTTTGCGCCCGAAATATTAACAGAGCCTCTGGCATTATTTCTAAGATGGTTCAACTACATTATTTGTTTTTTCAAAGCTGATCTTAGTTGCCTCGTAGGTGTGCGCGTATGAATACCTCTTGGGTATGGTTTTAACGCCCCTATCAACACTAATGTTAATTACCAGCTTACTCCACTACTGAAACATCCTAACATCCCCATGACAACAAAACTCAAAATGATCAACACCATTTATATTCATCCCAACACTCACCTATCAATGCCAAACATGGACCACGAACAAGACATTAGAGCAAAGAATTACAACATGTGAAATGCGATGCCTTAGAAAAGCAGTAAACAAGACCAGGAGAGACAAAATTAGAAACTGTGTAATCCGAGAAATGGTGGGCATAAATGATGTCATGCATCACATCCAACACCAAAGAATCAAATGGTTCGCTCCTACGATTACCAACACACCTTCCAGCACAACGTACCTACCTCCAAAAATTCGATGGCAACAAGGCTTGAGGGCGACTGAGAAAGACCTGGATAGATGGAGTCAGGGAAACATTAAACATCCACGGCATCCCCCTGACCCAAGCTCTCCGGCTGGCGACAGAGAGACGTCTCTTTCTTCCCGCGACATCCAAAAGGGTATAAGCGGCGGATAAAAGTAAGAGTAAAGTATCAACACTAATAGGTTATTTAAGGGGCAGGACCTCCTAGTTTAACGTCCGTCTCAGATAGGACCGAATCAATGAGATCCTCTTCCTCCGCGAAGCTTTTCTCTGACATATTATGAGGAGCAAGGTTCAGACTGTGTGGTGGGTGTCGCAGAACCTCCCAATAATATTATTCTTGAAGCCAACCCTTTGTCAGTTTTATTGTGTGCAATGTGGCAATACCATGCCGCGAGATGGTGTCCTTTCTCGGGAGACCTGGGGGGGTTTTTCGCCACAGGAATTATTCTCTTTATGTGCTTAGTGTTTCACAATACTTGGCAGTATTTGACCGGGGAAGGAGGGGGGGCAGTATATCTAAAAGCAAAACAACTTTGGCATCCCAGAAAACGGTTGCCATGGTTTCTTTGAAGAGTGCTGAGCCATGCATTTTTTTGACGTCGGTGGCGAGTGGTGTTTCCAGGTCATGGAATTCCTCTTCATCTCGGGGGCTGTGTGATGCACCCATGTATCGAATTACTGTTATTAATGTGAAAAGAAAATTCCCAACCAGTCGTGTGACATCTTGAATGTCAGCCAAATCACACATTTTCAGCCGCCTTTCTTCACCAATCAAAACATCAACACCTACAATGTTCTTGTCTGTCAAAGAAGACTGGGGACGCCCATGGCCTGCTTCAAGATTTGCGGGCTACACCATTGCCAGACCCCCCCCCCCGCCCATTACGTCTTTATCTTATACAGAAACGTGTTCAAGATGAATTTCAGTTGGGAGGCACGGGAAGAGCACAGGAACAACACGGCGCTTTAGAACTGATGCCCATTGGTCAAGTGCATGCACAGTTCGGGAATAGAGTGATTTCACTGACCAGTGCACACTATGTCCAATAGACTTCTACTTTTAGCGTTATTTATTTTGACCCGGAAGTTTATTAGGACCTATCGTATTCTGTGCACAAAGAAAAGATCTGGCCCAGCAATGTCATGACAGGCTGTTGACCACGAGCTTCATCAAATTGACCTGATTGTGACTCAGAAAATACTTCTTTAATGTTTGATTTTGGAGGATTTAATCCAAGTGTCCTAAATTTGTAGCCTTTGCTGGTCCATGCAGGAAAATCTTGCCACCCTCAAGCTAATTTGACGAAACTTTTTGCAGCGTGAACTGTATAATAAGCAGCGAACCAGTATCTTGGTCTTTCTGCTGGGACATTGTATCCCTCTCAGCCAGGGTTGGCCTCCCAAATGATTTGTGTCGATGGGGGTATAAAATAAACATGAGCCCCCACCCCCTACCTCCCCAAAAGTAAAAGAACATATTTTATAATACCTTCATACATTAACAGTAATGTGTCGTGCCTGCAGTTGACTAAATTTCTTACATGGCAAGCAGCAGTCAACAATGATCTTGTTGTTGTTGTTTTTAAAAAAATGATTTGTACTTTTATATAACACCCCTCTTGGGTATACTAGTGGATTTTTTTTTATAATTCGAGATGAAAATAGTCAATGGGAATGCAATTTCTTATAATCATTATTGTTATCTTTTTTATCACATGCCTTATTATGATAATAATGATAAATAGCATTTATACTTCGCATTTCCATTTTCTAAAAAAAATGCTGAATGCGTATTACAACGAAACAGACATCACATCTTAAAAATTAATCGACATGCGTGTACGTAAAACAAAGTATTATACATGATATGATATAAATATTATGTGTAAAAATTATATGAGAAAAACAGTCTCCGCAGTGAGGTTGGAAATGTGTTCACTAAAAATATACAAAGCAATAAAAATTCACGAACGGTCATAATAAAGTTGAAACGTGAGTAACTTGAAACATTCATTAAAACATTCATTCTATACAGATAGAAAAACATTTGCGTTCTCTCTCTCTCTCTCTCTCTCTCTCTCTCTCTCTCTCTCTCTCTCTCTCTCCCTTCCTCTCCTCTTTCGTTCACTTTGTAGTCCAGCAGCATCTGTAGCTGTCAAAATACAGATGCATTAAGCCCTATAGATAGGCATGTGTTAAAGTGGTGTTTCAGTTTATAATTCAAAGACTTCGCTTC